TATCGGAAATCGCTCAAAAGTTGATACGAATCTACGATTTTGATAAAATACTTTTATATAAAATCTCATCAACCTAGCTGTAACGGTACTCAAGTTATCGTGTTTACACACACACAGACAGACAGACAGACAGACAAACACACACATACACACACAGACACACAGACATACGGACAAGATTGCAAAATTATGTTTTTCCGCATCAGTGAGGTGTAAGACGTTTTTATTTTTGCACGATTACAAGACTTTCTCTATACTTCGTATATACGAGAAAGTAAAAAGAAATTTTGTTTCTCCCAATGTTGTTTTTGTATGAAGGGAATTAATTGTGTTTTCCTAATTTATCAAGTGACGTAATATGTGCTAAAGAACTAAATGTAAATAATTTTGAGATACAATTAGAATTTTTGTAAATGGTGATACATTTTTTAAAATTTTGTTTGATGGATGGATATGCCGACAATTATCATTATAAGTTTGCAAAATGAAAATTGTTATAATTTTTTTAAATAATTAAGTTAGAAGATGAGCACTTTAGATGAATAACACTATGACTATATTCATTTGGAATCCTTGGTCACATACATGTATAATCGAGCTTTATACATTAGATAGATATACACATTAAACTTAAAGAAATGGTGCCAAGACAAAATGGTCTTAAATTAACACCTGAAAGCGTTTCGTCTTAGCCCCTTAATTCGCCACTGATTGCTGGCTAGATAGTAATTCCTGCCGCCGTGTAGAAAATACAATTAAATGATGTTATTAATTTTTATTAGGACGGCAATAATACAAAGCATTCAAGACAACCAAGATCATGAGAGATCTGCGCGTTAGTAAACAAAATAACGCATTTCTCTACAATTTTTAAAAAATTCGATTTTTCCAATCGTGTTTCCTTTTGCGTCCGCATTTTGAGCCTTTATCTCCGTGAAATTCACGTTTTCCAACCACGCCAACGAAGCTCCAGCACATATCAATCTAGTATATAAAACTTCACAACCGAGGCCAAAAAAAGAAAAAAAAATTAAACAATAGAAAATATATTTAAAAAATTAAAATACAAAAAAAAAATTAAAAACATATTTATATAAAAAATTAAAATATAAAAAAAAATATTTAAAAAAAAATATTTAGATCTAGATCTATATAAGAAAGTAAAATATAAAAAAAAATTAAATTTAAATTAAAAAAAAAAATTATTTAGAGGCTTATATTATAGATAACGCGTGTCGTGATGTTAATTACAAATTGGTATACACGCCGAGCATCGTTGGAGTGTTTAAGGAGCGAGCGTACATTTCACCAAAATGTCTGTCTTGCTATGGGGCCAGATTGTATACCTGAAGCCTGCAGCTTTGAAAGTGGCTTGTCTAGTTAAGGATTTGAAAGTGGCTTGTCTAGTTAAGGATTTGAAAGTGGCTTGTCTAGTTAAGGATTTGAAAGTGGCTTGTCTAGTTAACGATTTGAAAATGGCTTGTCTAGTTAAGGATTTAAAAGTGGCTTGTCTAGATAAGGATTTGAAAGTGGCTTGTCTAGTTAACGATTTGAAAGTGGCTTGTCTAGTTAACGATTTGAAAATGGCTTGTCTAGTTAAGGATTTGAAAGTGGCTTGTCTAGATAAGGATTTGAAAGTGGCTTGTCTAGTTAACGATTTGAAAATGGCTTGTCTAGTTAAGGATTTGAAAGTGGCTTGTCTAGATAAGGATTTGAAAGTGGCTTGTCTAGTTAAGGATTTGAAAATGGCTTGTCTAGATAAGGATTTGAAAGTGGCTTGTCTAGTTAACGATTTGAAAATGGCTTGTCTAGTTAAGGATTTGAAAGTAGCTTGTCTAGTTAAGAATTTGAAAGTCGTCGTTAAACAGTGTGCGTATGGGCCTGAAAGAAAATACCCTCATGGTGGGGGGGGGGGGGGGGGCGCGTTCCATAAGTGCAGAGTCCTGAAGTCTGCTGTTAGGGTTGCTAGTGGAGGCCTTGACCTCGGCCCTCATGGTGTGAAAGTAAAGGCCAGAGAATAATAATCCCTATGGGCGGGGGGCGTCCAAAGCCGGAGTCCTGAAGTCTGTTGCTAGTGGCGCACCTAAGTGCTGTAGGGGTTAGCTGCAAGTCGTTCGCCACGGTAGGGAGAGTTGCTCAAGTTCCATTGAACTCTGGCCGATCTGTTTGAACAAAAGCACTGTCAAGCGTGAGATAACGCGCCCTATCAGGCAGAGTCCTAAAGTGTCTGTCCCGTAGGGTCTTCGGGTCGTCTGTCGCTTACGTGAGATAGTGAGCGCCCTATTAAGGCAGTTAGAGAACCGGAGTCTGCTGCTGGGGTTGCTGGTGGTGGTCTTTTAAGGCTGCCATAGTGTGCCTGTCTGTGTCCCCGATAAGCATTTCATATTGACGTTCAATAACTGCAGAGTCCTGAAGTCTGCTGTAGGGTTGGGTGGGGCGGTGGGGCGGTAGGGGATCCCCAGTATACCTGTCGCACATGTGTGAGAGAGAGAGAGTGCCCTTTTATTTATGTATTATTAGTTTGTTATTATATAGGTTTTCGGCGTTTTTGTGAGGATGTGTAGAAGTGGGGGAGGGGGGAGTTAAAAATCGTCTTTCATGGATGACCCTAATAACAAGCTTTTTTTACAATTATATCCTAAAAAGTAGGGGGGGAAATGCATTCAAAAAGTTTGAATAACAAGCTTTTATTTAATGATTTTCTTTAAATATATAAAGCGGGAGTGATTTCCCTTAAACTTTATCGACACTAAATCTAACCTCAGGAGAGCCGCAGTTGATGGCCACAACATCGAATCTCATGAGAGCCGTAGTTGACGGTTTGTGTGGACCTGGAACAAAATTTGGTGGTTAAGTCTAAACTTCGAGCACCGAATTTGTTGTCCAGTGTGTACTTTCTTCTTCTTCGTTTTTTAATTTTAGTGCTAGAAGGGATCCCCTCCAACACAATTAAGTATACGTGTCAACTTGTTATGCGCCTTTGAAGCCATTGACTCCGATTTCAGCCCGCTTTTTCTGTTTGGATTGGCTTACATAGCCTTTGTCCAACAAAAAAAAAAAAAAAAAAAAAAACTACAAGGCAGCAGTTGTTTGTATTTAGAGTTGTCTCTCCTTTCCGGTTTAGCAGCTTTACCGACTAGACCACGTCAAGCCCCAGTGTGTACTTTGAACACAAATTTTAATGGTACCGCTGAGATAATCTAATCACAAATCTCCTGACAAATTGTATGTATAACATCTAGAAACGAATATAAACACTCAATTATCAAAATATTTTTTTTTAAATACTAAGAGCCATTTTTTTTAAGATTTAGTTTAAAAAATCAAAATCAGCTCTGAAAGTGTCTTTTTATCATGTTCAATTAATAAGGCTAATTATAATATTTCAAGCTAAACTCCACTGTAATTTTGTCAAGTAAAACATTCTGCAGCGTTTATTAAATTTCTACCGTCAATAACTTAATGGTGTTTTACAAGCAAGAATTCACAACTACAACAAATGTCAATGTTTGTATATTCTTTATCTGATTTGCTATCTATGGTGATTTAATTCGAGTAATCGATCTGGATGAACCCGATACACCGTTCAACTTAAGAGAGATTCAGTACCTCATTTCTGGTTGGCCTAACGTCTGCTTCTCCAGGATAACGTGTCTCATTATGGCTTTTATTACAGCTGAAAGATACGTCTGCATAGCGTACCCTCTTACAATAAAACAAATCATTACGCCAAGAAAAACATTCATCATGATTATCATCTTCATCAGCTCCATTATCATGGTCCTGCCTAGTTACGCGACTATGTACTACGACTGGAACTTCTATCCGCGAAGCAACAAAACCAAAATTGGCATTTACGTGACCGATGACGGTACGGTACTCTCGTATTCATTTCTTATACAAAACACTGAGGGAGCTAACCGTATACTGACCTGCGACATCAAAGCTGTTACACTGATTCTTATGTTTTCTTTTATTGTAATTGTTTATGAAATCCCAGACGAACGTATAACTTTAGCAAATTTTTGTGTTGAACTATTAGAAACTATGGATTTTATCAATTTCTGTTTTCATTTGTTTTATAATATTAGAATAATATCTAAAGGCTATATGGAGTTTCTAAACTCAGTTTAAACTGTAAAATGTTCATTTGATGAACAAATAAATTTACCTGAGATAGTAAAATCATATAATTAGAACCTTCAAATGTAAACAAGTATAATCTTGTCAAACAAATTCTGCTGCTTAAATTAACAATGTTTAAATTGTTTAGGATCAAAAGACAAAACCTGAAATATTTATAAGGACTCTAGCAAAGCAACTTTTTAAACATGCTATAACCTTTTTGTTAGCGTTATAAATTTTAATATTAAAATACTGTAGTATAATTACTTGAGATTTCCATTACACGATTATTTCTAAAACCATTTCTCAAAATAATTAAGATAAGCTCATTTTGTTCTCAGTTGGTTTTTTTATGATATAGATTTAGTTAACAATAAGATTGTTTCAACGTAAAAGTAAACTTTTTCCGACTTTTAAATTAATTTCATCTTCGGTGACTTATATATGTATATCTATTTATGTATATCTATATATGTATATCTATGTATGTATATTTATTTATAAAATGTGTAAAATGAACCAATCAAATGTTCTGCTCTAATGTAAGGATAGCAACAGACTCTCCTATAAACACAGTCAACACCTAGCCTGTGTTTATCCTCCAAATCCATGGTTAGCCCACTGGGAAATAATTCCCTTACTAAAAGGTCAACAGACCAGACTGCTCTACATCAACAACTGGTATATGGATATTATTGCCACTCCCCGTCTTTTTCACACACGCACATGTATGCACGTGCTATATCACATACACACACACATAAACACAGGCACACATAGACAAACACACACACACACATACAGACACACGCGCGCGCACTTTAATAAAACACTTTAAACAAAAAAAAAAAAACTCGAATTCCTAGTGAACAAAAGAAATGGTCTTTTAAAAGAAATATGTTAAAACACGGTTTTATCGTCAACAGTCACATGGAAGGTGAAGTAGAGTTGGTGTGTTCCGTGGCCAAGTGGCGAATATAGCGCCCTCTCTACGTAGGACAGCAAATTTCCGTATGACTTTCAATCATTTAACATCAAAGTTACCGCAGTATTAGTATTTTAAAAGCTCTGTGTCGCTAACTCACTTGATAATGTTGAAATGAAAATGTATTAAACATTTCTATGAAAACACTTACTCAATAAAATAAGATTATGTAACAACGTGTTTGACATTTTTTTACAAAATACACATCTAATTGTGTTAGACATCGTACCGGTTATAACACAGTGGATTAATTATAATTGTTTATATTTTGTGTACAAACTGAAGTGGTAATTGTTAAATATAAAAAAAACATGACACTAATTTTAATGAACAAGACGGCTGGAATTGAAGTTTGATGACGTAGACAGGCTGGTCAAAATGCGAGGGAGTCTATGGGGTCGTGATGACGTAGACAGACTGGTCAAAATGCGAGGGAGTCTATGGGGTCGTGATGACGTAGACAGGCTGGTCAAAAGGCGAGGGAGTCTATGGGGTCGTGGCACGAGTCGTGGGTCCACCACTGGTGGATGTTGTGGTACTGGTGGGGCCGGTGGTCCGTGTGGAGCCTCTCACACAGCTGACACTGCCAGTCAGGGAAGTGGGGGATCATCCGGTACCTGGACAAGGGAAGTAACTCTGGTTAACAGTTTTCAGTGAGTTGTTTACCTCAGTGTGACGTCCTTAGTTTGTAGTGAGTTGTTTACTTTAGTGTGAGGTCATTAGTTTCTAGTGAGTTGTTTACTTTAGTGTGAGGTCATTAGTTTGTAGTGAGTTGTTTACCTTAGTGTGACGTCATTAGTTTGCAGTGAGTTTTTTACCTTAGTGTGGGGTCATCATTTAGTACTGGTGTGGACTGAAGCAATATTGATTTTATCGATGTGTGTATTACGTGATGCGTGTGGTGTTGGCTGATGTTTTAATCAGCCCAACAACAAGAGGGAAACAATCTGTGTACACATTATCGCATTACTTTGCGGACTACGTTTGATGTGTACTCGAATACTCAGCTTTTCAGTCTATTCATTGTAAAATTCTCCTCCCATAGCAACACTTTTGCTCTCCATAGCAACATTAGCTTCACCCGCTAATTCCTTTAACTAACTTCTCCCATCGCAACATTAACTCATCCCATAGCAACAGTAACACCTCACATAGCAACAGTAACACCTCACATAGCAACAGTAACACCTCACATAGCAACAGTAACACCTCACATAGCAACAGTAACACCTCACATAGCAACAGTAACACCTCACATAGCAACAGTAACACCTCACATAGCAACAGTAACACCTCACATAGCGACAGTAACACCTCCCATAGCAACAGTATGTCCTTCTATAGAAATACTTCTCCCATAACAACACTAACTCCTCTAACAGCAACACAAAATCCTCCCAGTCACTCCTCCCATAGAACCCCTAGTTCGTCCCACATGCAGGTTACCTGTCCTTGTTCCTGAGGTAGGTGATGTATCTGTCTCTGTCGTTGCCTAGATCATCCAGATAGTCGGCCAGAGCTTCAGGGGTGGAAAAATCTGAGGCGTCGACATACATGTCAGGTGGGAAGTAACGCTTGTAATCCGCCCCTGAAGTTGTCAACAACATACAATATATATTGACTCCTGGTGACCTGTTGTTTACTTCATTAACTAACAGCACACCACTACAGCAGAGACTTGTTTGACTACTGCTTACATCATCATCCAACCCCCACCCATACCACACAATTGTTTGACCACTATCTACAACACCGACACACTCACACCACACAATTGTTTGACCACTACCTACAACACCGACACACCCCCACACACACCACACAATTGTTTGACCAGTACCTACAACACCGACACACCCCCACCTAGACCACACAATTGTTTGACCAGTACCTACAACACCAACACACCATACACAACCACACAATTGTTTGACCAGTACCTACAACACCCACACACCCCCACACACACCACACAATTGTTTGACCACTACCTACAACACCGACACACCCACACCACACAATTGTTTGACCACTAACGTCAACACCGACACACCCCCACACACACCACACAATTGTTTGACCACTACCTACAACACCGATACACCCCCACCCACACCACACAATTGTTTGACCACTACCTACAACACCGACACACCCCCACCTAGACCACACAATTGTTTGACCACTACCTACAACACCGATACACCCCCACCCACACCACAGAATTGTTTGACCACTACCTACAACACCGACACACCCCCACCTACACCACACAATTGTTTGACCACTACCTACAACACCAACACACCCCCACACAAACCACACAAGTATTTGACTACTGTTTACATCATCACCCAAACCCCACCCCCACCACACAATTGTTTGACCACTACCTTCAACACCGACACACCGCCACCTAGACCACACAATTGTTTGACTACTGCTTACATCATCACCCAAACCACACCCACACCACACAACTGTTTAACCACTACCAACAACACCGACACACCCCCACCTAGACCACACAACTGTTTGACCACTACCTTCAACACCAACAACACACACCCCCACCACACAATTGTTTGACCACTAGCTTCAACACCACACCCCCACACCACACAATTTTTTACCAGTACCTTCAACACTGACACACCCCCACACACACCACACAATTGTTTGACCAGTACCTACAACACCGACACACCCCCACACACACCACACAATTGTGTGACCAGTACCTTCAACACCGACACACCCCCACACACACCACACAATTGTTTGACCAGTACCTACAACACCGACACACCCCCACACACACCACACAATTGTGTGACCACTACCTACAACACCGACACACCCCCACCTAGACCACACAATTGTTTGACCACTACCTACAATACCGATACACCCCCACCCACACCACAGAATTGTTTGACCACTACCTACAACACCGACACACCCCCACCTACACCACACAATCGTTTGACCAGTACCTTCAACACTGACACACCCCCACACACACCACACAATTGTTTGACCACTACCTACAACACCGATACACCCCCACCACCACCACACAATTGTTTGACCACTATCTACAACACCATCACACCCCCACCTACACCACACAATCGTTTGACCAGTACCTTCAACACTGACACACCCCCACACACACCACACAATTGTTTGACCACTACCTACAACACCGATACACCCCCACCACCACCACACAATTGTTTGACCACTATCTACAACACCATCACACCCCCACCTACACCACACAATCGTTTGACCAGTACCTTCAACACTGACACACCCCCACACACACCACACAATTGTGTGACCACTACCTACAACACCGACACACCCCCACCTAGACCACACAATTGTGTGACCACTACCTACAACACCGACACACCCACACCACACAATTGTTTGACCACTACCTACAACACCGACACACCCACACCACACAATTGTTTGACCACTACCTACAACACCGACACACCCACACCACACAATTGTTTGACCAGTACCTACAACACCGACACACCCCCACACACACCACACAGTTGTTTGACCACTACCTACAACACCATCACACCCCCACCACCACTAGTTTGTCCACTCACCACCCCTGACGACAGGAACGACATCGACGTTGTCAAAGATCTTGAAGAACTTCTCGCTGATGTACTCCTGGCACAGAGAGTTCTCGAAGGCCAGGTAAAACCTGCACAGGTACAAACGTCATCAGTGGCTGACTGACACGGTGTCAAACTAGGTCTGGGCTGACATGTCATACAGCCAGTCACACTTTTAGAAGTCTTGTTGACATGTCACAATCTTAGAAGTCTTGTTGACATGTCACAATCTTAGAAGTCTTGTTGACATGTCACATCCTTAGAAGTCTTGTTGACATGTCACAATCTTAGAAGTCTTGTTGACATGTCACATCCTTAGAAGTCTTGTTGACATATCACACCAGCTTACAGAACACAAAGACTCACTTGTACGTGCTGGTCAAGATGGGGAAACACATCTGCTTGTCCTCCTTCTTACGCATGCTCTGGACACCAGGAACTAGCTCAGCCGTTCCACATGAGTAGTTGCCACATTTGCCAAACACATCAATGTCCGTCCTGTTAACCAAAGCCGTGGACTAACGTAATATTGACAAAAGCTATGTGGACCAAAATTATGTGGACCAAAATTATGTGGACCAAAATTATGTGGACCAAAATTATGTGGACCAAAACTATATGGACCAGATTTTTGTGGTACTAAGGCATGTAGATTTAAAGAGTGTGGTCAACGTTAATATGTAGAATACATCTCATGATTATGTGTACAAAAAACTTCGCATATTATTCAGCTTTGTTTGAAAACAACATAAAAGAACTTAAAAACACAATCAATTTCATCCCTGTTGAATTTAAACTTTAGAGTCATTCTAATAACTTCGTATATTTCCGAAGACGTACAATTATAATATGAATGCCAACAGCCTAAACTTTTTTCTAAAATGCGTTTGTCTACATTAGTTTGTATCAAAAGCTACTCACCTGTTTTGCATTTTATGGACATAGATCAACCGGTCTGATCTGACTGGGCAGTGGCTCACAAACCAGGCAGCCGTTCGTGTTTTACCGTCAAAGATTTTTCCTACAACATTTGATCGAGTGAGTGGTTTGTAAAATATGTTTAGGATGTTAAGAAATTAGACATTTTTAAACGTCAGGGAGCTAGCGGAGTGAGGGAGGGGTGGAACAGCAGTCCATCATATGAACCTTGTAATTTATGACATAGTGTAATTTATGACTCTGCTACCCTACTCAGTGAGGTAAAAAGCAAAGTAAAGTACCTTTCGAACAATCAGGTTGATTGGGGCAGGTGAAGTGGAGTAAGTAAAGTACCTTTTCGAACATGGCGGTCCATGAACAGGTGAATTAGAGTTCATCTGTTTCAAAGGGGTAGTCAGCACTATGCCCAGCCGTCTTTCACTAACGTGAGTCAGGTACCCATAAGAGCTGGGTGAACTCGGAAAAGTTGTATGGGCACGACCCAGAGATACTGTAATCTTGAGGACAACAAATGGCGTGTTGAGGCTAACCGATTATGTCAGCTGAGACAAACAACGTTACATGGCCTGTTGCTTCCCTTACATCATTAACTCCCCTTAAATAATGTGTTCACTGGGAAGAGCAGCCATTTTCCTCTCTTACCGTAACCTACCTAAAATGATAGACTTTTTTTCTCTTACCGTAATCTATCTAAAACGATAGACATTTTTTTTCTTTTACCGTAATCCCTTTGCAAGAGGTCGTTGCGGATGAGCTTACCGTAATCCTTCTCCTGTATGAGGTCGTTGCGGATGAGCTTACCGTAATCCTTCTCCTGTATGAGGTCGTTGCGGGTCAGCTTACCGTAATCCTTCTCCTGTATGATGTCGTTGCGGATGAGCTTGCTGTAGACGATGGGGATGTCGCTGTCCAGCTTGTGGGTCAATGTCCAGTTGAACTGGTCCCGTAGTCCCGCTCTGTCCAGACTTTCAAACCAGGTGAACCGTGACGGTGCCTCGTCAGTCTTTAGGATCCAACTAAAATCACGTGACCATTTGTTTATACAATAAACAGACATGTTTTTATTTACTTATCCAACATTCACCTCATGTTTGCATGCTAAGATACGACTAGGCTGACTAGAAAAACAAAATACGAGGGCTAATTTTTTCAGATATTCGTTTTGATTTCCCGACAAACATTCGCAAACTTTCCCACAAATATTTTATTTGACCAGATTTAACACACATCTTAAATTCGCCCTTATTGTCCCATGACAGTAAATACATGTTGGCTGATTTCTATTTTATTTTTTACAAAACTCACATTTGGCTACATCATTTACACAACATGAAGAAATTTTGTTGTTTACAAAACTCACAGTTGGCCAGGTTTCCTGTAAAATGTTGGAACGGGAGCAGTTGTCAAACGGGCAACAAGAAACAAAACAGCGTCTGCAACTTCCACGTTGTGAACCATTTGACACTTGTCGTATTCACACTGTAGAATTTAGTCAGAAGAAAACATTTTTTTTTTTAAATTTAATTAAAAGTAAACCCTGACATTGCTAACTGAGCCTACAAAAAAGCAACTGATATGGCTACTACTTATGACGTGGACCACTGCAATGTGTAAACAACTCACGTGGTTGACCACTGCAATGTGTAAACAACTCACGTGGTTGACCACTACAATGTGTAAACAACTCACGTGGTTGACCACTACAATGTGTAAACAACTCACGTGGTTGACCAATGTGTAAACAACTCACGTGACTGAAGTTAGTTTTCAACAAGAAGTTGAGTTGCTTGAGTGGGTTGTAGAAACCAATCGTTTTTATTTCAACTGCTCCTTCTGGCTTGTGCTTAGTGTACCTGTGACATGGAACATTTTAATAAACTGTGTGATAACACATTATACAAGACTGTGCACCTAGGAAACAACACACTAGACTGTGTGTCAGCACATTTTACTAGATTGTGTATGATTGCACATTCAACTAGATTATGTCACTGCTATAAATGGATGCAAAAGATATGTGATATTGTAATAAGGAAGACACATATTCATGTAAGTGACGCGACTTATTTGCATGACAATCTTTAAACTTGTGTCAATGACAACACACAGTGCTAGATATGTCAGTGATATTTTTGATACTGTCATGTTAGTGAAATAGTTCACATTATGTCATGTCAATATATCTCATACTACCGTGTATGTTGCAACATAACAGCGACAACACTATCATGTCAGTAACAACACGTAATGTTATGTTGTCATGTCAGGACGTCACTCGCACTGTCATGCCAGTGACAGTGACAAGACTCACACGGTGCCTGTCATATCAGTTCCAGGTTTTTGTATATACGGAGATTTACTCTCGTCAAAAATCACCAGCGTCTGCTGGAAACTTCCTGCAAAAAAAAAAAATAAGTTGTCGTCTGCTTTGTTAGGTCAAAATTCTAGTTTAAATACACTCACCTGGTTATATTAAACAAAACTATCTTTATATAGCTTTACGCATATATCAGAGGCGTAGCGAGGGGGGCATAGGTCCCCGGCCGCCAACCTTAGGGGGCGCCAAAATGACAAAATGAGTTGGAAAAATAAATTAAAAGCTTGATGGGGGGGGGTGCAAATCGAAAGTTTGAGGGGGGGGGGTGGAAATCGAAATTTTGAGGGGGGTTGCAAATCGAAATCTTGAGGGGGGGTGCAAATCGAAAATATGTCCCCGGGCGCCGGGAAGAGTCGCTACGCCTCTGGCATATGTTATCAAATATGGGTGCCTAAATAAGGACAGGCCCCAACCTTCTTTTATGGGCAGCAGTTCGACGCCATCTTGTGAACGAAACACCCACGCAGATTGTTTCTTGTCCACGCCCCGCCCAGCGCGTGGGAGTAATACGACGTTCAACAGGCCAATGCCGGTAACCACGGCAACGAAAATAAAAACTTGAAAACATGGAGACAAGCGGGTAACCCTCATCTTGATGTGTAGCTTGAAAGACGTGGCACTCTGTGAGATACAGAAATCTGAATGTTATGTTCATACTTCTTAGTTACATTGTATGCAGGGCATTACAGGGGCTAGTTGTGTAACGTATGACTACCTGTGTTAAATCTACTTGTAGCCTATAATAGTTGACTACGTGTGTAAAATCTATCTACCTAAGACTAATGTTTGACAAGCTGTGTAACATCGCACTACCTTTATAAAATATATATTCCTGTGTAATGTCAAACTCCTATATACAATCTGAATACCTGTATAAAATCTACTGTATAACATCAGACTACCTGTCTTAAATCTGGATACCTGTGTAAAAGCTACTTCTGAAACATCTGACTAGGCCTACTAACAATCTAAACAAATGTACATATAAGTGTAAACTGATAAACTTAGTATCAACTGTTTGAATCAGCTCAAATTACCTATAAAACGTGTTAGTAAAGACAAATTACCTGTAAAACGTGTTGGTAAAGACAAATTACCTGTAAAACGTGTTAATAAAGACAAATTACCTGTAAAACGTGTTGGTAAAGACAAATTACCTGTAAAACGTATTAATAAAGACAAATTACCTGTAAAACGTGTTAGTAAAGACAAATTACCTGTAAAACGTATTGGTAAAGACATATTACCTGTGGCGAAATATCAGAAAACCATAAGAAGATTCACTGTGATCATATGGCTCAGTAGCTCAGAAAAACTCAATCATTGCAGCGAAAGGTAAACTGTTAACCTGGAGGGGAGGGGGGTATAAATTGATATAGTTCAAAACTTGCATCATCTAACGACATTTGTGAGGGCGGAGAGCTTGAATGGGCAGTAACTGTCGGGTGAGTATTGATGCGCAGGTGATGTTTTAACACGTTTTGTTTTCTACCTTAGGATGGCGACATGGGGACAACACACATCATTTAGGCTAACATGGGGACAACACACATCATTTAGGCTGGGGACATGGGGACAACACACATCATTTAGGCTCACGACATGGGGACAACACACATCATTTAGGCTCACGACATGGGGACAACACACATCATTTAGGCTCACGACATGGGGACAACACACATCATTTAGGCTCACGACATGGGGACAACACACATCATTTAGGCTCACGACACGGAAACAACACACATCATTTAGACTCACGACATGGGGACAACACACATCATTTAGGCTCACATGGGGACAACACACATCATTTAGGCTAACATGGGAACAACACACATCATTTAGGCTGGCTACATGGGAACGACACACATCATTTAGGCTCACGACATGGGGACAACACACATCATTTAGGCTCACGACATGGGGACAACACACATCATTTAGGCTCACGACATGGGGACAACACACATCATTTAGGCTCACGACACGGAAACAACACACATCATTTAGACTCACGACACGGGGACGACACACATCATTTAGGCTCACATGGGGACAACACACATCATTTAGGCTCACGACATGGGGTCAACACACATCATTTAGGCTCACGACATGGGGACAACACACATCATTTAGGCTCACGACACGGAAACAACACACATCATTTAGGCTCACGACACGGAAACAACACACATCATTTAGGCTGGGGACATGGGGACAACACACATCATTTAGGCTGGCATGGGGCCAACACACATCATTTAGGCTCACGACATGGGGACAACACACATCATTTAGGCTGGCATGGGGCCAACACACATCATTTTGGCTCACGACATGGGGACAACACATCATTTAGGCTCACGACATGGGGACAACACACATCATTTAGGCTGGCATGGGGCCAACACACATCATTTAGGCTGGCATGGGGCCAACACACATCATTTAGGCTCACGACATGGGGCCAACACATATCATTTAGGCTGGCATGGGGCCAACACACATCATTTAGGCTCACGACATGGGGCCAACACACATCATTTAGGCTGGCTACATGGGAATAACACACATCATTTAGGCTCACGACACGGAAACAACACACATCATTTAGGCTGGCGACATGGGGTCAACACATATCATTTAGGGCTTTTGTATAATGTCATAGGAACGATACCATCAAAGTAGGCTTTTGTATAATGGCATATGAAAAACACGGTCTTGTATATTATTTCTGCAATCTGTCACTATAATGGTATCGTGGGGCGCACAAAAAGACGAGAGTTGGATTCTAGGCTTGAGCATGCAGGCTATCCCTGAGTCCATCCAGTTCTAATTGGTGCCCAGCTCATATTGAGGAAAATAAATACATAAATACTGCTGGATGCAGTCTGTCCCTGAGTCCACCCAGCTCTGATGGGTACCCAACCCACATTGAGGAAAATAAATATGGCTGGATGCAATCTGTCCCTGAGTCCACCCAGCTCTGATAGGTACCCAACTAAAATTGGGGGAAATAAATATGGCTGGATGCAATCTGTCCCAGAGTCCACCCAGCTCTGATGGGTACCCAACTCATTTGGAGACAGTAACTGTGGCTGGACATACAACCACATTAGCCTATAATAAACCCAAGCCACAGTAACAGGTGGACTCTACTGCATCTATCTTTTAGACAGGTCCAAATTGGGAACTATCTGTAGTACTCCTTCATACCATGGCTTGTGCATTAAGTTATTATTAACCTTTCTTTGGTTTAAGTAAATAGATACTAATTCATGCCATAGCTTGTGCATTAAGTTATTATTAACCTTTCTTTGTTTAAAGTAAATAGACACACTGATTCATGCCATGGTGTGTGCATTAGGTTATTATTAACTTTTCCTAAAGTAAACAGACACGTTGGTTCAGGCATCAAAGTTGTTGCTGTGCTAAAACTAGTAGTTTGGTTTCATTAACACAATCATCTCCCAAAAATGGTGTGTCCATTAAACAAAAGATAAACAACATGAGAAAATAAGTCAAGTACTTTAATCCACAAGAAATTTTAAAAGATACATGGATGTACAATGGATGTACATGAACTATAAATTTAAAAAAAGCATATTAATTAATTAAAATTAATTGATGTCTACACCATACACCAGAAGGGGCTAAAATAAATGAGCACCACAGACTTCATTAAGACACCAGCCATCAAATTCTGATGACTCTTACACCAGAGTGTCATCTGTTCACTACATGGAAATGTTTGGTCATGTGATCATCAGACCAGGTGAGCAACCAATCTCACCTGTTCTACAGGTGCAAGATTTTATTCCTGTGTTATGTCCATCCAATTAAAACCATACAAATCAGAACTAAATTAATGGATGCTTTAAATTACCAAGTTTTAGAAACTACATAAAAAGTCCACTAGAAAAGAAACATGTACATGACATTATGGTGTTCTAACCCCACAAGACAAAACCAACAATAATTGACATAGAAGCTAACATAAAATTGCACTTTGAGCACCTTGGGTGCCGATATAGAAGATACAAGGGGCAGACAACTTGTGGTTCACAAGGAAAGCTAACCCACAGCCAGCTAGAGTAAATTATTACCAATCATGTGACTACCAGAAACACTGTCAAGTCTTCAGACATTTCAAAACTTGACTTTTTCACCTCATTGGTCAATTAACAAGGGTGGAAGCAAGATTTAAAACCTTAAGTATACCAATGTATAAAAACTAATTGTATCAACAGAAGGAAGTTTAATGAACACAAAGAATGTATCACAGCCAGACAATAGATTTTGTTCATACTAATTTTACCAAGCCCAGATGATTTGTTCAGAGACCTACAACACTATTAAAATCTAAATCGTTTCTTCTAGTATTTATAATTTTTGTATTACTGACTGTACACAAGACAAAACACTTTTTTTTAAAAGATTTAAGATGGAGACTATGAAGACCCAATGATTTACTCATACTCCTATGGAAGAATTCACTGACATGTAACTGAGGACTGCTGTGAAACCAATAAATAAAAAGCTACAGTGCAGGCGCCTCATTTCTTTAAGGCATCCAACCTCTTGCTGATGCTCTCAATGTTCTGCTGGACTATCTTGTTGTTTTCTGCCAGGCTGGAGCCAAGCTGTCAAATACACAAAGTCTGTTAGTTACCAGAAACATTCAGCACAACAACAGTAAGAAGAAAATATTTTCTATATAACAACCAACAGTTTAAACTTGGTACAAGATATGTGATCAAACAACAAAATAATAAACACTTTTTGTTGATGTAGGTTTGTGTTAAACACTTTTTATTGATGTAGATTTGTTACCCATGTTTAACTCAAGCATTTGATAACTAACCTAAAATCTTGTTTCTCAACAAACTAAATGTTTTTTTCCCAGCAACTAGAAATCTATTACTATTGCATGCCTCAACCAAGATCCAGGCTAAAAATGACTTAGTTCTACTTTGGTACTAGATCCAACAAGTATGAACAACTGTAGAGGTAATGTTACCTGTTTCTGCATGTCACTGTGAGCTGTAATGCTGGCCTTTAGCTCCTGTTGGGCTGTGTCTAGGAAGGAAAGGGCTTGACTAAACTGTAGAGCTGTTGGGATATAGTCACCAGGTTCATGATCAATTTTACTTTTGAAAATAGTAAGGAGGGGGGGGGAATCAAAGAATGAATAAAAGAAAGTAAAATGGTTTGAATGAATGTCTAACCCTGAGAAATCGAATGAGTGAAAAAATCAAAGAATGAATAAAAGAAAGTAAAATGGTAGGAATGAATGTCTGAGAAGACTGACCCTGCTCATGTAGATCTTTCAGTGAGACCAGTCTGTCTACCACCTGTGGCAATGTTTCAGCTGTGGCCTCCCATTTCTTCACTATATCATACAGTTCAGAAATCTGGCAACATAGGAAATGGTAAGATTTGCTAGCACCAATTTTTGACCAAACAAATTTAACCAACAGACAGATATTTATTTAAGATAATTATTAAAACAAACAACAGATAGACATTTATTTAACCAATTGATAGAATGTACAAAAATATTCTCCACCTTTTTTTGTTTATCAGGGTCTGCTTGGGGTTCCTTCTCTTTTTTCTCAGCAATTAGTTGCATTTTTTGTAGGACAGCATTGAGTCGGGCTTCCACAGTTTCTGTGTTGGTGGCATCTAACAATGAGAGCTTGGAGTTTAGTGTGGCCACAGCTCCCTGAATGGTGGTAAAACAGTTCAAACTTTATGTAAACACCACAAACTAATTGTATCAACAAAATATAATGGTATTAAATGTTTTAATTGAAAAGAAGTTAACAAGAAAAACAAACTTACAATTAAAGATTTGTTTTCACTATCAGCTGTCAACACATTCTGAGGAAACACAAAGGTATTTAACCAATGAAGGCATGACTGTAAGTTAAAATGAAAGAAAATATTAAATAATACTGGATGATCAGCATAAATTATAAGAGTGCTCATAATTGTTGGCCTGTGATGGTTGTGTGGAATAGACAATGGTATTGTTTGCATTTAAATAGACAAGAAGTGTTTTGTGCTAATAAAGAAAAAAAAAAAATAGCAATTTCTACCAACTCAAAAACATAGTTACCATTTTATCAAAACTCTTGCCTATAACACTTTCAAGCCGCTCTAGTCTTTCTTCTAAGGTTGCAAGCTGTAAAATGAAGGGGGAAAACATTTTTAACATGATGGAGTACATTTATCAAATGGGTTATATTTTATAAACAAGTAAATGGCTCCATAGTCAGACACATGATTGGGTGATTGCACCTTGGAAATCAAGAAGCAAAGCCTTGGCCTTAAGTTGAGTGGAGTCAGATATAATATTGCCCATGAATAAGACTCCCGCTTTCCTCAAAGAGAGGAATTACCTATACAGCTTGGCACCAGCAGCACTAAAGGAGCTGCCGAAAGGAAACCCGAGTTGGTATTCTATTGCCTAAGGGACTTCACTCAGGTCTGATAACAAATTTTTTTTCTCCCAGCTATCAAACCTCATCTGCTTAGGGATTTCAGGACTTTTTCATTTAGCAATCATGAACTTTATCGGCCTGACTATGCCAATCCATAAACAGGTAAAAAGAAGCTAAATTAATTGAAAAAGGTTGTTCAATACAGGCAAAAAGGAAGTAAAATGAATAAAAACAAGGTAAAACAATGTACTACCTTGGCGTTTTTACTGAACTGTGACTGCTCAGGTCTGTAGTAGAGCTCATACAATATATAGTCCTTGTCTTTACTCTCCCCGGCTCCCTTCTCCTTTCCTTTGCCCTGTGTTCCAGGCTGGAAACTTTCTAGCTGGGTCAGCAGGCGTCTAGGGTAAACAAAATTAGAGATCATTGTCTGGTTTAAATAGCTGTTTTATTTTAATAAGTAGCTATTTTCTTTAAACATCTATAACAGGGGTCTCCAAACTGTGGCCCGCGGGCCGGATGCGGCCCTCGAAGTCCTCTCATCCGGCCCGCGGAGATCTTTTCGTCCAAGGAAAAATCGTTTGTTGTTGAAGGCTGAGGAACTTTGCCCAGGAAAATCAAATACATGCCTGGAAGAAACTGGCCCCGAACTGAAATTTGATAGTTAATGCGGCCCTCGGACTGAAAAGTTTGGAGACCCCTGATCTATAACATTTAATTTTTTAATGTTTTGTAGAATAAAGTAAATTTTTGTACTGCTACCACTTTGAAGGTGTTTTATAGTGCATAAAACAAATGTCTATTTTATACATATAACAAGTAAGATTGTAGTTATTTAAGGTCTGATTAGAAGCAGGAAAATGCATGTTTCTAAGACATAGACAGCAGTACAAAATAAAATGATCACACACTGATCATACACAAAACTTTTTTTTTAAAAAGTAGTTACTTTTTTAAAGCCCCCTGTGGATCAGCTAGGTCAACATTAGCTTCAGGGCCAAGCAGCTTTTCCAGGTGAAGATCTGCCAGTTGATGCTGGAGATACTCCAGCTGTTTGCCTATAGCCACTGGTGACAGAGACTCCCCTGAACCAGTGTCCTTCACTGTCTCCTACAAAAGAACAAAGACACACACACTAATGTTTTTAAGTAATCAAACATTAAAAAATGCACCACTGTACACTTAAATATATCATCATTTGGATAAAGGACAGGCTAAACCTTGCAAGGAGCTTTTCAGTAGTTACTTTACCTTAACTTTGCTAGCTTCATCAGCTAGCTCTCTAATTTCATGTTGTAGGCGTTGAAACTTTTGCTGCAGTGTTTCTTGTTTACTTCCAGCTTCAGCCTAAAAACATTTATTGAGTTTGTTAAGAAAATTCTAGTCAATTGATGAACAATGTATCTACTGAATAATGGAAGAAGATATAAGTGCATTCAATGTATATGGTAAAAACTTACCAGCTCATATTCAGTTCTGTCAGTAAAATATCCTATTGTTCTTGACTTGCCAACACTATCTGAAAAATCTGAAAAGTGTATGTAACATTTTTAATATTTCAGGTATTGAAAATGCAAGCATACATAATATAGTGAAACGGCAGTAGTCTAAGAAGAGTGAAGTGAACAGTCAAATAAAAAATACCTGTTTTTCCTGTTGATATGGATTTCCCTTTGAAAACTTTAAAGGCATTATCAGTGTTGATATTTAATCTCTCAATATTTTCACTGTCTGTTTCTTCCTAGATAATACAAACATAAGAACCTTCATAAACCTAATAATGGCCAACTAAGAAAACCTTTAATGTTTTAAGTGAAATGTAAATTAGTAGTGTAATGAATACTGCAAAAGAATTAAATAAAAACAGGAGAATCTTTAAAATGACAACTCATCTTCTAAACCTAGCATTTTAAGGAGAGTATTTCTAAATCATTATCAATGTTTCAGATTTTTTCCTCGGGGGGGGGGGGGGGGGGGGGGAAGAGAAAGAGGAGGGGTGTGGTAGACTTTCTTCAAAGGGGTGCCTGGAAGAAACTCTGATCATTATGGTTAAAGCCACACTAATTAAATAAAGAACTCTACAGGTTATTAATAGATTGTAACATTTAAAATATGTTTTACTTTATTTTTAGCACATTATCATCACTCTAAAATGGCTTATCATGTGATTAACTTACAGGACCACTGACTAGATTCTGTTCAGCTTCTGGTAAATCACTAGATTCAAAAACATCTGGGGAATTCACATCCTGAAAAAATGAGATGTATCAATATTAGAGGAAAAAAAAGATGAGCCAACAAAAATGATAATTGAACAAAAACAAGTAAAAAAATATACTGTATAACATTTTAGCCACATCACTGAGGATTTGGTTAGTAATAATTTTTTTTATCAGTTAGTGTTGATATTCCAATCCTGCACTCTTAGTTATTCAAACCACATTACAGTAGTATTTGTCATAAGTTAAGTCATTAAATATAAGCCACTAAATAATAAATAAATTCAAAGATGTATTTGCTTGAACAGTCTTTTGTAACAGTTTATAAAGCCTGATCACTCAAACACTAACTATTAGGCCAACTAATTAGATCTAGATCTTGTGATCCAAAATACCTTTTTCATGTGCACTTGAAAAAGTTCGCCATTTTGATGAACACAAATTCTAGCCATAAAAATCAAAAAATTGAATGTAATCAATACAAACACTGAGTTGTATGGTAAACATTTCGAGAAGTTTCTGGGTATAGGGATACAAAGGGTCAACTCAAAATATTATAAAATGTTTTTGTAATTCAGAACTAATACTAATACCATAGGCCTAATTTTTTTAGTTTAGTAAATTTGGGACTAATAAATTTTTAGTACCCATTTCTATGTAAGACTGTGACTGTGATAATTAGAAGCATTTTTGTTTTACTAAAATGCCTAGATTAGTAGATAGAGGAGTACTAGTAGATCTACTTACTTAGATTCTAAAAATAGGCCAGAAATTAACTTTAAACAGCAGTGTTTGCGAGCAACATTTGCTATATAAACAGCAGCCATTAGTAAGTTAGGGGTCATCCATATCAGGCATATGTGACGCTTTTTTTGACGATTTTTACCTCCCCCCCTCCCCTCCATCACACGTCGTCACAAAAAGCCAGACCCCCCCCCCCCCTAAAATGACGTCACACCTCAACCTACAACCCCCCTCAAAATTGCAGTTGAATATTTTTAAAACATCGATATTTTTCCAAAATCTTGTCTAAACTATTACAATTTATTAAAACAGTTATTTAAAACACAAAATAACATCTAAAATTCCTTTTCTAACATTGCTTTTTTATAATGCAAAAATGTGACGTCGCAACATCTGAACCCCCCCTCCCCCTCATCACACATCGTCACAAAATTACGGACCCCCCCTCCCCCCTACGAGTGTGACATCATTTATGGATGACCCCTTAGAGTGGTTTTCCATTTTCCCTGAATCTCTAACTATAATTTTACCAAAAAGAAACAAACAAGATGGCTGCTAAAGTAAATGAGCTTGGTTGGGGTGTGGGGAAATTGCGAGACGCGAAACGCGAAATGGCGAGGCGGGAAAATACGAGAAGGGCGCGAAAACGGTCGGTCACGTGACTTTTTTGTCTCGCATTTTACCACAAGCCGATACTTACGCTGGGTGGTGTTGAAATGCGAAGATTTCTGCGAAAAATTTACCGCACCCGATTTTCAGTGGTATTTGGTCCAGACTTCAAAGACGTTTCGTTTACATTGTTAAAACTTCCGATTTTTCCGTCGCTAGACATACTGATGATTTGTCAACTCCCCCCATCTTTTGTGTCGACTTAGAATACCACCTTGTTCGAAACCGATTGAAATACCGCCGACGATAGATCAACTTCTGTCTTTTGTGTGGAATGCCGAGGCCGCCTTATTTACCGTCTTTGAAGATCGCCGTGCCCGGATCCGCTGCCGCCGCAAACATATTTTCTATTGTTGCATAGAAATTGTGTATTATAGCCGCCGCCTACGTTTTTTTTCTAGCTTTTTTTACCATATAAATCTAAGCACAAGGAAATGCCTACATCATTTGGATACAACAAAATAAAGTGACGTCACCGATATTATCAGTTGCTCGTGCTATATCGTAAGCTATGGGCCTACTTCAAATATTTTTAAAACCAAGTTGAACTTATCTGAATTTTTTGGTTTTGGTGGTGGTGTTATTTGGGGGTCTTCCATAAATGACGTCACACTTGTAGAGGGGGGGGGTCTGTAATTTTATGACGATGTGTGATGAGAAGGAGGAGGGGAAGGGGGGTAGATGTGAAGTCACACTATAAAAAAGCAATGTTAGAAAAAGAATTTTAGACGTTTTTTTGCGTTTTAGAAAACTGTTTTAATACATTGTAATAGGAATTGATTAAAATACTCTATTTTGACCGAAATTAGACAAGATTTTTTAAAAAAAAACTCAACTGCTGGTGACAACAATGAGCAAGACAAAAAACGGAAAACAGATGTTGAGCGTGCGGATGATGATGATGAGAACATGGGTGCCAGTGTTGTTTGTGGGATGAACGAGGAGGTCAACTGTGATGAGAATGTGAAATGTTGTGAATGTGGATTGGAAGAAGTAGCAAAAGAAAAATGTATAAATGGGAGTCTAATGAACTGGGTTGGGTGTACTATGTGTGAAAGATGGTGTCACGAGGTGTGTTTGAGGACTGTTTCAGAAAATTTTGTTTGTAAATTTTGTTTGTAATTAAAATTACTTAATAAAAAAATAAATTGCACTTTTTAGAATTGTTTATACTTTTACACTTTTTGCAAGTACAAAAATCCATAAACAGATGTTGCAAAATATCTCTCCTGCTGACAAGATTATACCAATTCACAATGACACAGCTCACGTTTGTATAAACATGAGCGGGCTAGATTTTTAAATTAATGCCGACTGAGACGGGATTTTCCTCTCGCTAACAAGAGCGGGCGATGACAGTAGCACAGCAATGATGTTAGGATTTTTAAATAGATAGATCTAGATATAGATCTATCTATCTTCTTAGTATCTAGATAAAAAATAACAACATACAACACTCGTGTTAAAGGCTATGGCTAAATGCTTGTTTATTTTAAAACAAAAAAAAATAATTTAAATAAATAAAGATGGAAAAAAAAAGGAAAAAACTTTTTTCGCAAAACGTGTCTCGCTATTTACCCTTAATTCCGCAGGTATGTCTCGCATTACCTTCTCGCATTTTCCCGCCTCGCCATTTCGCTTTTCGCGTTTCGCAATTTCCCCACACCCGCTTGGTTGCACCTGATGAAAACATCACGCCACTAGTCTTTATTTTTTTACTGAAGTTTTAATTCAATTGTTTAAAAATGACTATCTGATAGTCTAGAGTCTAGCTAGAGTTTCTAGAATCTCTAGACTAGACTATAGCTAGTCTCATAACGCGAGTTGAATTACCTCCCCTGACCCGCTTTTTTATGGCCACTTTCTAGTTCGTTTTTTTCGATCGCGTCTCGGCACTGTTGCTAAAAATAGCATTCGCGCAATACCATACGGGTAAATCTGTTTGGCGTCTGCTACACGTGATAGATCGTTGAATGGCCGACAAGCTGATATAAAAATTATTGCGACCGGATGCGATTTTCGTGGAAATTGAGCTAGATTTAGCAAAAGACAGCTATATTTGTGTAAAATATTATTATTTATACTTCTACTTACACAGATATTTTGATAACTGCAGTTCAGCCGTCCATTTTTCTTTTAAAATGTATCTTTAGAATTTCTGTACCTTTTGGCAATCGGTCAGGAGCATTTGCGCACTAAACCCACCCCCCTACGGCAGATCCGATTTTTTTCCCAGTGAACTCGTACTGACCTCCCACATAGCTAAGATAGTACATTGATACTGATGGGAAAGCCTCTAAATCTGTATTTCTACTAGAGTCTAGAGATCTAGAAATAAATCTAGATCGTGGAGTTTTTATAATGACTTTTAAATTGAACGTCTCCAGTTTAAGATATTTTTTTTTCAAAACATAGCTACTTTTAGTACTATATTTAAGTATTTCAAACCCTTTTGGTAGTTTTTTCTTAAACTTAGACCTAGATCTAGTGATTAGATATCTATATTTTGTACTTATAACTTGCAGGCCTATTAAAATAATAATAAAACAGTTTGCTTGATAACTTCATTAGGTCATTTCATAAACACAAATGTTATAAACATATAAAAATCACAAAACCATAGGTAATATCTGAATTCTGTAGCCTACCTTACATTTAGGCTAATACTGAATTAAAAAGAAATTACATTAAGGTTTGAAATTAATACAACTTGTAATTAAGAAAGAAAGCTTCAATTCTAAATACTACAAGATATAATAACAAACAATGAAACAAATTCAAAGCTTTTTTCAACCCATTTAGTCGAAAAGATTTTTATTTTTTCCGATATTGACCAAAATAAGTTTTTAAAGCTTAGGCCTAATGTTTTTACAAACATAACTCAATTTTATTAGGCCCCTGTAAACATTAATTAAGATTCCTCTGTAGACAAAGCAATCTATTTTACAGATGAAGTAGAGTTCATGTTTCTTGACCTCAGCATATGAAGTGATTGTCAGTGTGGTCAGCGATATTCACAGCTGCCTTTACTTTTTACCTTTAATTTCCCCAATGTATATCAGGTACCCATCAGAAATGGGTGGACTCTAATTGAATTTTATTAAACAAACATTTTGATATAGGCCTAGATCTATAATCTATAACATTCCAAACAACATCTGTTCTGTAGAATTTACCTTTCTGCTTCCAAATGCGGTATTTTCCAATTGAAAATTCATCACAAACCATACAATAAATTATATAAATGGCATTTTATAAATTTATATAAACTATTTACTTTCACCTTGGTGTAAAAAAATGTAGGTATAAGTAGGGTTGTCGGCATCCGCCGAGTTTGCGGTAAAAACATGACCCGAAATCGCCCATTACTTTCTGATACCGGACCCACGAGATTTGGTTTTGCATACTAATAAGTTTTTAATTTATGGTAATTAATTAAGTTTAAAAGGTCATTTCCTAAGGATAATTAAAAAGAAGAGTGGTTATCCCTTAGTTTTAATGGCTTTGCGACCTGATTGCATGCTGTCTCTGCTTTGGTCTTCCCTCTGTATCAAGGTTAGTTTCAAATACGTTGGAATCTCGATTTTTTAAAAGATTCCTCTAGATGAGAGTAGATTACTGATCAGACATATCTTAAGTAATTGGAAATGAAATTTGTTTTTGGATATTTTGACTCCGACATTAGTTATACCCCTCCGAACGTAGTCACTGTATGTAGGTCACGCTGCCACCATTGTTATATTTTTTCATCCCGATCTTCCTGCCTTTAAGTTTGATCAACTAATAACAGCATTCTTATGGCATGTGCAAACAAATCTAATTTTTTATTTCAAAATATATTTACATACCCATCTTTAATTTTTTCAGCTCTAGTTCTAGTTTTGCAGAATATGTTTTTCCTAAAAATCCAATTTTGTCAGACTAGACTCTAGACTGACAAGAGTCAGACCTAGATCTAGGTTACCTGTCTGTTGCTATACACTAGCATTGTGCTAACTGTAATTTTAAGTATTCAAGTTCTACTTACCCTTAGATATAGTTATATGCTGAAAATCAAAATCCATACACAATTCACACATAAAAACATTGATCTGATAACTTCATTTCACTTATTACAAAATGGCTTTTATGTGGACTCTACTTCACCTGCCCAAAATAACAAGGCAGTTATAGACACATTACAGTGTTCAAGTCATTTACTTTAGATTTCTGACTATGGAGTTCTTTCATTCACTGTATTTATATAAAATATTGCTTTAGAAACATTTTCATATTTGCGCAGCAGTTTTATAACAAAATGGCTTAAAGATGGACTCTACTTCACCTGCCCAAAATAATGAGGCAATTATATGCACATAACAGTGTTCAAGTCATTTACTTTAGATTTCTAACTTTGTAGTTCTTTCATTTGCTGTATTTATATAAAATATGGCTTTAGAAACATTTTCATATTTGCGCAGCACACAGTTTTTTGGGGTTATGGGAGGAAGCCAACACAAAAATATAAGTTCTGTATTATTTTTATTAATTTCAACAGCATTTACAAGTTCTATATATCATTCTAGTTAAACTCTGCAAATATGAACAAAATACAACTGCAAGTAAAATAACTATGCTCAATTTATTCAGGTATACCATGACTTGTCACAATTGGCCAATGCTAAAGCAAGGGGATTCCACCCCTCACAAAAAAATTCGCAAAAAAAAAACTATTTGAGCTAGACAAAAAATCTTTTTTGTTTTGTTTTCATTTTGTTGAGCTCTACAAGAATATGTAATTTTTATTTTTATATGATGATTAGTGTTTTTTTACCTAAATCCCTAGTATAAGCAAACTGATTTCAATAGTAAGAAAGAATCATGTATTTTCTTGCTTACTAGCTTTAAAACAAGTGAATTTGACTTTTTACCTGCGTTTTTGGTCGCGTTTCTATATATTTTATTTGCGACACTAAAAAAATTATATTTAATCAACCGATTATGCTAAATTAATAAAATTGGTACTGTTGGATTGCATTTTTAATGCTCTACAATTATAAGCTATTCTTTTTATAATTTGAAGAAAATTGAATTTATATGAGACTAACTATAGACTAGATCTAGAATCTAGTCACAGGGTGACCTAGCTAGACTAGAGTTCTAAACTAGTTAGAATCTAGAGTTAAATTAGATTTCACTAGAATTCTAGTTTCTAGATTTAATTAGCCTAAATAGTAAATAACCTAAATTGGTAAAATTACATGACTCAGTTCAAAAGTCAGTTGCTCACTCGGACTACACTACTCGTTCTCTGTTGTTACTGAACTACTGAACTGATTTTTAAACTTGAAAATTTCAATACCGAGTTAAAATGTTGTTCACCTTTAATTTTTCATGGGTATGCTACATAAGAATTAGCAATTGCAATGCTATTGTTTACATTTACATAAAGATCTTAATCAAAATACACTTACGATTCCGGGAAGATTAGCATATTTCGGATCCGCCATGATTGCTCGGAAGTAGATATCTATCCGACAATACTAAAGAGCTCCATCATTCGTTTGACCCTAGGCCTACACCTGTTGGCCTAATGTGTTTATTTGTAATAATTTTATACAAATTTGCGTATGATTTCTATATACAATATTTAGAAAACAAAAATAATAAATAGATAAAACATTAGTTTACTGTAGATATTAGTTATTGATCAGTAAAGTGTTCACACAGCCCAGTGTTTCTTCCAGACTTTTTTCTCCGGGGGGGGGGGGGGGGGGGGGGGGTACCTGAAATTTTCGGGGAGGCGGTAAACTTTCTTCGGGGGGGGGGGGGGGCGGACACTGTTAAAAGTATATATTTTCTATATAAATTATATAAATTTCATTTCGTTCGGGGGGCGGTGGGGGGTGGTGTGTGGGGGGGTGGGTTGGTTTCAGTGTTTCTTTCAGACTTTTTCCTCCCCGGAGAGGGGTGGGGGTACTTGAAATTTTCGGGGGCGGGGGTAGAATATTCTGGGAGGGGGAGGGGGCGGACACTGGAAAAAGTATATAATTATATTTCGTTGAATGGGACGGTAGACATGTTTTTTTTGGGGGGGTGGGGGGTGGGGGGGCGGTGTGTGGAGGGGGTGGTGTGTGGGGGTGAGGGGTTGGGGTGGGGGTGGTGTGTGGTGGGGGGTGGGGGTGGTGTGTGGGGGTGGGGGGTGGGGTGGGGGTGGTGTGTGGGGGGTGGGTTGGTTTTAGTTTAGAGAAAAGAGACAGCACTATCAGCCTAGCGCCCGTTGTACCCTTCCTCAACGGGCCATTTATCTAGTTTCATTAAGACTTTCGATATTTCATGGGAAGTCCACATAATCTTAAACCTTTAAAACCCTGCCTATGTGTTTATATCTTTGACAAAGTGTATTAAATCTCTTCACTAAGGGCAAAAAAGTACCTCATAGTTATAGATATGCTACAATCTATATATATAATTCTCTTCTGGGAGCCGTTAGAAAACAAGCTGCAAGCGCCTCCTTGCAGTCCCCTCTCTTTCTCTCTATCACTACCACCCCCACATTGTCTGGTGAGCTGTGGTCACGCTGTTTACATTTTACAATCATAGAGACGGGTTTGGTGACGGCTATTAGGGGCAGGTAATTTAGTTTGAAACGATTTTAAACTTAGAGGAGATAACTAAGAGGAGGCTGCTTTCACGTGGGGGGGGGGGGGGGGGGGGGTGTTTAGTGTTTTTAAGCAAATATTTTCAGTGGCAGCATTGGTACTGTCGAATTCACAAATTATAAATTACTGAAAAGTAGAAAAAAAAAACTAAATAGTGGCGTATGATACGCAGCGGGTCGGCTCGTTGTGTTTATTTGCCTACATTATAAAATGTAATGAACAACTATCAAAACGTGTAGCTTTTTAGCACCAATTTTTTTTTTCTTCATTGTCTTCCAATATGTGGAAGGTTCATACTTTGATGGGTATGTTGTGGAAGGTTCAAACTTTGATGGGTATGTGTGATGTGGGGGAGTGAATAAGGGAGGAGAAATATAAATAGAAAATATGTTTTCTATGGGCAGCTATTTGGCGGGCTTGCTTGCTGTCAGCAAATGCCCTCAATCAATATGTGTACTTTCAATGTAGGCTAGAAATGTGTTTGTTCTTTTATTTTACCACTAACTAAATCGAGAGGTATATTAACTTTGCTTTTATGAAAATGTAACAAAGAAAATTTCAACAAGACACAATATTTGACTTTTCTTTTTTTACAATACACACAGCCTACTATTCATTTGTTTAATATAGATTTCAAAATCTTTCCATGACTGTATAACTAGCAACCAGAATTTTCATTTACAATGGTTGGCAATATCTTCTGAGTACCTGATTATCATCTTGTAGATAATGGTGGCACATAATATTCAGCATTTTTTTACAGGGATAACAAATTTATTAAACAATGTGATCTTACAAGAACAGAGAGTGTAAGTGCTAGAAAAAAAACAATAATAAAGTAATAATAAATGTACAACTTAGTATTTAATATGTAGAATAAAATAGAAACAGTAATTACAAAAACAGCAATAATGACTACATTGTTATGAAAATCCTTCTTCATCTGCATTGTATTGTATAAGATCATGGTCAATAAGGAGATGATCAATGAGCTGAGTCATTGAGGGTTTGGGTTCAGGGTGAGCATCTAATAAATCTCCAAGTGCCTTCTGGGAAACCTCTCTCCATTTGTCTATCAAAGCTTGAAGATCTGTTAAATTGTTCTGTAATAAAGTTCAAAGAATTATAAATAGATCACATGTTTTAATTAGATAATTTATAAACAAGAAAATCGAAATTAGACAATATTTTATAAAGAAAAGCTATTTAAATTTTATAAATATTTTCAAATATATATATTTTCTTATAAATCCGTGATTGTTAACAACTATTCAAAGTTTAACACTCCAATTTCACAAACAATATGGAAGATATTGAAATAACATGTAGGTAATTAAGACTGAGAATTAAGTTTCAACAAATTTTTATAAGACTTAAATTGTCTAAAACAAAATATGTTCATACTTTAAAAGAAAAATTACTGTCAATATCACACATAAATAGTTTTCTTTTGTATATCTTAATTTAGAACACTCATTGCTAAAAGAAATTTTGAATTATTTACCTTTTCTCTGTACATTTTTACCATTTTCAACTTTCTTAACTGCTCATTTTTTTCTTTCAACACTGATTCTAAATTATCTTTTAGTTCTTTAAGTTGACTGGTGTTGCTGTTGTTGTAGGTTTGAGTTAAGGATTTTTCAGTAAATTCATTTTGTAGTGTTTTGCCTAGAATGGAAAAGAACAAAAATATTTGGACAGCACAAACTAACACGCTAATTTACTTTAAAAATTGAGACAAAAATGTTATTTTCAATATAAAAATATTAAAAAGACTGTTAATTAGAATAGAAAAAGTCTTAACATTTTACTTCTTACATTTTTACACAAAACAAGATGAAAAATCTTTATAAAAAATAAGGTAGTAGTGAGCTCCCATAACCTTTATCATATTCTTATATAACAGTGCAGTGGAACTACAGAAATCTAGACTTTTGAAAATAAAAACAACTGTTTATTTCTTGAGAAAATGCACACAGGCAAAAAGATCTCAGAATATGCTTTTAGAGAATTTGATACACAACTATCATTTTATGGGTTTTTGAGAAATCTGAATAAAATCAAAAGCTTAAGTACCCCAGAAATCTCTCAAAGGTTTTAGAAATCTATGTACGGGAACTAATACATGAGTATGAAATTGCATCCACTTATTCCCTTGGAAATAGAGTAAAGTTCCAGTTACTGGATATTGTATAAGAGTTGATAGAAGCCTACTCTTACAATCTTATGCATGTGAAATTTCATCCAACTAACTCAAAAAGGACTAAAGTTATCTGCTTTTTCAGCAACCAGAAACAGCTCAAAATTTTATACAAAGCTACACATCTGATATAATACTTATATAAGTAATTTTGTCAACCTAACTGAAATAGTACTGAAGTTATTGTGCTCACATTCACACAAACAGACATAGATAAGATTGCAAAACTACATTCTTCCAACTCAGGAATGTGTAGAACATCAAAATTAGTTAAAACCTTGATTTAGATTTCTTGCATGATTACAATGCACCCTTTATACTATACTCTGTGTATGAGTAAAGAAAGGAGGTGTAAAACTGCAAAAATTGTCGAAACCACGATTATTTTTTTTGTGTGCATGATTATACTTCCTCTCTACTCTGTATAAGAGAAAGTAACATTTTTAAACAGAAATTGATTATAATATTTTAAAATAAATCAACAAATCATTAAATTATTGTTTTCAGTTGGTATGAAAATAAAATAAAAACTCAAGGGTAATATAAAAATTCACCTTCAATATTTTGTAACACAAGTTGCGAAGGTGTACACAATGAATCCGATACGAATTTTTGCTCAAGAGAAGCACTGCAGGAAATATCTGCTAATTTTCTCTTTTTGATAAAATTTGTTTCACAAGATAAGGATTCAGATTTATTAGAAGCTTGTGACTCCCCTACAGACAGAGTTTGCGAGTGTGATTTAGGAGTTCCTAAATGATAGCGGCCACACCTTTTCAGTCTCTCCTGTAATGCTGGGCTTATCTACATTAAAAAAAAATATATTAAATTAATATATTAAATATATAAATATAAAACGTGTGTGTTTTATGTATCAGTATGTTTATATATAGATCTATTTGATTGTAGCTACCTTCAATATTTTATAGCATATCTTCCAATGCTTAAAGTCACTAAAGAAATAAGTAAGTATCAAGAAAACACTTTTTAAAAATAGTACGATGAACATGATTTTTAATAATATAACTCCTGCTTTAACCACAATTTAAAATTTAATTAATAATAATCAAATAACAATAATCGGTTTAGTTTAAAATATACACTAGATCTACCTCCTGATTACATTTCATTGATGGCAAATTATTGAGTGGACTGCTTTTATGACTATCTGGAAGTTGGCTTTCCATTATTTTATTTTAACCTTTGTGAATTTCTGTTATTACAATATTCCATCTGCAAAGATAAATAAAATATTATTAGTGCATTTGATCTTGACCTATAGGCCCTAGGCCTATATATAAATCTATTATCTTTTCTTTATATCGAGGTTGATCTATGTGTTTTATCAGTGTGTGTGCAATAATGCCAAAATAATGGAATTTCTTCTTTATTTTTATATTTTATACCCATACAAAAACAAGTACAAACACAATCTGATCACAAAGGTAACAGTGCAAAGAGTGAACACTAGCAAAGGGGGCAGGTTACTGCATACAAACTACATTCACCCATTCATCCCCCTGCCCCTTGTTCACTACAACAATACCAGACCTAGATTAGATCTAGAATCTAGATCTTAGAATACTTAGATATACAATCTAGATCTAGTAGTTACAAGTAGATCTAGAATCTAGATCTAGAATCCTGATTTAAATTTAATAAGTAGGGCCTAGCCCTAGATGCTCTCTAGTCAAATCAAAACTCACTTTCTTCACTCACACTACTCAGTCAGTCTGTTAGCGAGGTCAAGTAGATAAGGTCTGATAAAGTCTAGCTTACTTACTGGAGATCTAGACTATTTCACGCTTACGCTCAGTCACTTAGAGTAGATTTAAATCTAGAGATCTAGATTGAGAATGAAATAATATCACTAAGTCCTGGCTGTCGATACCGATCCGAATCACACAAGTTGGTTTGCTGCCACCCTCCAAATGAACAGTAAAAAAACCTTTACGATTATTTTTTAACTGCTTTAACTGTACTCTACATAACATTTTTCCTCACATTGGGGAAACATGAAATACATTGCAAAGCCTAGGACATTATAAATTGAATAAAATAATCGTTTTCCACCGTTTTCCACCTAAAGGCTTTAACTAGATCTAGACTCTTAAGTCTATTTATTTTAGTTAATTTAGTAAATCTAGTTTTTAAAATACATCTAGATCTTGTCAGAATCTAGAGATGCTTCGTTCTCTGACAACTAGACGCACTGTTAGCCTGCTCAAGGTAGACAGCCGTGACTTACTTAAAATTGTTTTTTTCATGATAATGACTTGTGAATGTGATGATGAAACTTCATGTAGAATCGTAGATCTACCACTTTTAGAATTAGATAATCCCAATCAATGCAGGCCTAAAGAAGTTGGAATATGTTGATTAATGATTGATTTTATATTATTTTAAGATGAAGAAACAAATTCATTCACTAAAAAAACATCTGTTGAAATTTAGTTGAAAAAATCTATCTAGGCCTATAGAATAGTATACTACTATACTAAGTATAGTATAGTCATAATAGTTAATAGTGACATAGTCTGTAATTATATTAGTCTAGTAATGTATAGGCCAATTAAGCATAAGCCATTGGCTAATAATAATTAGGGCCCTATGCCTCGTAATAATTATAATAGACCTAGATCTAGTTTATGATATGTAGGCCTATTTACTACCTATGATATATAATTATATGAGTTTTGCGTAGGCCTATTAAATTAGGCTCTAGGCCCTTAGGCATATATATAAATTTATTAAATGCCAGCGTAAATGGCGTAATGATGACATGATTAGTCATCCATTTAATTTTAATAACAATATTTCTTACTACACTGAATATCTCTCCTATTAAAAGACCACATTAGTGTGACATTAGGGAAAGTAAAGGCAGCTGGGCATAGTGCTGATTACACTATTTACACTATTATTAAAAGAAAAAGTGGCCTATAATTATTGATTGTTATATTTGAAATCACAAAGGAAATGCTGGTCCTTATTAGGCCCTATAAAAAAAGCCTAACTATTCTAAGCTATAGGCCTAAATTAAGTGCTACTATTCTACCTATGCTTTTTTTAGAATATAGGCCTTCATTTTAAAATTCTCAATAACGTACTCGTTGTCAACCTGTTTGACATCGTGGTATGAGACGTGTCCCTAAAGACATTACTATATCTATAATACTTACTTTGTCACTCTTGTTGAAATAACACTGTCAATCAGGGCCATTTTATTTACTATACCAGTTCCCACATACACACCAGACACCTGTCCTATCTTCTACTTCTATCCCAAGTACCATTATTATCTCAGTGTATGGTTAACCAAGAATGAACAACAGTTAATAGCAAAATTATCATAGTTAATTATCTTACTAGATCCAATACATAGAGGCATAAATGATTAGACATGCTAATAAAGAGATAGTGTAATCAGTACTATGCCCAGCTACCTTTACTTTCTGTGCTTCAGGTACCCTTCAGAGCTGGTTGACTGTTCTGAAATAAAACTATTTAGGGTTTAGATGCTAAAGGAAAGTCAGATACAGTTGTAAGGGTATGAAAACCTGGAGGAATGGGGTCCCAATCTGACAGCAGGTTTTTGAGCCTGATATGCTGGTTGACCAGGAAAAAGATGCTCACAAAAGTGTTCCTAGTAGCTAGGCCAATGCCGCTGCCGAGAAAATCGGACAAATCGGCTTTTCCCTACCCCTTGCATGTTCAACTCTGTTTTTTGCATGCTTTTATTGCGTTTATATTAACATGTTATACATCATTCTGTTCGTAATTGAATAACCTTTTTAACTGTATTAGTTTGATTTCTCTATTATTTCAGACGTTGAAGAAATCGCCGATTAAATCGCATTTTTTACCCTCCGCGTCGACGTGCCGATTAGGGGGGAGGCTTTTTCACCTTTTTAAAAGGGGGGTGTTACTTGGAGTCTATAGACTCTGTGAGTTTTCGTACTACAACTGTGAAACTTGGTAGAAGAATAGATTAAATGTACACGTATAACGCTCAGGGTTCTTGGTTAAAATATGTTAAATACTTTCGGATATATCAGACCGCAAAGTTAAACTAAGTTATTTGAGCTATTTATGGATCGATTTTTTATTTGAACCCTGAGCTGTATTCCTGAAATCTCGACGTTTATTAATATGTATGATATGTCATATTAGGCCCTATAATAAGGACGTCTATAGACTTTGAAGTGGACCGAACATATAAACACGACGCGCCGACCGCTGTCCGACTGAACCGCTCGGCTGTGCTTCGAATCGCCGTCTTTAACCTGATGACGCGTTACAAAATTTGTATACACGTATCGAGTTTACGTACTACAACAGTTAAATTTGGCAGACGAATACATTAAATGTAGACGTATAACGCTCAGGGTTCGTGGTCAAAATAAGTTAAATACTTGTGGAGATAACGGACCGCAAAGTTGAACCAAGTTTCCCGGACTATTATTGGACATATTTTACATTTGAACCCTGAGCTGTATTCCCGAAATCCCGCCGTTTATTGTAATGTATGACATGTATTATAGCACCTCGTAATAAAGCCGTCCATACATTTTAAAACCGAACGAAAATAAAAATTAGCGCGTCGGCCGCCGTCCGACTGAATCGCTCTGCTGTGGTGATCTACACATCGTGTGGCACAGCCGAGTGTGTGGTCACGTGACGCTAGGCGCTTGATCCGATTGGATGATACTATAAACAATGTCTAAAGATAGATACATGTGTTCCCGTGTTTGACTCGACGGCTATTGCTACTTTATATTTATAAGCACACAGACATGTTGCATAACTTTGTCTTAACCCATTGAAACGTCAAACAAAAGTTTTGTTAGTATTTACGGCTGAGGACCAATCGTAAAAACTAATCTTCTTTAGAAATTAATCCGAATAGCTTCGGCCCGATCAAACAATGCTGTGATGTGATTCGTGTAACGTTTCATTATTGTGTACATTACTTTTTCGTAAAAATGGCTTTAAAAATAAATTAAATTATATCCGGGGCTCTTTTCTACAAATTTTAATATCACTAACAACGTGGGGGTTACTAGCTTGCCAAATCGACCAAAATGTTGTGGGGTGGATGGGGGTAGCCACTGACCATCCTACACCGTATGTAACACCCATAGTCTCACCCCGCCCCCACTAGTCCGTGACGCGACAAGCCGACGAGCATCGCTTTTGATGTTTTATAACACCCGTACGGTACACGGTGGTTTCATACCCCACCTCCCTCCCCCTTCACTTTGTGGAGTTGATGTTACTAACCCTCGGGCATAGATCAGGAAATCTTGCCAGACTTTTGTCTCTGTGATTACATAATATAGCTAGTCTCATAACGCGAGTTGAATTACCTCCCCTGACCCGCTTTTTTATGGCCACTTTCTAGTTCGTTTTTTTTCGATCGTGTCTCGGCACTGTTGCTAAAAATAGCATTCGCGCAATACCATACGGGTAAATCTGTTTGGCGTCTGCTACACGTGATAGATCGTTGAATGGCCGACAAGCTGATATAAAAATTATTGCGACCGGATGCGATTTTCGTGGAAATTGAGCTAGATTTAGCAAAAGACAGCTATATTTGAGTAAAATATTATTATTTATACTTCTACTTACACAGATATTTTGATAACTGCAGTTCAGCCGTCCATTTTTCTTTTAAAATGTATCTTTAGAATTTCTGTACCTTTTGGCAATCGGTCAGGAGCATTTGCGCACTAAACCCACCCCCCTACGGCAGATCCGATTTTTTTCCCAGTGAACTCGTACTGACCTCCCACATAGCTAAGAATACTAAGATAGTACATTGATACTGATGGGAAAGCCTCTATATCTGTATTCCTACTAGAGATCTAATCTAGAAATAAATCTAGATCGTGGAGTTTTTATAATGACTTTTAAATTGAATGTCTCCAGTTTAAGATATTTTTTTTTCAAAACATAGCTACTTTTAGTACTATATTTAAGTATTTCAAACCCTTTTGGTAGTTTTTTCTTAAACTTAGACCTAGATCTAGTGATTAGATATCTATATTTTGTACTTATAACTTGCAGGCCTATTAAAATAATAATAAAACACTTTGCTTGATAACTTCATTAGGTCATTTCATAAACACAAATGTTATAAATAAACATATAAAAATCACAAAACCATAGGTAATATCTGAATTCTGTAGCCTACCTTACATTTAGGCTAATACTGAATTAAAAAGAAATTACATTAAGGTTTGAAATTAATACAACTTGTAATTAAGAAAGAAAGCTTCAATTCTAAATACTACAAGATATAATAACAAACAATGAAACAAATTCAAAGCTTTTTTCAACCCATTTAGTCGAAAAGATTTTTATTTTTTCCGATATTGACTAAAATAAGTTTTTAAAGCTTAGGCCTACTGTTTTTACAAACATAACTCAATTTTATTAGGCCCCTGTAAACATTAATTAAGATTCCTCTGTAGACAAAGCAATCTATTTGGCAGATGAAGTAGAGTTCATGTTTCTTGACCTCGGCATATGAAGTGATTGTCCGTGTGGTCAGCGATATTCACAGCCGCCTTTACTTTTTACCTTTAATTTCCCCAATGTATATCAGGTACCCATCAGAAATGGGTGGACTCTAATTGAATTTTACTAAACAAACATTTTGATGTAGGCCTAGATCTATAATCTATAACATTCCAAACAACATCTGTTCTGTAGAATTTACCTTTTTGCTTCCAAATGCGGTATTTTCCAATTGAAAATTCATCACAAAATATACAATAAATTATATAAATGGCATTTTATAAATTTATATAAACTATTTACTTTCACCTTGGTGTAAAAAAATGTAGGTATAAGCAAACTGATTTCAATAGTAAGAAAGAATCATGTCTTTTCTTGCTTACTAGCTTTAAAACAAGTGAATTTGACTTTTTACCTGCGTTTTTGGTCGCGTTTCTATATATTTTATTTGCGACACTAAAAAAATTATATTTAATCAACCGATTATGCTAAATTAATAAAATTGGTACTGTTGGATTGCATTTTTAAAGCTCTACAATTATATGCTATTTTTTTATAATTTGAAGAAAATTGAATTTATATGAGACTAACTACATAATATTCATCTGACACGTTCATCGGGTTGGCCGACTAGCCTACCCAGCGGTCGTGTTTACGTAATAGGGCAATAAAATTCGTTGGTCAGAAGACCTGGTTACCCACATGTCTGATAGAACTAAATCTTAATCTAGGCAAAAGCTGGTGGTGGTACACGTGTCTGTGTATAGCCAAACACGGTAATCTTACACAATTTCTAGAATCTACTAGATCTACACAGTCAAGCACTCAAACACGTGCTTTTTTCTTAAGAAAGTTGTTAATTGTAAAAGGCCTACTGGTAGGCTTACAAAATACATAAACCTACTTACTACTAGCATAAACATTGGGCATAAATATAAATTTATGTTATATATCTATAACTTAACTATACCTTGTGCAAGTTTTTTAAAAAAAATATTTTCCTCCAAAGTTTATGTTTATTTTATTGACATTGTAAAAATGATTAACTTTAATATGGGTAATAATATTACATAATTATCATAAAGCACACTCTGATTCTGATCAGACACATTTGTAACTAGACTAATTCTATAGCAAAAAGTTGTATGATATTTAAAATAACAAGAAATATAATTATAATGAAATAGGCCTACATTTTGGAATAGAGTAGGCCTATAGTATTGGACATAGATTACATAACATCTTTTAAGAAGTTACATAATCACAAATTTACTATAGCATTCTTCTCTTTGTATTGAAAAACTTGATTAGTTATATTTTCTTCTAGTAGGCTATTAACTTGAAGTTAACTGACAATGAGCAAAAGTGATTTTAAAACAAATTCATGGTATATTTTGAGCAAAGGGTGGGATTACATAACCTTAACATTTGATAGTTATGTAACAATGTTGGACCATTTTAAATCTACTATTAGCTTAAGCATATACAAATGTCATATTTTAGATTAAAACAGCGTTACATTTAAAGAATGACTTCTTATCACATTGATTATTAGATGTTTAAAAAAAAATTGAAAGGGGGGTATTACATAATCTATGAGATTAGTAGGTTGAGTAATCGAAGGACACTTTTTAAAATAGCATAATTGGATTCAGCATACAAAAATCTATAAAATGTCTTAAAATTACATCAATTGATAAAGTATTCTGGCTTTTATACCACTTTTAGTGAAAAACGCTTAAAAATTTGGTCCATACCCTCCCAGTATTTTTCCTCTTTCAGGGTCTACCCCGGTTGTCTGAAAAAACTGCTGTTTTTTAATGACTAAAAAATTCATAACTTTTTTGTTTATGGTCAGATTTTGAAAATTCAAACTGATCTGTAATCAGATTGACAGCCCCTATCCAAATATGTAACTATTATATTGTTTTACTGAAATTAAATTTTTGCATTGGCCTAGCTATTCCTAGTGCAGAAAGAATAGCTGTCAGCACATGCCTCATTATATTGGGCTTGAAGTTGGTAGGGTTCTTGATGCTCATCTCTTCAATTTTCTGCAAGTCAGCCATGATTGGGGCCCCATGCCCATGGTACCATTTGGCCTAAGTTGCATTGAGTGGTATGGAATGAATAGAAATTTTTAAACTTTGTTATGTACATTGTTACAGGTGGGCAAATATTTATCAGGTTGGTTTTAAGTAGGCAGTTTGCTATTGCTAAGGTTTGTATAATGTCCTTAACTTTCTCTGGCACCATATGGGGAAGTCAACAAAAGTGGACAACTATATGTTTATATTTATCTTATTATTTCCTTTAATTTCCAACAAGTTTTTTTTTGTTCTACCTTCCTAGGCCTCCATTGAGCATGTACACAATGCCACTAGATACAGATCAAGCCTTCCTTTCAATACTGTCATACTCTTTGTGCCACAGCAAGAAGCATGGGTTGTCGAACGATTTGGAAAATACAACGCAATTTTAGAACCGGTATACCTTATTATGTGCAGTTTTATTTTCTTCTTTGTCAATGTTATAGTAATTTATTTTTTTGGGACGAATAAGTATTTAAACATTAAGAAAAAAATTTAAGCTTGAAAATTTTAATTCTCAACAGTTAGGTTAATCAAGAATTCGAATCTAGTACCATTTACATTAATTGTAAAAACTGCTATTTACCATTGTTTAACTTTTTTTTATTACAGGGTTTGAATTTAATTTTTCCTATAATTGATACAATCAAATATGTGCAAAGTTTAAAAGAGATTGCCATTGATGTTCCACACCAAGCCGCTATCACCCTAGGTAAGCTTTAGGTATTTCAAAATTATTGCTCTACAATAGGTTCAGGACTCTCAAAAACACATTCATTTATTTTTCATTGTAATTGTTTTTTTTTTTTGTTTTTTTTTAAATTTTTTTATAGATAATGTGACACTAACAATGGATGCAGTATTATATCTTAAAGTAATTGATCCTTATAAAGTAAGTTGATAATTATTTTAATTATTACATTGAAAAAAAGTTGAATTATAAAAACCTGTTGTAAATAATGTTTATTCCATTCTTGTAAAAATAACAAATCTTTAAAATTGAAATGCTACTATATTTGGAATGCATTTAGCCAAGGCAATCCTATTGAAATAAAAAGTTTTTTTAGTGTAAAATAAATAAATAAAATAGCAAGCATTGTCTCTTGCCTAGGCTTCCTATGGTGTAGAAGATCCAGAGTATGCCATCACACAACTGGCCCAGACAACCATGAGATCAGAGATTGGAAAAATTGCTTTGGATACAGTTTTTAGAGAGAGAGAGTCACTCAACATTGCTATTGTTGGTCAGTAACAGTATGTCAGGGTAGCAAAACACCTGGTTGGCTGAGTCAGCATTAACTTCAGTGGTTAATTTGTTTATTTATTGCCTACATAAATCTCGGCTTTAATGAGTACCTGTTATTTGAGCATTTTTACATTATGCTGGTCATTTCCAAGCAAACTTACTCTTAAAAGTGACTGGTCAGTTAATTTTATTGTTGAATAGAACATTCCAGAAACAATACACCAGATAAACATATCATCTTTAGGCAGCTACAAGTTAAAAATAAACAAGTTTGTACAAGCATTACAATATGTTTTAGTTAAAAAGAATACTGAGTATTTAAGCAATCATTAGTGCTGATTGACTTGTACATGTTCTTGTTTTTCTTTACAGATGCAATCAATGTTGCTTCCAACGCATGGGGAATAAAGTGCATGAGATATGAAATTCGTAAGCATAGTTTGTCTTCTTTATTTTTACCTGCATATTTTGTAGAAAAATGGTTATTGAGCTTTGAACGTAGGAAATTTGTTTTCAGTGCAATTCAATTACCTTAAAATTAAAGTTTAATATAGTATATTAAATCGATTCAGTAAGGATACTAATAATTGTATGACAGAGATATTTTTGTGGTTTAAATTTTTTTTTAAACTTCCTTCATATATACAATAGGCTATAATATTACCTTTACAGTAAATAAAAAAAAGAAGTTTGCCAAACTATTGTGTCAAAAGGACCATTACGTAACTGATATAAAGCTTTCTACAAGGCACTATAAAGCTTTCTCTATGTCAGTGTGACACACAACTCTGTATGTCAGTTTGAAACAAAACTACCTAGAAACTATCTTATTTCTGGGTCAATGTGACAGAAAACTACCCACAAAAACTTATTTTTTATGTCTATGTGACATAAAATTAATTTCTGTATGTCAATATGACATAAAGCTTTGGACAAAACTAACTTATATCTACATATGAAGCTTCGCACAAAACTAACTTATATCTACATTTATTAAGGTGACATGAAACTACCTCAAAAAGTACAAGAAGCCATGCAGACCCAGGTGGAAGCAGAAAGAAAAAAAAGAGCTGCCATTTTAGAATCAGAAGGTAAACTTTGATATGGAAGTGTGGTTTTATTACTGTAGGACTTGCCATCACATCGCTGTTTACATGATCTATAAACAATATGATTGATCTATATAAGCCATATAAGGTTAAAATTGACTTAGTGTTCAAATTGTTCTGCAGGTATTAGAGAAGCAGAAATCAATGTTGCTGAGGGTAAAAAAAGGTCAAGAATTTTAAACTCTGAGGCTCACAAAGCTGAAAAAGTAAATCAAGCAATAGGTGGGTTCATTTTTAGTCACATTAAGTAAAGCAGAATGTTGGTTCATTTTAGTCTCATTTAATTAGGCGAAGGTGGTTTCATTTTAGTCACATAAAGTGAGTCATTATTGTCACATTTAGTCAGGCAGATGGTGGTTCACTGTTTTAGGCATGTTAAAGAAAGAATGTTAGGAGAGATAAGCTGGACAGTTTTTGCAAGTCTTGTAAATTGAAATAAAATAAAATCTAGAAGTAAATTTTTGAAGTTATTCCCTTTAGGTGAAGCTGAAGCTTTGTTAGCCAAAGCAAAAGCCAGAGCCGCATCATTAGAAGTTTTGTCTGAAGCCTTAGCTAAAGAGGTATTTATGTTGACTTGCATAACTATGTTATAATCGCTGAGAATAATCTTTTGAATGTAAATATAAATCACTGTGTATATTTAGACAAAATGATATGAAAGTCAGTATTAATTCCTGTAAATATTTTGGCAGAATGGTAAGAATATCAGTATTCCTGTAATATTTGGGCAGAATGACATGAATGTCAGTATTAATTCCTGTAAATACTTGTACAGAATGGTATGAATGCAGTATCTATGAACATAGCAGAGCAGTATGTAGAAGCCTTCAGCCACTTAGCCAAAGAGAGCAACACTGTGCTACTCCCAGCAAACACTGGAGATGTCTCATCCATGGTTACTCAGGTACAGCTTATTTAACAATGCTGGTGTCTTGCTTGCTTGTTTTCTCTTGGTTTACCTAGAAGTCATCTTATGGATTAAAATATACCATCTTGAATCTGTTTAAACAGATAATAAAGGGTAGTCACAAATATTACAATGCTCTTTATTTTTAACAAAAAAGGACAGAAATGATGTCCCGAGTATCATAGATTGTTTATAGATGGGCATTGAACTTTAACGTGATGGCGTGGCCTAGCAGTAGAGCGTAGACTGCTAAATGGACATTCCTGAGTTTGAATCCGGGTTCAAGTCAGTAGTGTGTCTCTGAGTCCACCCAGGTCAGATGTGTACTTAGCATAGTACTGACCACTCTATCCCTTTTTATGCCAAGGTCACAAAAATAGGTGAACTCTTCTTCACTTGCCACATGGGCCATCAAATTTGAAAAGGGAACTTTACTTTTATTGAACTTTAATTTAATGGGAGTTGTTTTGAACCACTTTTTGCTCATACACATTTTATTTTTTTGTCTAGGCCATGACTGTATACAATAGGTTATCTAAAGATATAAAGCAACAAACAGGAGTTAAGGAGACCAAAACTGATTCCTCAACACAATAACAGTCCAGCTCAGTGGTAACATGTCAAGTGGTCAGGAATACAATAGTTGGCAACTGTATTTTTTAAATATTTTTTCTTTCAGTAAAATATTTATATATACAATGTTTTTTTTTCCAGTCTTTTAAAATTTTATTTCAGAAGAAAAGATTTGAGTCAAATATTGAAATTTATCTTATAATGCAGTGTTAAAGATAATTTAAAATGTAAGGCTTATTTCCCATGCTAGATTAAAGTTGTTGCTGTTCTTTACACTTGTTAATGGCACAAAATTAGTGTTTTGTAAATCATAAGATGCGAGGATCATTTTTTGGTGGGCTGGGTTTCGATCAAAACATTTAAAATATTTTTTTCTGATTAATTTGTAAGACTTTTAAAGTATGTTATGATTAAAATAAGTGAGTACAAGCTGTGTTAAAATTGCTTTTTATTTAAACAAATCCCAAATATAACAAATGTAGTAGGTCTTCATTTCAACATTTTAAAAAAACATTTCAAACAACCACATCTTCATCTACAACCACATCTTCTATTTTTACAATTTGTAATTTATTTTTTAAAGCAACAATATTTATTTAAAATCTATTATACAATTGAAACAAATTCATTTAGTTGTAGGAAGAAGTAAATATCTGCATATTTTTATAGATCAATAAAGTCAGTATGGTAAAAAGATTCCTGAATGAATCCCCTAAGAATTATTTCAGGATTCCCAGCATATGAGCAATCACTCTTTAGTAAAAACAATATAATAGCTTTGGTGGAAGATTGACCAGAATGGAAGAACTCTTTAGATCATGCCTACATACAACCCCCAACCGAAAACTCGAGTTCGAACCCTCGGGCAGATGAGGCTCGTTAGCTGGGGACAGCCACTCTACTAGAAGAGACAACTCCGAAATCAAACAACTGCTGCCTTGGTTGGACAAAGGCTATGGAAGCAAATCCAAAAAGAAAAAGCAGGCTGAAATCGAAGTCAATGGCGCATAACCAGTTGACACGTATCCTTAATTGTGGTGGAGGCATGGTCTAGTCGGCAAAAAAAGCTCATGGTTGATAAATTCAAAAAGTCTCGAGTTTAAACCCTCTGGCAAATAAGGCTCGATCCCTTCAAACACTTAAAATTAAGAACTAAGAAGAAACCCCCCAACAAATAATAGATAGTTAAAAAAGAAATACCAAAATAAAATATACCAGATGAATGATTTACTACCAGTTTAAAAATAACTCAGTGTACCATTTATATAAAAAGTATAAAACATCTTTCTGATAAACATAGCATACAAATTAACTATAACAGTCAAAATAACACGTTTTCTGAATGTTGGTCAAAAAAATGTACATCAACATTACAAAAGATTGCACTTCTGTGATTACTGTGAACATTTTATAAATTTGACTTGGTCAACCAGAAAAATTCCTGAAAAATAAAAGAATTAAAAGATGACATTAATGCAAAACCTTCCTAGGTAGATACAAAAATGCATAAATTTAGATTTAGTTTTGATTACCTGTGTTTTTCTCTGAGCCATCGGATCTATCATGACATTTATAACAGAGGGCCTCTTGGTGTCCTGGACAGCAGCCTCCATGCTGTTCTTCAGCTCTTCCTTGGTGCGTACGAAGTACCCTTTGCCACCAAATGCTTCAATAATTTTCTCATACCTGGTGTTTGGCTGGAGGGATGTGGGTGGAATGCTGTGACATGTCAAATTTAAACAAGCTGGTTAATAGATGCTAATAACAAAAGAAATGGAAAGTGAAACAAAATGAGTACAGCTCTTCCGCTTTATAAGATGATAAACTTACTTCAATAAAAGGTCTCCAGATTTTTCAGCTGCATCCCACATTTCCTCTTTAATACCAAATGAAATACCATTGTTGTTGAAGATCACTATTATCACAGGTAGCTGGTACCTGAAAATATTAAGTTTTTGGTACCTACTTTAAGACATTTCCAGTAGGAACACAGTGGACCCCCACATTTTGTGACTAAACCAAACCAGGGATCGCACCAAGAAACCCTGCGGTAGTGTAACCTGTGGCTCCCAAGAATGCCTTGTGACAATTGGGTGGTCACCGAGGTGTGTTACAGAGGGTATTAACGTACTCTCAAGGCTTTCATACAGCATGCCCTGGGGCATCTGGGCAGTTGTGTGTGGACAAACTTTGGCCCGAACAAATAAGATCCAAGAAATATAATGCTGGCTTTGTTTACATTTAAATAACTCAATTTTAGAAAACAAGGTCACACCAGGTCTTTAAAAAAAAAACACGTTGATGAACCTCTTTTGTAATGTTTTTTTTAATATTTAAAAGTTTCTGATGTCTCTATTGCTACTATCTCTTTTTGTTCACTCACTCTTAAGTAACCAAAAGCAATGTCCCCCTCCATACATCCACACACACCTATGTTTTACCTGGCTATTGTCTCCACCTCCATGCTAGAGAAGCCAAAAGCACTGTCCCCCTCCACACACACACATGTGTTTTACCTGGCTATTGTCTCCACCTCCATGCTAGAGAAGCCAAAAGCACTGTCCCCCTCCACACACACACCTGTGTTTTACCTGGCAATTGTCTCCACCTCCATGCTAGAGAAGCCAAAAGCACTGTCCCCCTCCACACACACACCTGTGTTTTACCTGGCTATTGTCTCCACCTCCATGCTAGAGAAGCCAAAAGCACTGTCCCCCTCCACACACACACCTGTGTTTTACCTGGCTATTGTCTCCACCTCCATGCTAGAGAAGCCAAAAGCACTGTCCCCCTCCACACACACCACTCTCTTGTGTGGCTGGTGATCTCTGCAGTAGACAGCTGCTGCTAAGGCAAACCCAACTCCAACACCCATGGTACCAAACGTGCCTGCATCGAGCCTATGAAACAGATTTACAACCAAAACTGATCAGGAATTCATTTAACTTCAAACTCATAATTTCAAAATTTAATAAATTAACTTAAAAATTTGAAGTAATATGAATTTATCTGAAATATTATTAAGGAGATAAACAATACAGATACTTAAACCCTGTTGTAGATTCTTGTAAGCTATTTAAAAAGCTGACCTGTGTCTGGGATAAAGGTTGGGCAACATGGTCCTGCCAATGTCCATTGTGTTTGACCCTTCGTTCACTATAAGACTGTCTGCTGGGATGGCTCTCTGTACCTGTCAGGGCAAGGGGTGACATCATTCTGCTAACCAGAGCTTTCAGGGCAAGGGGTGACATCATTCTGCTAACCAGAGCTTATCAGTGGGATAGGTTATCCTGACAGGGCAAGGGGTGACATCATTATGCTAACCAGAGCTTTCAGGGCAAGGGGTGACATCATTATGCTAACCAGAGCTTTCAGGGCAAGGGGTGACATCATTATGCTAACCAGAGCTTTCAGGGCAAGGGGTGACATCATTATGCTAACCAGAGCTTTCAGGGCAAGGGGTGACATCATTATGCTAACCAGAGCTTTCAGGGCAAGGGGTGACATCATTATGCTAACCAGAGCTTTCAGGGCAAGGGGTGACATCATTATGCTAACCAGAGCTTTCAGGGCAAGGGGTGACATCATTATGCTAACCAGAGCTTGTTTATCAGTGGGATTGGTTATCCTGTCAGAGCAAGGGGTGACATCATTATGGTAGCCAGAACTTGTTTATCAGTGGGATAGGTTATTTAACTTATAGAATCTATTCATATTCTCTCATATAAAACTTTATCATATCTTATTTGGCAAATGTCTGTTCAATCGTCATGTGTGATGAAAATAATATGAAAAATTCTGAATAGCAGGGAATTTTTGGGAATGGCAGACGCCTCAAGTAAAAAAAAAACAACAAGGAAGCCATGGGAACTGGTGGGGAAGCAGCTGGCAGAGTCAGGACTATCATGGGGGACTGCCAGGAAAATTGCTGCAGACCAACAAAAGTGGAGGGAGCTTTCAGTGGCGTCCCCATGTGTCTTGAGCACTAGAGGCAAAAAAAATATACAAAACTTACCTCGGAAAAAGCTGCATAGTAATTTAGTGGCACACTGGAGTCCTTGGACATATCCTTTACATGTTTAAAAAACAATAAAAACTTATTAAAATGTATTTTAATGTAAGGTTTTGTTAATAACATGGTAGTTCAAGGAATGTTTGACCACTTGGTGGTCTAGTGAACACAAACAAGATCAACTGACCTGTACATTAATGAAGTTGTCCTGAATTTTTTGTCTGAGTGTTGTCCACCACGCAGACTTCTCAGCAAACTGGTAGTCCCTGTGGTGGTGCTGGAACTCCTCTAGCAACTGTTATTTAATTCATTGTTACTATCATTAAATTCATTGTTACTGTCATTTAATTCATTGTTACTGTCATTTAATTCATTGTTACTGGCATTTAATTCATTGTTACTGGCATTTAATTCATTGTTACTGGCAATTAATTCATTGTTACTGGCATTTAATTCATTGTTACTATCATTAAATTCATTGTTACTGTCATTTAATTAATGGTTGCTGTCATTTAATTCATTGTTACTGTCATTAAATTCATTGTTACTGTCATTTAATTCATTGTTACTGGCATTTAATTCATTGTTACTGGCATTTAATTAATTGTTACTGGCAATTAATTCATTGTTACTGGCATTTAATTCATTGTTTTTGTCATTTAATTCATCGTTACTGTCATTAAATTCATCGTTGATGTCATTTATTTCCTCGCTGCTATCATTTAATTCATTGTTACTATCATTAAATTCATTGTTACTGTCATTTAATTAATGGTTGCTGTCATTTAATTCATTGTTACTGTCATTAAATTCATTGTTACTGTCATTTAATTCATTGTTACTGGCATTTAATTTATTGTTACTGGCATTTTATTCATTGTTACTGGCATTTAATTTATTGTTACTCGCATTTAATTCATTGTTACTGGCATTTCATTCATTGTTACTATCATTAAATTCATTGTTACTGGCATTTAATTTATTGTTACTGGCATTTAATTCATTGTTACTCTCGTTTAATTCATTGCTACTGTCATTTAATTAATTGTTACTGGCATTTAATTTATTGTTACTGTCATTTAATTCATTGTTACTGGCATTTAATTCATTGTTTTTGTCATTTAATTCATCGTTACTGTCATTAAATTCATCGTTGATGTCATTTATTTCCTCGCTGCTATCATTTAATTCATCGTTACTGTCGTTAAATTCATCATTGATGTCATTTAATTCATTGTTACTGGCATTTAGTTCATTGTTACTGTCATTTAATTCATCTTTACTATCATTAAATTCATTGTTACTATCATTAAATTCATTGTTACTGTTATTTAATTCATTATTAGTGTTATTTAATTCATTGTTTCTAAAGTCATAACAAAGATCAATTTTACAAGATTTTAACAAATTCAAGTCACCTTGTTTTTCCAGTAATTTTTCTCAGCTCATGTAAATTATGATGAGAGCATTCCAAAGTGTAACTCTAAAAAACAACAACTTAAAATGCTGCCAAGTATAGACAAAGTTACCTGCTTTGTGACGGAGTTTATGTCTCCCATCAAAGCTACACCTTGCCTCACGTTATTGCCTAGCTCCTCCATGCAAATGTCAACCTGAAGTATGAAATATATTAATATAATTTCATAGGCAATCATTTTACTTCCTAAAAACATTATGAGTCAATCATTTAGTTTTCCATAAATATCTTGAGCCTATAATTATTTTTTTTTAAAATATCATCAGCTAATCATTTACTTTACTTACTACATATCTTTTCTTAAAATTTTAAGATCAAAATTATTTTCAAATTAGAAATTTTTTTAGTTTTCTCACAACTTGCTGACACACAAAAATAACTCAGTGTAATATATGAAAATCTGGGATTTGAACACTGCTTAGCATGTTTAGATAAAGACAGAATTAACTATCTAGTGACAGGAGTAAAAGAGAGATTATGTACCCAAATCACTTGCTTTTAGAAAACAATGAAAAAAAAAATTACAATAATTTACACAATATCCGATTTGAGAATAAAATAAGTAAAAATTTCCTTAAGACAAAACTAATAAAAAAAACTTTATAATATTAATAGTTTTAAAATGCCCACCTGAATTATTTTCACTTTAGAGTTAAAGCGAGGAGGTGCACCAAAGTGCAGCATCCAGTTCAAGCGTGCACCAAGCAATAGAATCACATCAGCTTCCTGGAGGGCTCTGAAACATCAACCTTACAATGTAGTTTAACTTAGACAGCAGTCATCAACTGGCCAGTACATCAACCTTACAATGTAGTTTAACTTAGGCAGCAGTCATCAACTGGCCAGTACATCAACCGTACAATGTAGTTTAACTTAGGCAGCAGTCATCAACTGGCCAGTACATCAACCTTACAATGTAGTTTAACTTAGGCAGCAGTCATCAACTGGCCAGTACATCAACCGTACAATGTAGTTTAACTTAGACAGCAGTCATCAACTGGCCAATACATCAACCTTACAATGTAGTTTAACTTAGGCAGTAAGTTATCAACTGGCCAATACATCAACCTTACAATGTAGTTTAACTTAGGCAGTAAGTCATCAACTGGCCAATACATCAACCTTACAATGTAGTTTAACTTAGGCAGTAAGTCATCAACTGGCCAATACATCAACCTTACAATGTAGTTTAACTTAGGCAGTAAGTCATCAACTGGCCAATACATCAACCTTACAATGTAGTTTAACTTAGGCAGTAGTAACACAACAACTGGCCAGTACATCAACCTTACAATGTAGTTTAACTTAGGCAGTAAGTCATCAACTGGCCAATACATCAACCTTACAATGTAGTTTAACTTAGACAGCAAGTCATCAACTGGCCAATACATCAACCTTACAATGTAGTTTAACTTAGGCAGTAAGTCATCAACTGGCCAATACATCAACCTTACAATGTAGTTTAACTTAGGCAGTAGTAACACAACAACTGGCCAGTACATCAACCTTACAATGTAGTTTAACTTAGGCAGTAAGTCATCAACTGGCCAATACATCAACCTTACAATGTAGTTTAACTTAGGCAGTAAGTCATCAACTGGCCAATACATCAACCTTACAATGTAGTTTAACTTAGGCAGTAAGTCATCAACTGGCCAATACATCAACCTTACAATGTAGTTTAACTTAGACAACAGTCATCAACTGGCCAATACATCAACCTTACAATGTAGTTTAACTTAGGCAGTAAGTCATCAACTGGCCAGTACATCAACCTTACAATGTAGTTTAACTTAGACAGCAGTCATCAACTGGCCAATACATCAACCTTACAATGTAGTTTAACTTAGGCAGTAAGTCATCAACTGGCCAATACATCAACCTTACAATGTAGTTTAACTTAGACAGTAAGTCATCAACTGGCCAGTACATCAACCTTACAATGTAGTTTAACTTAGGCAGTAAGTCATCAACTGGCCAATACATCAACCTTACAATGTAGTTTAACTTAGGCAGTAAGTCATCAACTGGCCAATACATCAACCTTACAATGTAGTTTAACTTAGGCAGTAAGTCATCAACTAACCAATACATCAACCTTACAATGTAGTTTAACTTAGGCAGTAAGTCATCAACTGGCCAGTACATCAACCTTACAATGTAGCATAGTAGCATTACTATTGTGTGCAGGAACACAAAATGTAACATTGCCTAGCCAGTAACACAAAAACTAGACAGAAGACAATTAAATTTTTTTAAAGTTTTTCTTTAAACAATACCTCTGTACTCATCTCTTTAAAATAAAAGCTTATTACCCTTAAAATAGTGTAACTGTAACTGACTCCTTAAACCATCTTCATTCCAAAATTTAAACAGCAGTAACTTTAGAAAAAACTGCTTCATACCCATCTTCATTTAATAATATTTCATGCATCTTTCAACCTTTAGCTCCCACCCCTTACTTTAAGCTTTAGCTCCCTACCCCTCACTTTAAACCTTAAGCTCCCTACCCCTTACCTTAAACCTTTAGCTCCCTCCTTACTTTCAACATTTAGCTCCCTACCCCTTACTTTAAACCTTTAGCTTCCCCTTATATTAATATTAAGCTCCCTACCCCTTACTTTAAGCCTTAAGCTCCCTACCCCTTACTTTAAACCATTACCTCTCTACTCCTTTAAACTATTATCTCCCCACCCCTTACTTTAAACCATTAACTCACCCCCCCCCCCCTTACTTTGAGCGAGCAGCGGAGACACACAGGTCACTGTTGTCAGGTAAAACACCTTTCCCCATTGGTGTAGGTAGGAAAGGTAGCCGTGTCATGTTGACCAGTTTAGAGATGTTCACCTCGGCTTGTGCATAGGCAGCACCTTGACAAAACAAATACACAAGTACAACTCAGGTATTCAGGGGGTATTAGAAGTTACAGGTAACAGAAGATATGACAGGTATTGTAAGAAGTTACAAGTAACATAAGATATGACAGGTATTATAAGAAGTTACAGACAACGTATGACAGGTATTGTAAGAAGTTACAGGTAACAAGATATGACAGGTATTGTAAGATGATTAGCGTAATATAAGATTTAACAGCTACTACAAGCTATTGCAAGAAACATTAGATATGGTAGGTATCAAGAGGCGTGTGAAAGAGGCTTTCATATTCAATGTTTCTGAAGATTTAAAACCCCTGCATTTTTTCCTTAGACAGCTTTTGAAGAACAGCCCAGTTTGTGTAAATTTGAACTCATAAAACACGTTAATTAAGAAAGTTTCTAGAAGATTAACAAAGGGTACCTTTCCCAACAACAACCAGTGGTTTGTCAGCTTGTGTGATCAGCTCTACTGCCTCTCTGATCTTCTTAGGGTCAGCGTACACAAGGGGTGGGGGTGGACAGGCAGGTAGGAACCTGCAGATAATACAACAGTTAGCAATCTGCTGTTGACTACTATTTTACTAATAAATTCTAGTTTTTAAAGTTGTGACCTTAAAAAAAAATATTTAAAAAAAACCATCACAGAATAGGGCTGTTTAAAAGATCGAAATAATGAATATAAAACTAAGAATATATTTCTTATTCTGTTTCGTCCACAAACAACGTCCATAACACGTTATGTTAGACTTACAAGTGTGCTAGGTAGGGAGGAAAGGGGGGGGGGGGTCAGTTTCACGATGTGCTATGAAGGGTGAAGGCAGTGTTTCTTCCAGAATTTTTTCTCCGGGGGGGGGGGGGGGGGCACTTGAAATTTTCGGGGGGGGGGGGGGCAGTGTTTCTTCCAGACTTTTTTCTCCGATGGGGGGGCACTTGAAATCTTCAGGGGGGGGGGCGGTAAAATTTCTTCGGGGGGGGGGGGGGGGGGCGGACACTGTTAAAAGTATATATTTTCTATATAAATTATATGAATTTCATTTCGTTCGGGGGGGGGGGGCGGTAAAAATTTTTCGCTTCGTCTGGAAGAAACTCTGGGTAGAGGAAGGAGGTTTCAGATTTACGTAAGGAGAATGGGGTGGGGGCAATAAATGTGTCCTGGCATATATTTCGCACTTTTAAAAAACAAATGTGAAATTCTTGCTGATTTTAGTTTAATTTTTTTAAAAGGAAGAAACGGCAATCGTTGGAACTTAGTGACGTAGAAGGGGTGTGGCTTTTTGTGACGTGTGTCGTCTGACTCCACGGAGGGGTTAAAGTCTAACAAAATTAAAGTTTATTTGGGAACTTAGATGTACCTGATGCTATTTTCTTCCGTCTTTCCGCCAATTAAATCGGCTGGGAGGTCAAGGTAACAGGCCCCGGGTCGTCCATATGTGCTCTCACGAACAGCCTGTTTGAAATAGGTCACGAACATGAACAGTCGAACATTATCAGAAAGCGAGATAGCTGGGATGTTGTGTTTTAATTCAATAGTTGCCCTCACATCATCAGAAAGCGAGATAGCTGGGATGTTGTGTTTTAATTCAATTGTTGCCCTCACATCATCAGAAAGCGAGATAGCTAGGATGTTGTGTTTTAATTCAATAGTTGCCCTCACATCATCAGAAAGCGAGATAGCTGGGATGTTGTGTTTTAATTCAATAGTTGCCCTCACATCATCAGAAAGCGAGATAGCTGGGATGTTGTGTTTTAATTCAATAGTTGCCCTCACATCATCAGAAAGCGAGATAGCTAGGATGTTGTGTTTTAATTCAATTGTTGCCCTCACATCATCAGAAAGCGAGATAGCTAGGATGTTGTGTTTTAATTCAATAGTTGCCCTCACATCATCAGAAAGCGAGATAGCTAGGATGTTGTGTTTTAATTCAATAGTTGCCCTCACATCATCAGAAAGCGAGATAGCTAGGATGTTGTGTTTTAATTCAATTGTTGCCCTCACATCATCAGAAAGCGAGATACTAAAGCTGGCATGATGTACTTTTATTCAGCTTTCATCCTGTAAGCCAAAGGTAGAGTATCGACTCGGTGTATGCGGTATGAAACTTGTGCCAACGCATAGACTTTGTATCGAGGCTCTGCTATTACTAGTTGACCATATATCTCTACTAAGGGAACAGGGCATTTCCCCCTGTCAATTACCCCCCGGATATTTCCCCCCTCCCGACATTACCCCCCCCCCAGAGTAATTACCCCCCTGTCAATTACCCCCCTGTCAATTACCCCCCGCCCAGTAGGACATTACCCCCCCCGGACAGGGTTAGAGTTAGGGCTAGGGCTAGGGTTAGGGTTGAGTAAGGGTTAGGGCTAGGGTTGAGTTAGGGTTAGGGTTAGAGCTAGTTTTAGGGTTAGGGTTGTGTCTAGCTTTGGTTTTGTGTGAAGTTTTAGGCTAAGGTGGATGCTTAGGTTTTGGTCTTTTTCTTAAGGTTTGGATTAAAGTAGTATATAGGGATAAAATTCTAGTTAGAGTTAGGATTTTAACTTGAGGGGGGGGGGGGGGGGGGGGTAATTGACAGGGGGTAATTGCCAGGGGGGTAATTGCTCCGGGGGGGGGGGGGGTAAATACGGGGGGGGGGAAATGTCGGGGGGGGGGGGGGAATATCCAGGGGGGTAATGTCCTGTAGCCCTCTACTAATGCCCTGACCTTAACCAAAACCATAGATTTGACCCTAATGCGAATGAATTACCAACTCATGTATTCTTTCTGCAGCTCCCGTGACACAGCTGACCCCCAAGGTAACGTTTCTCCCTATAGGTTCATTACATCAGCTGCTGACTGACACATCGGCCGAATATAAAGTTTTAAACATGAGCTTGATCCCATCCTAAAGACCATCTTCAACACGCTCCACGGAAAACTCCGGGAACTTCAAAAACTGGACGCGGTGCAAACTAGTGCAGTGAGGTAATTGAACACAACAAGTGAAGGTAAACTCTGAGCTCTACACACATCCACATTGGCTGCGTGTGGCCAACATTAGCACACTACCACTGCTGTTTACTGAGTGTCAGTCTATAGACTATGACAACTGCACAACCAGCTTAGTCGGTATGTTAAAAAAAAAGTTGTTACCCCGAGGCGGTCCTTATAGCAGTCTAAATATAGTTCATCTTGTCTTGACCACGGTATTTGAAGGAACGGTGTGGTCAGCACCATGCCCAGCCGCATAAGTCGGACATACACTAGAGCTGGATGAGCTCAGGACTCGTGATTGGGCTCGGACTCGAATCTAGGTCCGAACTCGAGACTTTCGGGTTAGCAGTCGAACGCTCAATTACTCAACCACGTCGACCTATAGTCGTGTATGTGGTCGACCTATAGTCGTGTATGTGGTCGACCTATAGTCGTGTATGTGGTCGACCTAGAGTCGTGTATGTGGTCGACCTATAGTCGTGTATGTGGTTCTCACAATTGTCTCATTGGGTGTGACATGCAGACAACATGCTCGAGTTACAAGACACACCAGACGTGACAGTTGGCCAAAATAATAATGGCCATCTTCATATTAGACGTGACAGTAGACCAACATGATGTTAATGGCCATGTTCACACCAAACGAGACAGTTGGCCAACATACCAATGGCCATGTTCACACCAAACGAGACAGTTGGCCAACATACCAATGGCCATCTTCACACAAAACGAGACAGTTGGCCAACATACCAATGGCCATGTTCACACCAAACGAGACAGTTGGCCAACATACCAATGGCCATGTTCACACCAAACGAGACAGTTGGCCAACATACCAATGGCCATGTTCACACCAAACGAGACAGTTGGCCAACATACCAATGGCCATGTTCACACCAAACGAGACAGTTGGCCAACATACCAATGGCCATGTTCACACCAAACGAGACAGTTGGCCAACATACCAATGGCCATGTTCACACCAAACGAGACAGTTGGCCAACATACCAATGGCCATGTTCACACCAAACGAGACAGTTGGCCAACATACCAATGGCCATCTTCACACTGTGCTATATCTGATGTTTTCATGTTGGTATATATCTGTACAGCATCACAAAGTTAATATTACTGTGAGTTTTATAAATGTTCAGCTAATATCATCCATTGCAGAGAAGTCTTTTTGGATTTAATCCATTACTGGAGTTGGCTGGAATTTATCCATTATAGAATTTTCCTGGATTTTATCCATTAGAGGTTTTCCTGGATTCAACCAATTCCTTATCCGTTTCTTCACGTTGAGCCGGAAGTCACACACAAACAATGGACGATCCGCCAAAGTTCAATAAGAATGAACGGAAATCTATGGATAAATTCTTGTTTTCAATGAAGGCAGCCAGCGGACCAGCCTCTGAAAGGAACTCTAATGATGCTACAACACGACGCTCTAATGATGCTACAACACGACGCTCTAATGATGCTACAGCACGACGCTCGACTGATGCTTCATCACGACGATCTTCCACGGAGAAGCTAACTGCGAAGAAGCTCATTGGCAGCTCAGGGACTAGTGTATCTTCTCTTGACACCAACGATGACTTCGCTCAAAACGCAAAACCCTCCACAAAAAAATCGGTCTCGTTGTTACGCTTGAGACAATCAATGCAGAGATTATCGGTGTCGTCACAAGATTCCAACAGTACACCCAAGTCCAGCAGCTCCTCTAAGAGTAAGAAGTCCAGCGCCAGCAGTAGATCAGCCAAACTGTCTTCAGCTGAAATGCTGAGTGAGAAAAAAGCCATCTTTATTCGCATCCATGGCATTGTGATGAATGTTTCTGGTGACTTTGAACTCTTAGCCCACGTTCCTGCAGAACCCAAAATAGAACTAATAAAAGAACCTGTCCTTGAAGAGGGTGCAACCAGCGGAGTGCACAAGATACGCAAACGGACTTCATTCGCGCAAGTGGTGGATCAGTATCTTGACCTCAACATTCACGATCCCAAAGAACTCAAACCCAAAACTTCGCTGGAAGAAGAGGTCGAGCTTATGGAAAAACATGATTTCGAAGAAGAAAAGAAACCACTCACATCAAGGAGGAAATCGAAATTTGGTCCGACAGAAAAGACAGAAAGTCACAAAAATTCGCATCTGTGGAGCGATGTCGGAATGCAACTGGTCAACAGCAAAAAGAAACCTTCTCTGTTTGAACTGCTGGTGAACGAGTCCCGTACTGTGTCTAGTGAACACCTAACTCTACATGAACGAAAAAAACCAATGTTCGCTACTCCATCGGCTTCAAGTGAAGACACCACAAAGAAAAAGGCGGGAAAAAACACGGACAAAGACAACACCTCGCGTAAGGTGACTGACAAGACCAGTGACACGGACAATGAATCTCAAATGCAACCCAAAAAATTGCCAGCTATTCCATCTTCTGATTACGACGGTTCAGCTCCAGGGAACAAGAGTACAGACGAAGAAGAGGAATTTTATGATTTGGTTGACAACGGGCAGGACTTTCCACAGAAGTATCAAGGGAGGACCTTCGGTTCTTCTGATGAGGAGTTTTTTGATGCTATTGATGGCTCAGTCGAGACTTCCACCATCAAGTCAGTTTTAGCGACATCAAAGCAGGACAAATCAACAAAAAATCAACAGAAAGGTTCTAAAGGAATTAAATGGGTTGATGACGAGTCATTCGTGTCCTTACAGGATGATGAAGAAGACGAATGGCACGACATCAACTGACAGACTGACTGCTGACAATGGTGACATTCCTCGGGTCAATGATGACCGCTTGCATGATAGAGACTGATGCTTGCGCCGCATGGCCACTTACTGTAAGCTGGTAGATCTAGCTATAGAAGAATAGCAAGCAAGCATACCAGTCCACCTGATCACCACCTAGCTACAAAAGACGAGCAAGAAGGCTATTCCACACCATCGAATGATGCTACAATATTACCCACATTTTATTTGACCACCAACGATACAATGTCAAAGCAGGTAGTCTGTGGTTGATGTGAGAAATCAAGTTAATCATTTCATTCAATAGTTAGACTAGTTTTAGTGTCCAATACATTACACAATATACAACAAATAATGTAAATGTTGGGGATGGGTCTCAGTGATGATAATCTAGCAATCAGTGATGTCACTGATGGTAATGTAGCAGTCAATGATGTTAACAGGCAGTGATGTCACTGATGGTAATGTAGCAGTCAATGATGTTAACAGGCAGTGATGTCACTGATGGTAATGTACCAATCAGTGATGTGACTGATGATTATCTAGCAATCAGTGATGTTTACAGGCAGTGATGTCACTGATGGTAATGTAGCAATTAATGATGTCACTGCTGGTAATTTAACAATCAGTGATGTTAACAGGCAGTGATGTCACTGATTGTAAGCAATCAATCACATGTTAACTGGACAGCTGACCATCCATCAACAAGAAGACATATAATAACAACTATAGAAATATATAAAAATGTAACACCCTTACAATTACCTAAAGGAAACATTTATTCCCTGTAGTTTATTCTTGAACTCAAGTAAGCAGCAATCGTATTGTCACTACCATCAAAATAATTGATTTACCAGTTGATTTGTAAATTTGTATTTAATATAAACATAAATTTATATATATATGAAATTCTACATGTTTATACTTTACAAATAAACGAAGTGGCGTAAACAAGGAAATCTATTTTTGTGTGCTTGTTTTCAAAACTGTAATTTTTCTAAATATAAATTTTGACAACAAAAGCTCACCCAATCAACTAACACTGCTAAAATTCTTGATTAAGCTTTACAATGACGTGACCAAAATATGACCTTACCTTTTCAACAAAATAAGGGATTTGATTGAGACTGCTTGGTCTAGCTGAGAATTTTGTAAAGTGACTAGCAGTCTGTACCTACATTGGACAAAGATTAAGAATAGAACAAAATAAAGGAATGTTTTGATTTGGTGAGTTTTTGGCTCTATCATTTGAAAGGTAATATATAAGTAATATATTAGTAATATAACTGATTAAAACCCTGGTAGGTCAATGCTAAGTTGGGTGTTTTTTTGTTGTTACTTTCTACAACATTATTAGCTATCCAGCCACAGTTACCTAAAGTTGTAGAAATTTGTAAAAGTTTTCTCCAGGTAACTAATAGGCTAGCACCAGTAAGAAGCATAAAACTAAACTCTAAGCCTAATTCAACTTATGTGAGAATCATGACTTTAAAGTCTTAGTATAACTCTTACTAACATGTCATGATTTGCTCTGATAATTTTTATTGTATCATATCAAGAAAGATAAAAAAAAAAGTTATTATCTTGAACCCTAGGTACACAGTTTTTTTAATTATGATGAGAAAATTGTTTTTAAGCATTTTTATTTCTCAATTGATACAACACTTTTACTTTTAAGTATACAATTATTTTTATCATGGGTAACGAAGACATAGGGACGGAGTGGCCTAACGGTAGAGAGCTGGACTGCTAACCCCTAAGTCTCGAGTTCGAATCCGGGTTCAAGTCAGTAGACCTTCCCTGAGTCCACCCAGCTCTGATGGGTACCTAACTCATGTTAGGGAAAGTAAAGGCGGCTGGGCATAGTGCTGACCACACTATTCCTCCATCTGCAGAGTTCACAAAAACAAGTGAACTCTACTTTACTTGCCCCAGTTGCCTTTGAAAATTGTAAGAATATTTAAAGTTAGATAGGTAAAATTACAATAACCTTACAGCAGCCCCTTCAACATCTGGGATACATGAATAGACACTGTTTATGCTAACCTGAGGGTATTCTTGAAATCCTCCCATTGATTCTTGGTAAGTGTCACATGAGCCTCCAACTACTATGAGAGGCCTGAAAACAACAAAACGGGAAGAATAAGATATATCTGTACATCTTTCCAGGAAGAAATTCTAACAGGTAGCTAAATTAGTTTGATCAGCAGTTTTTCAAAAAAAAATTTGCACAATTTTTACCAGCAGTTTTCCATTGCATTAGACATTCCAGCGAGAGCATGAACTAGTCCGGGCCCCGAAACTACTAGACAAACTGCAGGTTTTTTGGTTAGATATCCTATAGCAGATGCAGCATATGAAGCCTGTATAGTAAAAATTAAAAAACAATCATATTATCAGATACAAAAAATAGAATCTGTTGCTAAATTTTAAAAAAGTATCCACTTAAAAAAGATTTTACTATACCGCCTGTTCATTCCTCATTGCAACAAATTTGATTCCAACACTCTGGGCTGCTATACCTATTTCAATGACAGGTACCCCAACAATTCCAAACATGTACTCCACTCCCTAAAGATAAATAAAGGTTTACAACTAACACAAAGTAATAGTAATTTAATACATTATTAAAATTTACAAACAATAAAGCCTATAATTATAATAATATATTTACTGAAGTGTTATTTCCCAGTCGTCTGGGAATAACCAAATATGGTGTTCTCCCAGTCAGAACAGTTTTCAATTAAATGTTAAAAATGTCGTGATAGGCATGAAGCTATGTGGCAGCTGTCATACGAAATATTATGGGCTTGAATCCATAGATGATTAATTGCATTAATTAGGATTAGGCTAGGCCAGGCCTACTCTCAGTCCTGATAAATCATAATTTGTCAGGATATAGAACTAGATCTAGGCCCAATAATAACATAAAAATTACTGTAATGAATAAAAAATCTTAATCAGTGGATCAGAATTAAGACTAAACAAGTTAATTAAAAAAGTCTAGTGACATTTATGCGCAATTTCCTTATGTTATCTAAAAATAGCTCTGACGTATAATGCTGGGGTGCGTTCAAGCTAGAAGAACGATTGGTTTGTAGGTGTTTATGTAATTTTAAAATTTGTGCCCGAACGAGAGGATATTTTTGAAAACTTTCTTCGGCAATATTGTTCTAAATTATGACAGGAATCGATTGGTACATGTTTCAAGTCGCTAAGTGGTCTGGTTGCCGAAATATGGGCAAAAAACTGAATTTTTTCGAGGTTTTTTGGCTTTTCCGGGAAATACATGAAAGAAACTCGGAATTTTTATGGCCTATGCTCATCCTCGTAACTTGCTTAACTTAACATAATTGCTTTTGGAACGAATCATCGATATTGCTGCGTTGAGGAGGAGATACGACTTAAAGCTGCGGACACACATCCATCCATCCATCCATCCATTCATTCATACATCCAGAAATGACGGGTTAATAAACGCAATTCTCCAGAATGGAAATTGCGCTAAAAATACGACTCTAAGTATTAGTAAGAGACGAAAGAGTGACAATCTCATTCTCAGCCCTGCACTCTGACCTGTTGTTGCAGTGCTTTGACTAAAATTGTTGCTCCATTTATTTCATCTCCTGCAGATTGTTCTTTTCTCGATGATTTTTTCATTGTTGCTGTGAAGTCTTAGATCCCTAGATCTAGATAATATAAAGTTTTAATAATAAAATAAAACGTGTAGGCTATATTATTTTTTTTAAACTATATAAATAAACGCAAGACAAAAACAGAACCGTATCAAATAAAAACAGTATAGGTCGAAGGTCCAAAGAGGTCATAGGTTACAAAGGGACATAATGTTTTTTTACATTCTAAAATAATATAATAATTATATCGCAATTCTAAGATCGAAAACAATTATCACTATCAGTATCAGAGACGTTTGAATTTTAAAAACAACTAGATCTAGCTTGATTGCGTTAGGGGTCAACCATAAATGGCGTCACGCTTTTTTTGACGATTTTTACCTCCCTCTCCCCTCCATCAAACATCGGACATCGTCACAAAAAGCCAGACCCCCCCCCTAAAATAACGTCACACATCAGCCTATAAAATTGCAGTTGAATTTTTCTTAAAACATCGATATTTTTTCCAAAATGTTGTCTGAACTCTGTCAACATAGAGTATTTTTATCAATTCTTATTACAATTTATTTTCTAACGACTAAAATTAGTTTTCTAACATTTCTTTTTAATAATGAAAAAGTGTGACGTCAAATCATCTGAACCCCCCTCCTTCATCACACACTGTCACAAAATTACGGAACCCCCTCCCCTACGAGTGTGACGTCATTTATGGAGGACCCAGAGGCGTAGCGACCTTTCCCGGCGCCCGGGGACAAACTTACAATTTGGCGCCCCCCTCGGGAGCAACCTTTCAATTTTCGATTTGCACCCCCCTCAAACTTTCGATTTACACCCCCCCCCCTCAAACTTTCAATTTGCACCCCCTCCCCAAACTTTCGATTTGCACCCCCCACCCATATAACCCATATATTTTTTATATTTATGACGCAAAACTGCAGCTAAAATGAGATTTTAATTTGTTTTTCCAACCCATTTTGGCGCCTCCTTAGGTCGGCGCCCGGGGGGACATATGTGCCCCCCTTCGCTACGCCACTGGGAGGACCCCTTATCCGCATTAATAAAAAAACAGTTTTCTCTTGTTAATTATATAGATGTCGTATGTGTATAGCATATTATCCACCTAAAATGAATTTCTGTCTGCCTACACAAATAAAACGACGCCTTTGTTCACATGAACTAGAGATTCTATTGATTTTTCGCATGCCAACTCTTATTATTCCTTTCCTTTACATTGCTATTTTTTTTTCATAGGGACAGCTTGCAAACGATGAATAGAAAATTCACTACTGGTGGCAAGAGGGCGGGGAAGAATGTGTGGTATATGTCCGGGAAGGGTGGGGGAAATAACCTAATTATAAACAGAATAAAACTTGCAAACGATGAACTGCAATTTCATATATGGAGGGCGGTATGACAGTATGTGACGTTAAGAGTATTTGCTATCATTGATGAAACCCTTCTTCTCATCCCCAGCCTCCGCCCCCCCCCCCCCTCCCCGCCAAAAAAAATACCAACTTGTCGCGTCCCCTGAAAATTCGTGCGAAAATGTGTTGTGATAGTAAGAAAAGGTATATACTGGTGTTGAAATATTGCTTATGTTAGTATGTATCCAACACACAAATAAAATAAAATTAACAGGATTTTTTTCGTTTAATGATTTCTAGCTACCTTTTTAGATGCGTTCGATAAAAAAAATTAGTAGGGCCCTGGCATATAATTTGGTCTTGGGTCTCCTGGTTGCAGCTCAACCCTTGTCAAGCTTATTGTTAAAAGCCGTAGTTAGGTGTGGGGTGTGACTGTCTTGTTTAGTTACACCTTTAGAAAATGGATAGTGATATGTCCTAATCTTCAAACATTTTAAATTAATTCATGTCTTTTTACTAATTTAAACTTCGACACGACTGAAACCTTAAAACGTCATTTGTCAAGTTATACTTCTTTAGCCTACTCACTAGATCAAATGCTCATCCAAGCAAAACTACAAAGACCATCTTTATTTAAAGTCAGATGCAACAATGTTAAATTAATCGAAGCATTATATTTTTTGAAATATTATATTAGCAATAACTTAGCTTATAGTCTAGAATTTTAATTTGGAATCAGCCTCAAACAATTCAATATCAGTTTAACGCCTGTTTAACATTATCTTTTAATTTTTTTTAAATATTCAAAACAAGAAAGCAAAAAAAGAAAAAAATTCATACATTTGTTCTGTTGAATATTTTTATTTGAAACCTTTCATATTTTTCCTTACCGTGATTTTTAACGATGATTTTTAAAAAAATGTTTAGTATCTGCAATAGTTCGTTAAAATATTAGCATTTCTAAAGTGTCTTTTGCTCAATGTTCTAGAAAAAATGTTGCTAATTCTTAGGTTTGCAACGGCTATAAATTTGCAGAAAAATCTGTTAACAAATGGCACCAACACAGCTTGTTGAATGGCTTAAAGGTTTTTCCAATTAACTTTAATCCCCTAAAACAAGTTTACTGTATAATAATTCGACAATTAAAAAACAAATCCTTATAACATCTTTGTTATATACAGGCGTTTTTAAGCTTCGCCGAAAATGACAAGAAAAGCTGGGTGGCTTAACAAAATGTAATAGTTGTATTTTGTATAAATGTATTATTTTACAATCAATACTCTGGCATTTAAGAAAAAAAATATCAACACTATTTTAATCTGGCACTGAGCTTATATATAAGTCAATCCTTCACCTTGCAAACAATGCGATTTTTCAATAGCATGTTAAGTACCCTTTCTTTCTATACAAACTGTTACATCTGAAGTTTTGAATGCTGCGTCAGAGACTGCTGCTGGCCGTGGGAAATTGCTTGTAGTTGATGGGACATGGCCTGGGGTTGTTGATGGCCGTGGGACATGGCCTGTGGTTGTTGTTGGCCACTGGGCATGGCCTGTGGTTGTTGCTGGCTATGAGGTATTGCTTGCGGTTGTTGGCATATTGTCTGTGACTGTTGTTGCAGGTGGGAGAGTGCCGGAGCTTGCTGTTGGTTGTGTGGAAGTGTGTGCAGCTGTACCTGTGCAAGTGGATGCTGCATCTGCTGTCCAAGACTTTGATGCAGTTGCTGGGCGTGTGTTAGCTGCGACTGTTGGAGCTGTTGAACATCGTGATGTTGACAGTGAGACTGCTGGAGCTGCTGTAGTTGAACATCGTGATGCGGTTGACAAAAGGATTTATTAAACAGCTGGAAGATCGGTAGTCGCTGTTGATGCAGCTGCTGTAGGATAGTTTGCTGTTGCTGTTTTTGCTGTTGCTGTTTTTGCTGTTGCCCTGTTGTGGGCAATGAGTTGTTGCTTCGTGCTTGATTTTGCAGAAGTGTGGACTGCTGTTGAATTTTTTGATGCAGGGGCTGCTGTTGTTGTTGCTGCGGCGCTGGAATGTGAATGAGTTTGCTGTGCGCAAGCTGATTGGTTGCCTCACAGTGAGGACGGCTCACCGGAAGTGGGTATGTCGTCTGCTGATACTGCTGTCTCCAGTGTTGGGCAGGTGTAGGCTGCTGAACTTGACCTACCAAAAACAAACAGTGAGTGTTTGAAAATACTGAACTAAACATGAAATTAAACTGTTCTTATATTAAACAACCCACTTCTATGACTAAAAATAATCCAAGTGTTACATCGATTAATTTGCTACTAGGATAATCGCTCTTTCAGACTATCCAGAAAACCAAAACATAACGAAAAATGTTGCAGTCTCTCCGAAATAATGTTCCAAATGGCTTTTTACTTCGTGTTTCCGACTTTTGCTTACTATCTTATATACAGAATAGTTGATTGAGTGCCTCAAGTACTCACGTAATCTGTAGAACTGTTAATTAAAGCACTCACCTAATCTGTAAAACTATTGGTTGAAGCACTAATCTAATCTGTAGAACTGTGTGTTGAAGTACTCACCTAATCTGTAGAACTGTGTGTTGAAGTACTCACCTAATCTGTAGAACTGTGTGTTGAAATACTCACCTAATCTGTAAAACTGTGTGTTGAAGTACTCACCTAATCTGTAGAACTGTGTGTTGAAGTACTCACCTAATCTGTAGAACTGTGTGTTGAAGTACTCACCTAATCTGTAGAACTGTGTGCTGAAGTACTCACCTAATCTGTAAAACTGTGTGTTGAAGTACTCACCTAATCTGTAGAACTGTGTGTTGAAGTACTCACCTAATCTGTAGAACTGTGTGTTGAAGTACTCACCTAATCTGTAGAACTGTGTGTTGAAGTACTCACCTAATCTGTAGAACTGTGTGTTGAAGTACTCACCTAATCTGTAGAACTTTGTGTTGAAGTACTCACCTAATCTGTAGAACTGTGTGCTGAAGTACTCACCTAATCTGTAGAACTGTGTGTTGAAATACTCACCTAATCTGTAGAACTGTGTGTTGAAGTACTCACCTAATCTGTAGAACTGTGTGTTGAAGTACTTACCTAATCTGTAGAACTGTTGATTGAGTCGGGTCAGACGACCAACCAGCTCCCTGTTCTTCTTCTTCTCGTCCTCAAACTGTTTATCTATGGAGGCCCTCTCGGCCATCAGGCTGGACTTTTCTTTCTGTAGATTGGGCAGACTGAGCTGTAGTTTGGACAGGAACTCGTTCTTTCGACGCTCACACTGCTTCAACTCAAGGGCTGCAAGAGGTCAAGAGGTCAATACATTCTTTAAAACATCAGGTTGAATTGTTCATCACTAATCATTGTCTATTTTTTAAAATAAAATTTACCAACAGAAAAGTCTAGAAATATTTTTAACGTTCATTAAACTTCTGCTTGCCTTGAAAAATATAACTAAAACATAATAAAAAATAGAAATATTTACTATTTGTAATTAGAAGTAAAGATTTAATTAGATTAACGATGTTACCTTCTTTCTGGCAATGTCGCCGGATTGCCAGGAATTTTTTCTGCAAACGTTTCAGCGCCAGTTGGTGTTTCTGCTGGAGCTTCTCCGTCTGCTGATAAACTTTCTTGGCGTCGAGCTCGGCCTGCACGCTGGCGTTGGCCGTGACGACGTTGGCGGCTTCCGGCCAGATCTCCACTATCTGCACGGCGCCCTCTGCCCTGTCGTCCACGATGGTGTGCTCTGTTTGTGTCGCAGAGCTCTCGAAGCTGATGTGTTCCGTCATCGTCTGAGCTACACTAAAGAAAATACGATGGGATTCGTTGATTCTAAAACACATTGGGAGGTAAATTAATATGGGTGGGACAAACATGCCACGTACAAGTAAATATTGAGTGGGAGAGAGTTCGAAGGCTAGCAAGAATCAGTGGCGTAGCGAGGTCGGGTGTCACCCGGTGCGGCACTTAATGGTGTCATCCCCCCCCCCCCCCCCAAGAGGCGTAGCGACCCTTCCCGGGGAAAAACTTTCAAGTTTTAGATTTGCACCCCCCCCCCTCAAGTTTTCGATTTGCACCCCCCTCAAGTTTTCGATTTGCACCATCTCCTCAAGTTTTCTCTATATATTTTGCTATTTTTTACCTTGGTGTCACCCCCCTAAATGGTGTCACCCGGTGCGGTCCGCACCCCCGCCTCCCCCCCTCGCTACGCCCCTGGCAAGAATGTCTTGAGTGATGATCCGCAGGATATCCCTGAGTTCACCCAGCTTTAATGGGTACCTGGCTCACATTAGAGAAAATAAAGGTCGATGGTCTTAGTGCTGACCACACAACCTCTTCATGTGCAGATGTCAATAAACATAAAAACTCTACTTTATCTTTCCTAGTGATCGTAAAGTCTGAAAAATAAACGTTAAGCGCACACATGTCTGTGAATCTTGGGGTGACTAGCCTAGAATCGAAGCTCTAGCCAGCTCACACGCCTCGTTGTAATGTTTTCTAATGTTGATTGTTAAGCCTGGTAAAATAAAAAATTTACCTGCATTCGTGTGGGGCGAGACTAGCATCGCAGTCCTGGGTCATCTCAGTCATTGTTGCTATCTCCGCTCGAAAAGTGACTTTTGAACTTTGACATGGTACTATGTCATCAGAGACTAGCATACACTTCTGGTCACCGGCTTGTACTTCCTCAGAGTTAAACACGATCCTACTGGGTTCTGTTGTCTGGGAGTTAGATACGATCCTAGTGTCTTCTGATGTCAAGCTATCTTGTACCGAACTACGGCTTTCAGTTGATACTTCATTGACGGCATCACTTTCTGATGAAAACATGAACTCCCTGCAAACGTTTAAACTTCCAGATGTCGACACATGCACTGGAATCTCAAAAACTTCAGACGGATTCATTGCCTTTGGTGACGTAGACGTACGGTCAAGTTCTGGAACTTGTTTGACCTCCTCCAGCCCTGACTCTGGACTTTCAGCCACACCTTTCTGATCCTCTACATCTGGAGTGTCACGTGGTACCTCGGGCAGTTCTATGAGCTTGCAGGACGATTCTGGTACGATGCTGGACCCAGTTTTAGGCGAGTCCGGCAATTTCTCACTGTCAGCGTGAGTGTCTTCGGCAGATTTGACTTTGTATGGAGACGATATGGCGCTTTTAATAAACAGCTGTAATCTTGCTACGAAACTCTCAGTAAGGTTGTTGGCTGAATATATATATATATATATATATATATATATATATATATATATATATATATATATATATATATATATATATATATATATATATATATATACACACACATGTAACACTATCAGTTGCTACATTTATAATGACTTTCTTGAGAATCACTGTTAGCTTTTGAAATAATTTGTTATGTCTACATCTTCTCTAAAACAACAAGAAATGTGCTAAGGCCAGTGTTTCTTTCATGCATCTCCTCGAAGCAAGTCTACTCCCTCACCCTTCCCTCCCCAAAGGAAATAGCGATTATATAGAAAATATGTTTTCGCCAGTATCCGCCCCCGCTCACTCGAAAATTTAGCCCGCCCTCACCCATGAAAGCTGCAAGTGCCCCCCCCCCCCTCCACCCCGGAGATAAATGTCTAAGAGTAACACTGGTTGAAACCTACACAAAAAGAACTCCAGTACTCAGGTAACACTGGTTGAAACCTACACAAAAAGAACTCCAGTACTCACCTTCAAGGCAGACAAAGACGAGAAGCATGAGAAGAGCTACAAGAGTAGTGTGGAGCAACATGTCCTGAAACAGTCGAATGGTACAAGGTTACTATCATCTAGACGGGACCAGTGCAATGGTGCAAGGTTACTATGATCTAGACAGGACCAGTGCAATGGTACAAGGTAATGATCTAACCATGCATGTATTTTATTTAAAGTGACTCACCCAGACGAGCGAGAAAAACGAGTCACTGTTCCAGTAATGTATTTGATTTAAAGCGACTCACCCAGACGAGCGAGAAAAACGAGTCGCTGTTCCAGTAATGTATTTGATTTAAAGTGACTCACCCAGACGAGCGAGAAAAACGAGTCACTGTTCCAGTAATGGATGCTGATGATGCTCGTGACCAGGACGCAAACAGACGAGACTTTGAACCATCGGCGAGAGCGTGATGGGGAATCTGTTGACCTGGGAAAACAAAGACAATACTCACTCATTGCATGGAAGAACATGAGGTACTCATTGTGTAGCATCACCTGACCCACGGTTTAACTTACCTGACCCACAATTTAACCCACCTGACCCACGGTTTAACTAACATGACCCACAATTTAACCCACCTGACCCACAGTTTAACCCACCTGACCCAGGTTTAACCCACCTGGTGTCGCCACAACCTTCCCATAGTTTAACCCACCTGACCCACAGTTTAACCCACCTGACCCACAGTTTAACTCACTGACCCACAGTTTAACCCACCTGATCCACAGTTCAACCCACCTAACCCGTAGTTTAACCCACCTGACCCACAGTTTAACCCACCTGACCCACAGTTTAACCCACCTGACCCACAGTTTAACCCACCTGACCCACAGTTTAACCCACCTGACCCACAGTTTAACCCACCTGACCCACAGTTTAACCCACCTGACCCACAGTTTAACCCACCTGACCCACAGTTTAACCCACCTGACCCACAGTTTAACCCACCTGACCCACAGTTTAACCCACCTCACCCACAGTTTAACTCACCTCACCCACAGTTTAACCCACCTCACCCATAGTTTAACCCACCTCACCCACAGTTTAACCCACCTCACCCACAGTTTAACCCACCTGACCCACCTGCTTGGCGCCTCCCGGCAGCTCCCCACAGAGTTAATGTTCCTGTTTCCTTTTAACTCCCTCTCCTCCGTGGGGGTACTGGTCCTGGTACCACTAGCAGACGATTCCTCCTCCTGTGGTCTCAGCCACTCGGCCACATCGTGAGCGCCCTCAGGTGGATTGTGCTTGCAGGCGTCAAAGGTGTTGTCGGCGTCTGGGTTGGACTTGGTGTCCCCCGCTCCCCTCTCTTCTCGTGTGGCTATTTTGTAGACCGCGTTCAGGTTAAAGTCCAGTGGAATGGCCTGAAAATTTCACGCAGAAAATTCGTCAGCTAAAATGTGCAATTATATATACATTTTTTAAATGCCCATTGCATCCTAAGTGTTACAAAATAATTATCCTTGGAGGTTTCTTTCTGATAAAATTCTCCGCGTGAAGGGGGGGGGGAGTAAAAGTATTAGAAAAAACTCTGATTGTAATAAGTATCATACATTACTCTGTCCGTACATTGAAAACTGAATTCACGAAGATTGTACACCACATTATCCCATTGTACGAGTTAAAACAAAAGCTCTCAGTAAGTCAAGAAAATAAATTTGTCAATCAATTCGAAGAGCCATTAATGTTGAGTCCCTTACCGTTAATTAATCCTGTAGGACGAGACATTTAATTAACTTACCCTAGAGGACGAACCGTTTAACTTACCCTAGAGGACGAACCAATTGACTTACCCTAGAGGACGAACCAATTGACTTACCCTAGAGGACGAACCGTTTGACTTACCCTAGAGGACGAACCGTTTGACTTACCCTAGAGGACGAACCGTTTGACTTACCCTAGAGGACGAACCGTTTGACTTACCCTAGAGGACGAACCGTTTGACTTACCCTAGAGGACGAACCGTTTGACTTACCCTAGAGGACGAACCGTTTGACTTACCCTAGAGGACGAACCATTTGACTTACTCTAGACGACAAACCAATTGACTTACCCTAGAGGACGAACCGTTTGACTTACCCTAGAGGACGAACCGTTTGACTTACCCTAGAGGACGAACCGTTTGACTTACCCTAGAGGACGAACCAATGGACTTACCCTAGAGGACGAACCGTTTGACTTACCCTAGAGGACGAACCGTTTGACTTACCCTAGAGGACGAACCGTTTGACTTACCCTAGAGGACGAACCGTTCGACTTACCCTAGAGGACGAACCGTTCGACTTACCCTAGAGGACGAACCGTTCCTATTGACGGACCCAACCGCAGACGAGAAGACGAACATGGGCGCGTCAGCCGAGGACGCGCTGGAGGGCTGGGTCTTGTACGTGATTCTCGCCAGTCGGTCCTGGGGGGAGGGGTCCGACAGGGCGCTGAAGCTGCTTCTGGGGTGGGTGGCGTCTCCCTGGGTCCACCAGGCGGGGTGGAGACCCAGGTTAAAGTGGATTCCATCACCCCTAGCTCCATCGTCAGCGTGGAGGTACAGCTTTTTGTCTCCACTGAATGTGGTCAACGTGTAGGTGTCCTTCATAGTGTCTATACAGTTGTGTTCACACCTCATGCAAGACTCTCCTATCGGATCTATATCATTTATACACGCATCGAAGTCGTCATTCATTTCAGTAACATCGGGGAATCCCGTTTCTAAATCAGGGCTGTTACTACTTCTACCAGTACACATTGGCATCATTTCATCCAAAGATGAGTACAAGTTCTTGTTGATGACGTCAGGATAGATCGATGTGTTTTCTACGTCACAGTAGAGGTTGGGTGTGTCGTGGTGTACATCTGTGTCGCCTGATGCAGAGAACATGTGTGTGTTGTTGTCACACGAGTATAGGCAAGAATTCTCGAAGGGAGAGCTGTGGTTCATACACGGTGCCAGACATTGATCGTGACAGGAAATGTGTTTACATTTGTAATGATCACTCGGTGAAAGATGGCAGTTGATTAAATCGCTGTTGTCTATAAGATAATGATTCGCTTGAGTGCCGACACTCCAGGGGCTGGGGGCGTCTTCAGGGTCCAGCCTGTCTTCAAGGAGTTCCGGTTGGAATGACCAGTCGACGTGGGAATGTTGTGTGGAGAAGACGTCGTCAGAATACCAGGTGTCGTGGGCCCAGCTTCGGTTTTCTTCCTCGCAAGCCTCGCTGTAATCCTCTTCAAAACTGAACGACAATAAATCTTCATCGATGCAGCTGTCGTCTAACTTGTCCGTGATGTCGGAGCGCATGTCGTCGTACGGCGGTCCGGCAGACGATCTGTCGTTCAGGTTGTTGTCCAGCTTGTCTGATATCTCGTAGTTTCTGTTTCCCAGCGATGGGTCAGCAGACAACCTGTCAACCAGCAGCTGATCAGCAGACGACATATCCCCCAGCAGCCGGTCAGCAGACGTCATATCCCCCAGCACCTGATCAGCAGACATGTCCCCCAGCGTGACATCAACACAACTGACGTCCAGGGTCTTGTCAACACTCACCGAGTCGCTGCCCTGAGTGACGCTGCAGTTGTCAGTGGAGACACGTGACGTCGAGCTAGCCCCCGCCAGAGCCCGCGAGGTGATGACCCTAAAGAAATGGTCGATCAACTCGGCGTCCTTGAGAATGTTGACAATGTCCCTGACCCATGACCTACACAGGTTACCAGGCCTCAAGCCCAGCAGCGAGGCGTTCATGCATTCTTCTAGAAGGTTGTAGCCGCACCCTGGGGCATCGGCTTCAGCAAAGAAAGTAGTTACATTGTACTACATGTTTAGTAAAGATGGGTCAAAGTAGTTAGATCAAATTGTACTACAAGGTAAAGAAGGCCCTAAATAGTTAGATCAAATTGTACTACAAGTTGAGTAAAGAAGGGTATAAGTAACTAGCTATAATTTTCAAACAAATTTAGCAAAACATTGTTTCAAAGTAAATCACATTATTACAATATAGCCAACAGACTTAAATTTTTAAGAAAGAAATCCTTAAAGCTTAATTTAAATAAAAGAAACAATTTAGTATCATTAAAAAAGTGCATTGTTGACTAGTATAGAAGTTATTTTAACATGTGAGCTATATATGTAGACTTAAGAACACATCTTGTGAATAGTTATTACACATCAGTTGAGAGAAGTTTTATAGTCTCCCACAATTTTACTTTTTCTTTCTAATACTCAACACAAGAGACGTGGGTACTAACACAACTTTGTTATATGATTAACAAGTAAGAAGGTAACAGTGTGTTACAATAGCCAGACCCTTGTGGCCGTAGACTATATACATCAATAATATTTACACTTATTTCAGTCATTCAAACCCTAAAGTTCAAAGCGTAAGCTTTAAAATATAGGCTATAGATCAGGTATCCAGTAGTTTTTTTTTAGTGCTCGGCTAGTCGGGAAAATAAGAAAAATCCTATTTTGCACTCTTGCGAGGCCTAGAATCTAGATTATTCCAGATCTACATCTATATTCTTGGGATTGTTGGCACCAATAGTGTTGGTATCACCCTGACCCCTACCTTCTTGTCTACATTATCACACCAATAGTGTTGGTATCACCCTGACCCCTACCATCTTGTCTACATTATCACACCAATAGTGTTGGTATCACACTGACCCCTACCATCTACTTTATCACACCAATAGTATTGGTATCACACCAATAGTGTTAGTATCACCCTGACCCCTACCATCTACATTATCACACCAATAGTGTTGGTATCACACTGACCCATACCATCTTGTCTACATTATCACACCAATAGTGTTGGTATCACACTGACCCCTACCATCTTGTCTACATTATCACACCAATAGTGTTGGTATCACACTGACGCCTACCATCTACTTTATTACACCAATAGTATTGGTATCACACCAATAGTGTTGGTATCACCCTGACCCCTACCATCTACATTACCCCACCAATAGTGTTGGTATCACACTGACCCATACCATCTTGTCTACATTATCACACCAATAGTGTTGGTATCACACTGACCCCTACCATCACACCAATAGTGTTGGTATCACACTGACCCCTACTATCTACATTATCACACCAATAGTGTTGGTATCACACTGACCCCTACCATCACACCAATAGTGTTGGTATCACCCTGACCCATACCATCCTGTCTACAATATCACACCAATAGTGTTGGTATCACACTGACCCCTACCATCTTTTGGTATCACACTGACCCCTACCATCACACCAATAGTGTTGGTATCACCCTGACCCCTACCATCTTGTCTACATTATCACACCAATAGTGTTAGTATCACACTGACCCCGACCATCTACATTATCACACCAATAGTGTTGGTATCACCCTGACCCCTACCATCATGTCTACATTTTATCACACCAATAGTGTTGGTATCACCCTGACCCCTACCATCTTGTCTACATTATCGATAGTTTCGAGTTCGAATCCGGGTTCAATTTAGTGAGTCCACCCAACTTTGATGGGTACCTAAGTCACGTTAGGGAAAGTAAAGGCGGCTGGGCATAGTGCTGACCACATTATCCCTTTATATGCCGAGGTCAAGAAACATATGAACTACATCTGCCCAATGTTTCGTTATAGTTCTAAAGAGGAATGTTTACTACTTTTACTACACCGTCCCCTACCAGATAAATATATCACTTACCTGTGGATCGCCCCGCCTCATTTTTACACCTGGACGTGATTCTGTTGCGTAGCAACATGAGTGGACCAGAGAAGTGACCAATATGACCGCCGCAGTCTTCGGTCCGTCTCGCGGACATGCGCGCGCGTGTTTTGTCCTGAGCGAATCGTCTACTGATGGCCCACCCCCAGTACAGATAGGATCTAGTCAGCCTCCTCCTTGCTCTGCTGAAGTCGTCAAACATCTTGTCTTTCTTCTCTTTCAACTTTCTTTTTATTCCAGTGTTGATATTTACTTTTTTCACATGTACACATGTAAACAACAGTTGTTAATGAGAAATACGTCATCAAGATTCGCTTATTACGTCACACGCGATATTTAAACTAAAAGAGCGCCATTTTTTATTGAAAAATATTAATCGATAGTAAGAGAGGATATCGATACAACGTTAAACATTTAGAACAGAGCAGAAAAGAAAACTAATTTAAAATAAAAATAAACTGGACACAAAAGTGAAGTTTTGACCATAATACTTCGGGAGACTAATACTGTTTGAATGATCTCCCCTGAAAGATGTGTAAAGTTGTTTAAAAACTGTAATCATTACTGGCATGACTTACTTCGCTTATTTTTTTAAAGCCAGTGAAGTGCAAAGGGCTGCAACTCCCTCTCTCCACTGGTCTCTGTTTTGGTCAGCTCTCTTCAGCTGAGCCCACGTAATCCCAGCAGCCTTTGCTTCTCTTTCTACAGCCCTTCTGCCGGATTGCTTAGGCCGGACTACTCATCTTCTACTGCCGGATTGCTTAGGCCGGACTACTCATCTTCTACTGCCCTTCTGCCGGATTGCTTAGGCCGGACTACTCATCTTCTACTGCCGGATTGCTTAGGCCGGACTACTCATCTTCTACTGCCGGATTGCTTAGGCCGGACTACTCATCTTCTACTGCCGGATTGCTTAGGCCGGACTACTCATCTTCTACTGCCGGATTGCTTAGGCCGGACTACTCATCTTCTTCCCTGAGGTTCACGTCCACGCTTCCTTCATGGTGTTTAACCTCTTCCTTTCACAAGGTATTCCCGATCCATCCCCATTTGCAGGCTTTAATAATATTGTAATATTTCTGCTAATCGGCTGTTGCTTTGAAATTTGCTATAGGTCTTTGTCGTAGACACCTATTCGTGAACAACTGCATTCTGTTATTTCTATGATTCGGTAGTTACAGTTTTTACAGGTTTTTTTTTAACGAGTCAGGATTGGTCAACCCAGCAAACTACCATCTCTATTTCCAACCGAACTCTGGACCGACTAAATTTAGCGGCGTTGTTGCTATAACATCATAAGTCGTAGTTATTCTTTTTAAAAAAAAAACACATCTGTTAGAGAAAAGCTTTTCAGGCTCTTGATCACAAAATAAAGTGTTCAATGTTTATACTTATGCAATCAATAAAATCAAGCTGTAAAACTAATTAATTAACTAAATTATCGAGGGCGTTCTATAAACCTAATGAAACAAAAAAGTAAGAAAATTTTTGGTTATAAGATTTAGTTAAAAGTAATATCATAATAATGTCTTGAATTGTACAAACAAGTAAAGATCTACTGGGAAAGGGTGAGAAATTGTGTGTGTGTGGGGGGGGGGGGGTCTTGAAGGTTGTCATAATAGACACATTCTGTTGTTGTTTTTTAGCTTTTAAATTTGTAGCACACTGTCTTAACTTAATAAAGGCAAATGCAAATTTCATAAACACACAAATATAAAACACATGAATGAATTGGATAATTTCACAGTTTATTGTATAAATATGTATACATTTAAAAAAACAGAATATTCTGTAAGTAAGGAAAGAAAATTTGTATAAAAATAGAAAAAAATGTTTTTAAGAAAACACGATGGCTTTGTAAGCATAAATTAAATTTTAAAGTTAATTTGACGGGTTTTGATTGGTCGAGAGCAGCACGTGACAGGATTATCCTGGCATCTGCTGATGATGACGAGGTCAGCTACGGAAGTTCGATGTCCCCTTGAAAACCGAGTTTATCCACATAAATGTCCCCAGGGAAACCTTGTGTCTCCACATAATTATCAACTGGAAATTTCGAACTTTACACACACATGTACTCTGGGAAACCTGTTATCTTCTAATAAATGTCCCCTGAAAAACCTTGTCTCCTAATAAATGTCCCCTGAAAAACCTTGTCTCCTAACTAATGTCCCCTGAAAAACGTTGTCTCCTAACAAATGTCCCCTAAAAAACCTTGTCTCCTAACAAATCTCCCCTGAAAAACCTTGTCTCCTAATAAATGTCCCCTGAAAAACCTTGTCTCCTAACAAATGTCCCCTGAAAAACCTTATCTCCTAATAAATGTCCCCTGAAAAACGTTGTCTCCTAACAAATGTCCCCTAGGAAAACTTGTGTCTCCTAACAAATGTCCCCTGAAAAACGTTGTCTCCTAACAAATGTCCCCTAGGAAAACTTGTGTCTCCTAACAAATGTCCCCTAGGAAAACTTGTGTCTCTTAACAAATGTCCCCTAGAAAACTTGTGTCTCCTAACAAATGTCCCCTAGGAAAACTTGTGTCTCCTAACAAATGTCCCCTAGAAAACTTGTGTCTCCTAACAAATGTCCCCTAGAAAACTTGTGTCTCCTAACAAATGTCCCCTAGAAAACTTGTGTCTCCTAACAAATGTCCCCTAGAAAACTTGTGTCTCCTAACAAATGTCCCCTAGAAAACGTGTGTCTCCTAACTAACGTCAAATGGGAAACGTTGTGTCTCCTAAAAAGTCCCATGGGAAAACGTGTGTCTCCTAAAAAATGTCCCCTCATAAAACCCTGTGTCTCCTAAGAAAGGTCCCCTAAAAAACTCCTTGTGTCTCCTAACTAATGTCCAACCAAGAACGTTGTGTCTACTAAGAAATGTCCCCTCATAAAACCTTATGTCTCCTAACAAATGTCCCATGGGAAAACGTGTGTCTCCTAACAAATGTCCCCTCATAAAACCCTGTGTCTCCTAAGAAAGGTCCCCTATAAAAGACTCCTTGTGTCTCCTAACTAATGTCCAATACGAAACGTTGCGACTCCTAAAAAATGTCCACTGTAAAAACTTGTGTCCCCTAACAAATGTCCGATGGGAAAACGTGTGATCCTAAAAAAGGTCCACTGTAAAAACGTGTGATCCTAAAAAAGGTCCACTGTAAAAACTTGTGTCCCCTAACAAATGTCCTATTGGAAAACGTGTGATCCTAAAAAAGGTCCACTGTAAAAACTTGTGTCCCCCAACAAATGTCCCATGGGAAACCTTGTGTCCCCTAACAAATGTCCCCTGGGAAACCTTGTGTCTCACAGCAAATGTTCCAGGGAGAAACATATTTCCACACAAAAGAAACGTCCCAGAATTTTTTTTTTGATCCACACAAACGGCCCCTAGGAAAACACAAATGTCCCCTAGGAAAACACAAATGTCCCCTAGGAAAACACAACTGTCCCCGAGGAAACATAAATGTCCCCACACAAAAGCAATAACAGCAGTGTTCTCTTGACACTGGTCCAAAGGCAGGTACGTACCTCCCGCAGGTATGTCACCTGACATGGACGTATCAAACACCCATTAGTATGTCACATGACTTGACTAAGACCCACATTAATGCCCACATAAAATGTACATCTACATTTGTGCCCAAGTAAACTGTATAATGCTAGTAACTTTGAAATGTGTACATTTCACCGGAAACTTTGACAGAAACACACAATCACTGGCTAGCTGTAGTCTGTCACAATGCAGAAGTTCAGCAGACGACCTATCTGCAGGCCTGCTGAGCAGGGGTAGGGACAGCCACTGGGGATACATGGTGCTCACTTTTGCTCTCTATCACCTCCCTGAGGGCAGAGTTGAGCTTACACTGGGTCAGAAGTCTGTCCCTTGATGTCCTATGGGGAATACAGGATACGTTTACAAAACATCACTTTCAAATAGGCCAACATCTGTATAATTGCTATCACTGTTTTCAAATAAATCTTCACGGTACCTTATAGATTTAAAAAAATCATTAAGTTCATCTATTCTGTACAATTTTACATAAAAGCTAAATATAATACCCGAAGTATGCTTAAACAAAATATGATAGAGTCAATCTAAAAATTGTATCAATTTACATTTACCATGCGCAATTTAGACTAACCTCACAGCAGAGCAAATTTCCTTAACTTCATTCTCAGAGAGCGCTCTGTTGAGGGCGATGTAACCCAACATACGATCTTTCTTCTCTAGAGTTTCGAACAATCCTGACACTGAAGAGAAAATGTTCATTATAAAACGTATCTTGGTATTTTTATTTTATTGACAGTTACAAGCTTTAAAAATAACTACCCAACTATTAGCTACATTCATCCGGTGAGCTTTGATTGTGTGTACGTAACAAACTTACGCTTCTCCTTGTATCTGTCCATCACCGCCCTCCATTTCGTTACTTTGAGTTGTCGTTCTTGTTTGGTCTTGACCCTTGCCTCTTTGAGCAGACGTTGGGCGCGTCTCAGTTTTTTCATGAACGGACCGGAAGTCGTTGTCCCACAAGTCCTGAAGTACCAAAAGTTTAGCAACATCAACATCTTGCTGTCTTTTAGACAGACGACATCAAACTGGTTGATTTAATGGGGCGATGTTCAAACAGAATATACACACGAACAGTAGCGTAGCGAGGGGGGGGGCGCGGGGGGGGGACATATGTCCCCGGGCGCCGACCTTAGGGGGCGCCAAAATGGGTTGGAAAAATAAATTGAAAGGTTGAGGGGGTGCAAATCGAAAGTTTGAGGGGGGGGGGGGTGCAATTGGAAATCTCGAGGGGGGGGGGTGCAAATCGAAAGTTTGAGGGGGGGGGGTGCAAATGGAAATCTCGAGGGGGGTGCAAATCGAAAAGTTTGTCCCCGGGCGCCGGGAAGGGTCGCTACGCCTCTGCACACGAACTCAACAGAGCTTCAAGCAAGTAACACAAGCAAATACTCAGATTTGACAAACTTACTTGACAATTTTACTCAGACTTGACTGACTTACTTGACAATTTTACTCAGACTTGACAAACTTACTTGACAATTTTACTCAGACTTGACTGACTTACTTGACAATTTTACTCAGACTTGACTGACTTACATGACAATTTTACAGACTTGACAAACTTACTTGACAATTTTACTCAGACTTGACAAACTTACTTGAAAATTTTACAGACTTGACAAACTTACTTGACAATTTTACTCAGACTTGACTGACTTACTTGACAATTTTACTCAGACTTGACTAACTTACTTGAAAATTTTACAGACTTGACAAACTTACTTGACAATTTTACAGACTTGACCAACTTACGTCACAATTTTACAGACTTGACAAACTTACTTGACAATTTTACAGACTTGACCAACTTACTTGACAATTTTACAGACTTGACAAACTTACTTGACAATTTTACAGACTTGCCAAACTTACTTGACAATTTTACACAGTCTTTGGTGGGTGTTGACCGAGACGTCTGCCAGTAGTGGACTGGACGTCATCGTGCCCACAGTGGCTACCCGTGTCTTCACCACATCGTCTGTCTGGGTCCCTGTATCGACATGAACCACCTTGTCACGTGATAGCGTGGACCTGTCGTTGACTGTCGCCTCTGGTTCTAAAGGCATTTCATACATCGTTTTAAAAGAATGTTATCAAAGCATGTCAAATAAATAAAGGATTACATTTTTAACCCCCCTCCCCACTTTTCCCCATCGTCAAATAATCAGACACTCGCCTCCCCCTCCCCTAAAATAACGCCACACATCAGATTACTACCACCTCAACAATTTTTATTCTTTTAGACTGCGATTTCTTTCTGCATTTTATACTGAGAGCGGTGAAATTAGAGCATATTGATACATTTGTAGCAGTTTGTGAAAACATTTCAAAACGCAAAATAAAGACTAAAATTCAGTTTTTAACATTATATTTTATAGTACAAAAATGTTTCGTCACACTATCTAGCCCCCCCCCCCCCCTCGTCATCACACATCGTCATGCGCGCACATGCCCCCCCCCCCCCCCCCCCCCAGGAGTGTCGCCTTATGTGTACGACCCTGTTGATGTATTTATTTATTTACCTGCACTTTCTTGAACAACTTCCTTAATTTTCAGATCAGTTTTGGATGTCTTCTGTATTGCAAGCGTGGTCCTAGGTAGATGTCCTGTGAAGTCTGTCTGTGTGTGTTGGCGTGTCTGTAAGTCTGTCTGTATGTTTTCTGTTAGGGGAACATCGTTCACAATGGTTCGCGTCTTCTCAGCCATACAGTTCCCTTGGTTCCTGGACTTGTCTTCACCGTGTTCCAGAACATTCTCTCGACGTGTTGCCTCTTCTGCAGTATTGTCTGGGCATCGGGGCGTCAGCTGTTTGTGTGACTCGGGGGCTGGGGTGACGGTGGTGGGGGATCTCGACCAGCTCAAGACCGGAAGTTTGAACACCACGTGAAGTATCGATACCATGATGAATACGGTAATCGCTAGCACCTGAAACCAAACCGTACAGTTAGAAATAAAATACCGAAATTATGCGAGAATAGGCCAGAAGACAATATCTCGGGGGAGGGGGGTGGGGGGATTGTGTGTGTATTGCTGCCTCTAAAATGTCAGTAGAGTCTGAATTTAACAAGATTTAACAAGATTAAAAAGATGGCATACACAAAAAGTTGGTGGGTATGTGGCTTGCTAACTGAATTTAACAACATTAAAAAGATGGTGTACAGAAAAAGTACTTTACCGATGGTATGAGCAGCTGGGTATATGGCGAGAAAGATTTGCTAACCGAATTAAACTAAATTAAAAAGATGGTTTACAGAAAAAGTACTTTACCGATGGTATGAGCAGCTGGGTATGTGGCGAGAAAAACTTGCTAACTGTGACAATGAGAGAGTACAGTCCTAATGGGTCATAAGATCCAACTCCGCTGCAAGAAAAATACACAAAGTAAACGTCGATCCATGGATGTTACCACTTTTTGCCAATTTTGTGCTACAACAAAGTCTTGTGACGATATAAGCTATCCGTATGTGTGACACAGTATTAGAGACCTTTATTCAAGCCTGAACAACAGGACTGAAATGTGCTACACAAATAAAGTTGTTTAGCCTAGCAGTTTAGTTTCAATCTGTGCTTTACGGACCGATGCGGTGACAGATCGACAGGGCGATAAAAAGTCGATGCACTCTACAAGTCAACAGATCTATTGGGGCGGTTTAACAAGTCAACAGATCTATTGGGGCGGTATAACAAGACCATAGAGGCAACTCTACATGACAGAGCCAGGGCTACGAGCCGAGCGCCTAGTCTAGGAGATGACTTAGTTAGACAAAACATTCACACATTCACGCTACGAGTGCCTAGTCTAGGAGATGACTTAGTTAGACAAAACATTCACACATTCACGCTACGAGTGCCTAGTCTAGGAGATGACTTAGTTAGACAAAACATTCACACATTCACGCTACGAGTGCCTAGTCTAGGAGATGACTTAGACAAAACATTCACACATTCACGCTACGAGTGCCTAGTTTAGGAGATGACTTAGACAAAACCTTCACATATCCAGGCTAGAGCAACGAGTTAGTACAATGAAAACACTTGTAGCAGCCCAGATATATCAGTGAAGAATACATGTGTGGGATTAACCCAACACTAAGTTTTGTATTCATGTGTGATGATGTGTGTGTGTGTGTGTGTTTACAATCAAAGACGTGCATTGATACACATGTTAACCTGCTTGCAATAATGCCTGCTTTGTTAACATTTGTAAACAGAGCTACCCTCTGTTGTAACGAAACAAAAAACAAACAAACAAAGCGTTTATTCAGTATTTATTAAAGGGGTAATTATATGACAGAGATTTAAATCTAGATCTACATAGAATCACATAGGACAAGACCCACTAACAAAACGGGCGTATGAGATGCGTTTCGTGTTACATGGAGCATAGGTTGAAACACCTTTAGACATTTCTTTTGACACTAACATGTACATATCCCCACTTACAGTATCCCCCGCCATCCCAATCCAGCATCCTATCCTTATCCATATACTTAACCCGAACTTATCTCTATCTCTTAATGGCGGGCGGGAGATGAGGGGGTTCAACCAATGAAAAACAAAGTGGTGCTTAAAGTCTACAATTTATCAGTTTAAGTAAGATAATTATCTCAGTAAATTCAATGTGTGTTACGAAAATAATCCAAGTTTCTCGCTTCTATATAGCCCTACATTTAATGCACTATAATTTAGGTTCACCAACGACTGCCGAAAACCCAGCTTAGTTTTAAAATGCAGCCGATAATCCAGTTGATTGAATCAACCTTAGGTAATAATCTCAAACACCCATTCATCACTTAACGTAGCCGACACGTGAGGCGAGTTAGATCCATATCGACCCAGAATTAAATACGTGAAGAGTGACGCACTGTACACAGTTTGAAATAGCTATTTCTAGTTCAACTGATTCAAGCTAGTCAGCACATTTGTTAATATTACGATATTCTAGCCCATAACGTTGTTAGCCAAGCGTAACCACAGCTTGTCATCTTTTTTTAATATCATAGTCAATGCGATTAGGTCAGAACTATGTTAGGGGTGTGTGGGGTTTGTATTATTAATATATAGACGCTACTAAATTGTATTGAGGTGTTTTAAATGCCGGTGATGGTGTTATCGGAATAGTTAAGGGTAGTGTCAAGGTTAGGATCAAGTCTAGGATTAATGTTAGAGTTAGTGCTATTGTTGGGATTATGGCACTATAGTTTATTAGTAGCACTTTGTACGTCCAGCCGACGGTTTTATAAGTATTGAAGGCCAGGACCATTTGTTATAGGCAAGAGTCGACATTAGGAACAAAATGTCGGTACGACATGCCTCTTACGTCTTCTTTAACTCATCGATCGTGGTGAATTAAAATGTGAAAAATCTGCGAGGTGTTTGTAAGACGACCCAGCGGATTATCCTGCTTAAATTCACACCTTTCGGTTGTCTTGTTGGACGAAAACTCAACTCAGCCCGCACCTATGTCATGTGACATCTAGCCTTTTTTGTTTTCTAACAAAGTCTCTAGCTATTTCATGGACACGCCTATGTGCCACAATACACATCTTGGGAACCACTGGTCTAGAGTTAATTATGGCAAACAGAAATACATCACGTGACCACGTCTGTGAGGGAACCAGAATATCCTCAGTCGTGAGGGTTGTGGGGGTTGTATCACAATACAATTTGGGAACCATTGGTGTTAACAATTCAAAAATGTTTAAGCTACGTCAGATCTCTAATGAGGGTGCCATAACACACAGGTTAAGAACTACTGGCCATCATAGCTGCTTTACGGGTCTACATCTGTAAGGTATTAGCAACATAGATTACTGAAATTTTTGACCGCTGGCAGAAAAAATATTTCAGCGATATTTACAGCTACGTCAGATCCACCCCAGTGAGGGCGCCATAACACACATGTTAGGAACTACTGGCCATCATAGCTACGTACCGGGCTCACATATATAGATCTAAACTACTTACAATGTAACCACTGGTCGAAATAATATTTTTTAGATTTTTGCAGCTACGTCACAAAGCCAATCTAGCGTGGGTACCACAACACACGTTGAGAACCACTGGTTTACAAGTTATTTCTATACCGGGTTTAGCATACTATGGACCTACCAGAACACCATCACCATTACGAGCAGGGTCCCTCTATACGGGTTTAGCATACTAAGGACCTACCAGAACACCATCACTAGCAGGGTCCCCCTATACCGGGTGTAGCATACTATGGACCTACCAGAAGACTATCACCATCAGGGTCCCTCTATACCGGGTTTAGCATACTATGGACCTACCAGAAGACCATCACCATCACCATCAGGGTCCCAGCGATGAGCACCAGCCCTAGCTTTACTTTCCACGGCCGCCATGATGTTTCCCCCCGCGTCTTGCTGTCCGTGAACCAAGCGAGGCGAGATGCCATGACATCCCCGACCCTGACGGCCTAATCCCGTGGGGCAGACGCCCAGATCGCATTGTTTTCATTTTCAGGTGCAGTCTTGGCCAATTTGTCCGGAAAATGAAACATCTTCGTTGTCATCTTTAATCTTTGAACCAATGACGTCACTGTGAATGGAGGATAGAAGGTAAGTGTGCGACGTGCAATCTGGCCACTTCCTGCGGGGTTTCCCGTTTATTTGTCTAATTGAATAATTTAAAACAATGGATGATGCTTTTAGCCGGACACTCGTATTACACGATTAACAGAAAAATATATTTTATTTTCATAAAATATTATATTTTTATACGATGCTCTGTGTGTATGTATACAAAGGTTCGTTATTTTCACACCGCACTGCGCACCATAGAAATAAATAATAACTTGTATTTAGGCATATATTGTTTTCAATATCAGCGAATTTTCAGATGCATGAATCAAACGTGAAAATCAAAAATATTTTATTAGTTTTTATAACAAAGTTGTTTTCTTAAAATATCCTGAAAACTGGCACACATACACATACACACATACCATTTTAGTTTAATGAAGCCGAAGGATTAGACCTATTGAAAACATCTAAATGGAATATAAACACACGAGTGCCGTAACATACGAGACATTTGAGATACGAGCCGTCGAGTGAGCGATTTTTTTGCTTTGATATACGAGACGTCGATCATCGTGTCTGAGAAAATCAGTGACCAAAAAAATCGTACAGCAAAATTTACGTTCGATTAAGTTCAGTGGATTTCCCATAAAGTTTAAGGATTAAGTTTAGAATTAAAGTTGTAACGAGTAAGTGAATGAAGTGAAACTGCTCCACCCCACACCTCCGCCCAGCGACTTCAGACCCTTCTCGGCGCCCGGGTAGAACTATCAATTTTGTGTCACCCCCTCCAATTTATATTATTAATCGAAAAGGTTGGTGGCGCTTTTTACCAGTCACTAGTATTTGCTTTGGTGCCTCACCTCAACTAGTACGGCCGTACCACCCGCCCTACTATAGGGCTGGTAAGTAGGTCAATAAACAGTTATATGGCTCATGCAAGTTTTATTGAGCAGTAGAACTTGTTGGTGACCTACTTACCAGCCCTATAGTTACGTTTCTTCCTCCGCCAGCATCTTCCGTAGGTTAAATCGGCTGATTTCCAAGAGTAAAATGTAACCTACTTCATAAATCAAGTGTATTTCTTTACGTTATCTTTTTTATGTTTGTATACAATATTTGTCATTTATAAATAGGCCTACATGTTGCTTTTTAATAAACAAAACACGCAACAAAAATAACTGGGTCTGCATTTTCAGGGTTAGAACGGATTAATTGCATTTCAATTTATTCCAATGGGGACAATCACCTCGAAATACTAGCAATTCGACGGTTGGGCATGGTTATAGAACGAAATAAATCCGTATCTCGAGGTACCACTGTATAAACTTTAAAAGAATAAACATATTTTATTTGATAGTGGTACACACATGTGTTTCTTTCAGACAATTTTCTACGGTATGAGTGGCACTTGAAACGTTCTTGGACTTAAATTTCCAAGGGTTTATTGGATAATGGTTAAAGTATAGGCAATCTTTACTATTATATTACATTTTCTTCTTCTGTTTCGTCCTGGTGGGGGGGGGGGGGGGGGGAGGGGAGGGAAGAGGTGCCTGAAAACTAATGATGTACCCAAATGTCACATAGGTAACATGGACAACTAAGTGAAATCTTCAGTCCATGCTATACTATAACTTTTATTTGAAACCGATTTTATAATTTTATAGGCGATTGTTTGTTTTTTCGTGCACTGGACTTAATTAATTTCAAATTGCATTATATGGGCTACAAACAATCGCATAAGAACCGACTATAAGGGTCACCCACCCATAAACGACGCAAAGCTTTTTAAAACGATTTTTACCCACCTCCGTTCTTCCCATCGTTATATATGATTATGGTTGCTAAATGCCATACCCCCTCCCACGACCAAAATGCCGCCATAACTCAACACCCCCAATTTTAAAAAAAAAAAAACAGCCATTAATAATTAATGGCTGTTTTTTTTAAAGTATTAACTGAGCTCGGTCAAAAATTAACATCCTGATATTTTTTAAAGTATAATTTACAAAAAAAAATTATAAACTCAAAATAACGTTTAAGTACGGTTTTTAGCATTACTTTTTAAAATGCAAATGTGTGTCGACACATTTTTTAGGCCTATAGCCTAACGGTAAAAACGTAAAATTAACTTCGTTAGGCCCATAGTTAAATTGTAGGCCTAACTCTTTGTTTCTTGGGATGTCCTCAGGTTGCATCACTCTGTAAATCATACATTTTGATCTGGCCACTTTCTGTTTGTAAGCCGGCTTACTTAACATCTGCGAGCGAAATATTTAATATTAGGTTCGGATAAATCTTTTTTTAGTATTTATTATTATTTATATTTAGATTTCGTCACCTTAGTTATTTTTCTTTATTATGCATGCATATTTTAATTAATCCAAAAAATTAAGTTAAGTTTGTATAATTTTATTTTGCCATATTGCGGCCTATAATTTATCAGGCTTAGACAAGCTGCTAGCTAGACTCAGTACATAGATCTATTATTTTATGCAATACCGCAGTAACAATTATAAAACACGTGGGTTGTAGGTCTAGATCTAACTTGTCTTACAAATACAAAATCAATGTTGTACCGGATAGGGTTCGTCTATAAACAATTCCATACGCCTTTTATATCATTCCTACCTACCGCCCCCACCCCTCCGCCCAAATGACGTCACACCTTAGCCTACTACTGGCCACTACTATTTTAATGGTCTACCTTCCAAATATGCCTAGAATAGCTACTAACCAAATATTTTAGGTTAGGGTCTATATTTATTTATTAGGATCGACCTATTATTATTAGGCATTCAAATTAGTTCAGTAGCCCAAGTTAACAAATCTATAGGCCTAGTCTATTATATTAGTAAAATAAAAAGTAAAGTGATTTGGCAATAACTACATAAGATTAGCCACTAAATAGTGAGAGGGGTAAGGCTGGATAAAGATGTATTGCAAAAGCAAAGATTATGTTATGGCATATGGCACAATGATTAAATTTATCTGTAAAATCTGTTAATGCTAATTGTTAAATAAGGTCTAATAATAATAAGTGTTGATATCTGCTCTGATAAGAAAAAATTAAGCCCCTTGTAAGTTGTAACTTGTAGACATTATATATATATATATATATATATATATATATATATATATATATATATATATATATATATATATATATATATATATATATATATATATATATATATATAGATATATAGATATATATAGATATAGATATATATACACATATATATACACACACACATATTTATATATACACACACATATATATATATACACATATATATATACACACACATATATACACACACATATATACACACACATATATACACACATATATACACATATGTAGGCCTATATATATGTAGGGCCTATATAAATATGATATGTATATGGGAGTGCTTATATCTGCCAATAATAGAGGAAATACACAACATGCTCAGATCCTCTCACACCCTGTTACAAATGCTTTGATTAATAGGCATACATATTTTTTAAATTTTTGGGTTGTGCTTTTTTCGGCGACAATAGAGGAATTACACAACTTTCTTAGATCCCCTGACATCTGATTAAAGTTTAAAGATCTCCGACAGGATGTGAAAGGATATAAGCACTTGCGTACTTCTTTTGCAGTATGACAAGGAAACCAAAAACTATATATATATATATATATATATATATATATATATATAAATAGCATCATGATCTTTTTAAAATTATAATTTTGTAAATGTATTAGGTCATTTTATTTTTAGAATCATCCAAAATGTGTGGGATTTGGGCTGTGTTTGGTTCTGATGAAAATGTGTCTGTGCAGTGCAATGCTGTACACAAGATTGTCCACAGGGGACCTGACGCGTTTAGGATTGAAAATATCAACCATCTTCAGGTAAAGAGAAGAGCCTTTGATGGGACATTTGAAATCATTTTATATTATTGTAAAATGTGTTTTCAGTCCTAAAAGGTTTACAAAACTATGAAACAGAATTTGTTAATATCTTTTGCAGAACTGCTGTTTAGGGTTTCATCGTTTATCTATTGTTGACGACATCAGGGGGATGCAACCCATGCGTCTGTACACTCATCCTTACATCTGGTTAATTTACAACGGAGAAATTTACAATCATAACTCGGTGAGAAGCTGACACTGTTCAATGTTCTGATTATAAATAAAAAAGAAAAGATTAGTTTGGTCCTGATTCTGGAAGTATCTTTTTAAAACCTAAAACATTTATTGAAAATCACATTAACTTTGTAAAATTAAACATGAATGATATATTAAAAAGAAAGTCATCTTTAAAAAAGTGATGTTAAAAAACGTGATGTTTGAATTTTAAAAAAACCTTGATGTTTGAAAAACATAAAAGTACTTGATGTTTGAAAAATGGTTAAATATAATTTTATCATTTTTCTATTCAGCTGAGAAAGGAATTTGAACTTAAAGGCAGTACAGAAGTAGATGGTGAACCCATAATCCATTTGTACGAGAAGTTTGGACCTGAAGAGATGGCCAAGCATCTTGATGGGGTATTTGCGTTCTGTATATTGGACACCGCCAATAGGAAAGTAATTCTCGGAAGAGACACGTATGGTGTACGACCTTTGTTTAGGTTCCAGACTGAGCAAGGGTTTTTGGCTGTTTGTTCGGAAGCTAAAGGCAAGTTTTAATGTTTGTTGTAAAAATATTATTTGCTAAACTTATTTGTAGTTCATCTTGCTACAGTTTTGAGCAGCCATAGTTCTGTCTAAATTTTAGTCTGATCTGTTAAAAGTCTTACAGACTTGTGTACAAAATATTTTAAAAAACAGATAAGCTTCCCTAAACTTATAAAATAAAATAATACAATCTTTCTGTTTTATACATAAATTTTGAAAATATCAGATTGATATATATATTGATATAATAGATACTGTAATTGTTTTTGTTGGTTAGTCTAGTAAATTCAAGCCTATGTTGCTTTAGATAATAAATCTGTCAGTTGCATGTTTTTATATGTTAATTTTAAAAACATGGAAAAATTACATAATCTTTTGCAAAAAAAAAAACTCTTATTATAAAATGCAAATTGAAATATTATAGGTGATGCGCAAGTTGTAACTATTGATGTAATAATTTGCTGAAGTAAGATATTTCAGCTTTTTTTCTGCTTGGTGTATTTCATCCTACCTGGTAAAAATACCACTAGTAAATATTCAGGTCGTTGACCTCATTTAACGTCTAACTGCCTAGGGCTCATTTATTTTATTTCTTTACTAAAATTACCTGTAGGCTTTTTTATCTGTAAAATTCAAATGGATATTAACTGTTACTGTAAGGCTGTTAACTTCCATATTAAACATCCAAAGTATTTTATATTTACTAGTAGTTCAAAGTTTGATAAGCCCTAAAGCTATCAACAATTAGCTCTTCTGCTTACATTTGTAAGCATTGTAAAAATGATTAAATTAAACATGAAACGGAAATGTGGAGATGTTTTTTTGTTCTACAAGATCACAAAAATAAATTAAGAAGTATGTGCTATCTTAAAGCTTTCCAGGTTGATAATTTTTATTTTACTTGAGCTTGCATAAACAAAAATAAGGGAAAACATAATGTTTGAACTTTAACTTCTTGTATTATTAGTAACTACAAAAGTTATTTATGTTGAGTGTGGAATGAATATTGCATTAACAAAAGAAAATCTCCAGATCTTTAGGCTGTCCCAACAGCCTTTCTGATCAAATATTCTGCAGTGCTGTTTGGATAATCTCACAGCCTCTGATAAAATCTTTTCCATATCTGTTTGGGTTATCCCACAGCCTCTCTGATCAAATATTCTCCAGCTTTGGATTATCTCACAGCCTCTCTGATCCACTCTTCTCCAGGTCTGTTTGGGTTATCCCACAGCCTCTCTGATCAAATATTCTCCAGCTTTGGATTATCTCACAGCCTCTCTGATCAAATCTTCTCCAGGTCTGTTTGGGTTATCTCACAGCCTCTCTGATCAAATCTTCTCCAGGTCTGTTTGGGTTATCTCACAGCCTCTCTAATCAAATATTCTCCAGCTTTGGATTATCTCACAGCCTCTCTGATCCACTCTTCTCCAGGTCTGTTTGGGTTATCTCACAGCCTCTCTGATCAAATCTTCACCAGGTCTGTTTGGGTTATCTCACAGCCTCTCTGATCAAATCTTTTCCAGGTCTGTTTGGGTTATCTCACAGCCTCTCTGATCCACTCTTCTCCAGGTCTGTTTGGGTTATCTCACAGCCTCTCCGATGATGAAGTTCACATTGAACCCTTCCCACCTGGCCACATCGAGGTGTACAACCTGGATAAAGATGGCCGAGCATTTCTAGACAAGAGGGTACAATTTCACGAGCCTTGCCAGCAACCACTACATAAAAAAAACTCTGATCTACCAAAATGTAAGTGCTGATATCATATCCCAAACCTACTTTTATTTAACTAGCATCTAATAAAATGAGTCATCTAAAAGTTTTTAATATTACTAAGGTTTGTTAATTGTCTTCGATTCACATTTCACAACACCATGAACCACAACCCAAATAACCCCACACTACCCCGCTATACACCCCTCCATGAACCACTTACACCACTCTCCCCTCCCCCATCCCAGCTCTGCAGCCAACATGACACCCCACAAAATATACCACAAATTACAACCAATGTTCTACTACCCCACATTATCTGACCCCACTAACCCTACGATTCAGACCTAGTCACTGGTCTCACAACATTAATACTACTCCCTATCATTTCATTGCTTATCAGATATCTGAACGTTATTTAGTTTATTAACTTATAATTTTTTCCCAGCGAAAGAGATTGAAATAATTCAATCAACAATTAGACAGTTATTTGAGAGTGCTGTAGAGAAACGTCTTATGTCGGAGAGGAGAATCGGCTGTCTTTTATCTGGTGAGCTTTTTACTTTTATAAACTTTTTTATCAGTTCTTCACATGACTCTAATCCTAACCTACCATGTATCCTATCATGTATATTAACCTACCATGTATCCTATCATGTATACTAACCTACCATGTATCCTATCATGTATACTAACCTACCATGTATCCTATCATGTATACTAACCTACCATGTATAGAGTCCTTGCAAACACGTGACCTAAATCACGTGATACCTACGCCCGCCGCCACAGTGGTGTACATCAGACGTAAACACAATCAGCTGTTCACCAGCGCTGGACGTGTTCACCAGCGCTGGACGTGTTCACCGTATGTAAAGAATCGCGCCCGCGGAAAAGGAAAAATATGTTAAAAAACTTGAACTCTTAGGAATTGAAGATCCTTATACAGCTGAGTTATTGACAGTTTCGTGGATAATATAAATATGTGGCCGAAATTTCTAAATAAAAATACTGTTAGTAATACCGTTTGCGTTTAGAGTTTAAGTAGACGAAGCTGATCAAATGCAGTAATATATTATATGTTATCTACTGTAGCAAACGTGAGACCACTTAACTCCTACAAAACCCACACTACAACGGCTAATATAATCCATGGGTAATAACCAATCTGGGTAGCATGTTCTACAATTTAAGACCCTTATAATCCAGCAGGGAAGTAATCAGACACATTAATACTGACGTTCAACCCTCATGATGGCTGCCCCCACCTGTATCTAGCCCACAATAAAACCTAAGAGGAGTCTGCCCTGCCCTCCCCTGAAAATGTCTCACCTCCATGATACCCAGCCCCACAGAGATAGTATTTCTTATATAATTTTGACCCTCAGGGCCCAGCAGGGAGAACAAAGGGGAAAGTCCCACTGCTCTCCCCTCAACACTTCTCACCTCTGTGTCATGTTATGTCATTTATAGCACTCAGGGGAAAGCATTAAGAATCTTAACTCTGGACAGCTACACACTAGTATACTAGCTACACACTAGGTGCCTACTGTAAACTACTAGACTGTAGGCCCTATGTAGACCTGCAATTGTATCAATTGTAGACTGGGTCCATTGTTATTATTCTAAACCATCTCACTTATGTTTCTAGCTTGATTTGTTTCTTTTATAAACAGTGGATTTTAAAAAAAAATTAGCCTAATCATTAACCAAATAATAGTAGGCCTAATGTGGTTATTTGTTGTTGGCTGGTATGATCTAGATTGTACTACTAGGCTACAAAAACTTAGTAGACCAATTACCAGATATGAATTTGAATTTAATTAAACTCAGTCCAGTATCAGATACATATTGCTGTAAAAAGACAACAAAGTAGGTAGGCCTTAGTAATTTATTAAAGCCTTCTACTACAATAATATGAACTACATGCTTGTATAGGCCTAAAGTTTTTACAATTTTATTTAAGTAGCAGATTCTAGATCTAAGTCTAGTCATACAATCCATTTCAATTTCAGAAAATTTTGTTTGCTAAAAAAATGATTAGATAATAGAGCGAGATTTTAGATCTTAGAGACAATTAAATGCTTTATTAGGCCTATTATGACTACTTTTGATTTATTATGGGTGTATTTTGAATCGAATGTAGATCTAAAGTAATTAAATTTAAGTAAAGAAGTAGATTCTAGATTCTATGTCTACCCAGTGGAGCCAGGTATTAGGCCTACTATTAGATCTTATTATTCTTATTATTACTTTTGACTTTGTCTTTTACTATTAGTATTTGTGAAGGTCGAGCATATTTGTTTTATTAATAGTTATCTTTTATAATTAAAATGAAGTTTATTATTTTACTGTCCTTACCTGAAACAAAGTATCGAGAACTGCATTTGATCAGATTCGGCTACTTTAACTCTAAACGCAAACAGTATTACTAACAGTATTTTTATTTAGAAATTTTGTCCACATATTTATTTATACGAAACTGTCAATAACAGTATAAGGATCTTCAATTCCTAAGAGTTCAAGTTTTTTAACGTATTTTTCCTTTTCCGCGGGCGCGATTCTTTACATACAGTGAACACGTCCAGCGCTGGTGAACACGTCCAGCGCTGGCGAACAGCTGATTGTGTTTACGTCTGGTGTACACCACTGTGGCGGCGGGCGTAGGTATCACGAACGGACGTGACGTCATATGAAAGGACTCTATACTAACCTACCATGTATCCTATCATGTATACTGACCTACCATGTATCCTATCATGTATACTAACCTACCATGTATACTAACCTACCATGTATCCTATCATGTACACTAACCTACCATGTATACTATCATGTATACTAACCTAACATTTATCCTAACCTAACATGTTTCCTATCATGTATACTAACCTACCATGTATCCTATCATGTATACTAACCTACCATGTATACTAACCTACCATGTATCCTATCATGTACACTAACCTACCATGTATCCTATCATGTATACTAACCTACCATGTATACTATCATGTATACTAACCTAACATTTATCCTAACCTAACATGTATCCTATCATGTATACTAACCTAACATGTATCCTAACCTCACCAATTGTTAACCACAGGTGGTTTAGACTCAAGTCTAGTTGCGGCTCTCCTGGTGAAACTGGTAAAGAAAAAGAATGTCCCATACCCTATCCAGACATTTGCTATAGGCATGGAAGGTAGCCCAGATCTCTTGGCTGCACAGAAGGTGAGTTGTCTTGCCTTAAGTGTCATCCATAAATGTCCCAATGAGGTCATGCCAGAGGCGTAGCGACCCTTCCTGGCGCCCGGGGACGAACTTTTGATTTGCACCCCCCCTTTGAACTTTTCATTTGCACCACCCCCTCTCAAACTTTCTTTTTGTTTCTCCAACCCATTTTGGCCCCCCCCCCCCTAAGGTCAGCTCACGGTGTCCCCCCCCCCCCTCGCTACGCCACTGGGTCATGCTTTTTAAAACAATTTTAAAACAGCCATCTTGTATTTAAAATATTGACCGAGTTAGTACAACATTAAGCATATTGATGCAATGCTTATTACAGTTTATAAAGAGAATGTCTTTTACAATGATGAATATAAGCTAAAATTATTTTCTAACATTAATTTTAAAAATGCAAAAGTGTGTTGTCACACTTTCTTAACCCATCCCCCACTCCCCCATACCACACATTTTCACTAAAGTCTGTATTCCCCCCCCCCCCCCCCTTCAACCTAGACATGCAATGTCATATATGGACAACTCCTTACACAACCCAGTACTTTTTACAGCAGGTATCTTTATCAGTGAGGATAATTAGGTCCATCATGAGCTCTTCAATTAAAGTATTTATTCTAAAAACCAATTCAATTAATAAATTTTGTTAGAAAATTGAAAAAATGTAATAAGCTGCTATTTAGTTGTTTTATTTTCTACTTTTCAGTACTTCATAGTTAGTGAATTCAACACTACCCTCCCTTCCAAATCCCTTCCAATTCCCCCCCCCCCCCCCCCCCCCCCAATAAAAGCAGCCATCTGTGACAACAGTTTACGAATGATAATGAAAAGATCATGCAGAACTTCTTACCTCTCCTTAGTTTCAAATCATTAAAAGCTAAATTATCTTCCCCTAAAAGCCGCTACTTATTCGACCCCGCTCTAGGATTGTAAACATTCGGGGTTAAAACTTAGCTCACAGAATAGTGGAGGTGGGGGTGGTAGCTATATGCCTAGAGAGCGAGGGAGTAACAGCGCGTGTGTTAACGTGTGTTCTCACATGGCCCCCATGAAGAGAATTATATATATATAGATAAGAAATTACAGAAAAATAATCTTTATAATTGATTTTCCCCACAGATGTGTAATTTTTTTCCCAGTGTTAAGCTACTCATTATTTTCATTATTTAAAACAAATTTTCTTTCTTCATGAAATGAATTATTACTTAAAATAAATATTAGTATGTACAACATTCAATTTACAATTGCTTTTTATTAATAATTTGTGGGTTTTAAATAAAAAGGTAAAAAATACGAGCCATTTTGCAGTGTAGGTATTGAAAAAAAATTATTTCATGTAGAAGTGGAAAATAATTCTTGTCTAGAGAACCTTAGACTTTATGCAGTAAATTGCTTATAATTTTCAACTATTTTGTCAAGGGACATAACTCTATCAGAAATATTTGGTACATTTTAAAATTATTCTAGCTCTCTCTCTTTTCGGTTTCATCTGTTGATCCCTTTGGGGATGTTACTTTACATACAGTTGTCCCAACATTTCTTACCACCAACACAATCTATTTACCAATCAGCATTTTTTGTCACCCCTTGGGAGTAATACTACAATTCGTTTTTTTTTTCTTCTGGGAATTCAGATGTTTTCTAATTCCCATTTATTTTACATTTAGATTTGTCCAGTCTCAAGTCATCTTACCAAACTTTGTTTTCTGTTTTAAAATTCTTCTTTTCTTGAATGTTTATAAAAAGCTTTTTGTTATAAATGTTACTAGTCTCACCATGACCAAATTCATCCTTTAAGTAAGACTAACTTAATTACACCTTTAAATGAAGGTCAACCTAAATTAAATAAACTTGAATTCATTTAACAAAGTTTTAACATTTTAGAATTCTAGCATTTATATGTTTTCTTTTATTGTTTTATGTTTTACAAAATTATAAAAAAAGGACCATATTATTAATGTAGCCAACAGCCAACATATAACTGATAAAGTTAGATCAATGCCCAATAATTTAAAATATGTGTATGTCAGTACATTAGAGAAGTTGTTTTAAACAGGTGGCTAAGTTTTTGGGCACTGAGCACCACGAGGTACTGATGACACCTGAGGAGGGGCTAGAAGCTATAGACAAGGTGATTTATCACCTGGAGAGTTATGACATCACAACAGTGAGGGCTTCTGTAGGTGAGTTGTGTTAAGTTTACTAGTCATTAATTCTCAGGAGGGGAGAGGTGGTAGACATGGTTTGAAGAGACATCTGCAAGAAAAACTGCTAGATCTTCCAGGTTTAGAATAGCTAGGCTTGGGTTCCCTAGTTTTGTATGTATCCTTGTATGTTTTGTATTGTGACATGTCTGTCTATAATAAAAATACACTCCTTATTAAAGCTGTATCACCAACAGTTTCTGTGTAGTAAAAAAAATTAATGCATCATCCTGTTCAGCTTCAATTATTTAAAAAAAAGTTTTATGTGAAAGGGAAAGAAGGAGCTGAACATAATTTTAATTACATTTTAAAATGTACAAGACATAAGGCTTCAAAGATTCCACCTGAATAAACCAGTCTCTCTCTCTTTTGTTGAAATCTGTTAATGCTGAAATAAATCTTACCATTCAAGATTTAGTGTGCTCTTTTAAAATGATTGTAATCAAACACCATAGTGTGTGTAGTTAAAACATGCTCTATTAACTATATTGATGTAATAAACACACATTGTGACCGTATGTAGAGGGTGGTTAATGTTCGAGGCAGGGGCTAAAGTCTAGTCCTGAGCCAGATGTGGCAATGTTTACTTCTGCTTTCTTCTGTTTCATCTCTTGCCTCATACTAGTGTTTCAATAAGATCAGTTATAACAAGTCATTTGGAATACTTTTTTTAGTATGTACAACTGTGACTGGTTGTATTATGTTCTGATTCACCTCTGTAATGTACCCACTGGCTATTTGGTCTGTGTTCTGATTCACCTCTGTAATGTGCTCACTGGCTATTAGTCTGTGTTCTGATTCACCTCTGTAATGTACCCACTGGCTATTAGTCTGGTCTGTGTTCTGATTCACCTCTGTAATGTGCTCACTGGCTATTAGTCTGTGTTCTGATTCACCTCTGTAATGTGCCCACTGACTATTTGGTCTGTGTTCTGATTCACCACTGTAATGTGCCCACTGGCTATTAGTCTGGTTTGTGTTCTTATTCACCTCTGTAATAATGTCTTTAATGTAACCCTTTTAAAGTTGAAGACATTGATTTTTTTTCTGATTGAAAGAGAAATAAAAAATCAAAATTCTCTTTTGATCATCAACTATACCATGCTATGCAACTATAATACATCTTACACTGTAATGATTACACTCACAATGTATTGATGAAAACTATATTTAAAATTCTGTGGGTGTTTGTTTTTCAGAATTCACTGGCCTTTAATTATCTTTTACCTAAATGGATGTTAACACTATTTTAAAAATGTTAAATTTTTTTGAGGATTATAATGTTTTTAACTTGTTCAGAAATATAATATTTGTGTTTAAAGTTTCTTAGAAATAATTTAGATTTAGAAATCACTTAGGTCTCGTATGATTCAGACAACTCAGTATTCTCTGCTTGTCTCTCTTCCCCACTGTCCATAGACCCTCACATCTTTGTAATGGAGAGATGTGTGAGAAACTCTATGAGAGAAAATTCTGGGACCTCAAAGACACAAATTAAAGCCAGACCCTCCAGCCATTCTTGTAATCACCAGTATAACTATCATTATTTCTTCTGTAATTCACAGTCACCCTCATTATAGCCTTTGAACTCTGGCAATGAAAGATTGCTTCTGTATATAGTGTAATTACTACCTCATCACAGACAAGGCAGTTTCATCAGCTCTCTGGTGGAGTAGGCAGAGCTTTGGGCTAATTAAAAGGTGGAGCCTGGAGCTGTTGATGAGACATGGTTCTTGTGGGCTGGTTGCTCTAATTTCATGGGGGGGAGGGGGGGGGAATGGGGTGAACAACGTTTGTACTTCTGTACCATCTCACCTGTACAACTGGATGGGTGATTGTACCATCTCACCTGTACAACTGGATGGGTGATTGTACCATCTCACCTGTACAACTGGATGGGTGATTGTACCATCTCACCTGTACAACTGGATGGGTGATTGTACCATCTCACCTGTACAACTGGATGGGTGATTGTACCATCTCACCTGTACAACTGGATGGGTGATTGTACCATCCCATATGTACAACTGGATGGGTGATTGTACCATCTCACCTGTACAACTGGATGGGTGATTGTACCATCTCACCTGTACAACTGGATGGGTGATTGTACCATCCCATATGTACAACTGGATGGGTGATTGTACCATCTCACCTGTACAACTGGATGGGTGATTGTACCATCTCACCTGTACAACTGGATGGGTGATTGTACCATCCCATATGTACAACTGGATGGGTGATTGTACCATCTCACCTGTACAACTGGATGGGTGATTGTACCATCTCACCTGTACAACTGGATGGGTGATTGTACCATCTCATCTGTAGACTGGATGGGTGATTTTACCACCTCACCTGTACAACTGGATGGGTGATTGTACCATCTCACCTGTACAACAGGATGGGTGATTGTACCATCTCATCTGTACAATTGGATGGGTGATTGTACCATCTCACCTGTACAACTGGATGATTGTACCATCTCACCTGTTCAACAGGATGGGTGATTGTACCATCTCATCTGTACAATTGGATGGGTGATTGTACCATCTCACCTGTACAACTGGATGATTGTACCATCTCACCTGTACAACTGGATGGGTGATTGTACCATCCCATATGTACAACTGGATGGGTGATTGTACCATCTCACCTGTACAACTGGATGGGTGATTGTACCATCTCACCTGTACAACTGGATGGGTGATTGTACCATCCCATATGTACAACTGGATGGGTGATTGTACCATCTCACCTGTACAACTGGATGGGTGATTGTACCATCTCACCTGTACAACTGGATGGGTGATTGTACCATCTCATCTGTAGACTGGATGGGTGATTTTACCACCTCACCTGTACAACTGGATGGGTGATTGTACCATCTCACCTGTACAACAGGATGGGTGATTGTACCATCTCATCTGTACAATTGGATGGGTGATTGTACCATCTCACCTGTACAACTGGATGATTGTACCATCTCACCTGTTCAACTGGATGGGTGATTGTACCATCTCACTCATACAACTGGATGGGTGATTGTACCATCTCACCTGTACAATTGGATGGGTGATTGTACCATCTCACCTGTTCAACTGGATGGGTGATTGTACCATCTCACTCATACAACTGGATGATAGTACCATCTCACTTGTACAACTGGATGGGTGATTGTACCATCTCACCTGTACAATTGGATGGGTGATTGTACCATCTCACCTGTACAACTGGATGGGTGATTGTACCATCTCACCTGTACAACTGGATGGGTGATTGTACCATCTCACCTGTACATCTGGATGGGTGATTGTACCATCTCACCTGTACAATTGGATGGGTGATTGTACCATCTCACCTGTACAACAGGATGGGTGATTGTACCATCTCACCTGTACAACAGGATGGGTGATTGTACCATCTCACCTGTACAACTGGATGGGTGATTGTACCATCTCACTCATACAACTGGATGATAGTACCATCTCATCTGTACAATTGGATGGGTGATTGTACCATCTCACCTGTACAACTGGATGGGTGATTGTACCATCTCACCTGTACAACTGGATGGGTGATTGTACCATCTCACCTGTAGAACTGGATGGGTGATTGTACCATCTCACTTGTACAACTGGATGGGTGATTGTACCATCTGCATGTAGATACACATTTATTTTAAACACATTTAATGTGTTCATTTAGTTATTTTTCACACTAAAATTATCATTAGTATAGCACTAGAAATAGTCTACCTCTATCTAGCCTTGACACCCAACCAATGCTTACCCGTGTTCTGGACACCCCCGGCCAAGACTAGCGTTAAAATCCTGATGTTTTATATTTCACTTGGACACCCTATCCACTACTAACTTTAAAAATTTGATGTTCTTTTTCTGACATCGACACCCCAGCCAAGACTAGCTTTAAAAACTTGATTTTCTATTTCTGACATCGACACCCCCAGCCAAGACTAGCTTTAAAAACTTGATGTTCTATATCTTGCTTGGACATCCAGCTTAAAAAAAGTTTAAAGTGTCATTATAACCGTTCAGCTTCTTCATTTATCTTTCTCACTGTCATCGCGGGGAATTAATAGGGTAGTTAATGGTCAGCCAGCCCACCCCTGCTTCACAGCGAGTATAGGAAATGTGCTCTGAGAGTCCCTTTAATAACTCCCTAGTGGCCATGCCCATCGTGATCAAGTGGGGGGTGGCAGCATGCCCACACAAAAGAGTGTGGGGGGTGGCAGCATGCCCACACAAAAGAGTGTTGATGACATGATTAACCCTGGTGACAAGAAAAAAAAAACTCGGGACAAAACGTAAAAAATGTCGGCATTGCTGCAGTTTCTAATTATTTCCTGTCCTCTGCTACAAGATATGTCTGGTACGACACGTGACGATTGTTAACAAGCTCTGATTGGCGGAGACATCTACCGGCGATAATTTGACCCATTCATGCTCCTTTTCTTATAAAGTTGCGTACTCTTAGATGTCTTTGATAACAATTTTCTTATAATTATTTAGCACCTAACACTTGTGTAAACAATCCATTATTTACAAGAAAATCATGTATACGTGTATACTCTTATATGAATGTGTGTTTGGAATTTTAGTGTAGGAAATCTCAAGATAAGAATTCCTTGTGATCGCGTATTGAGTTTAACTTTTATAAGAAACTTCTATTTTTTTTCTTCCAAATTTGCGGCTACTTCTTTTCTCATTTCAAAATTATTTTTCAACCCATAAATTGAGATAAATATCCACAAAGTATTAATTTCCCTGACTATATTAACTATTGCGAGCTTCACTTAGTTGAAGTAACTGAATGCCAAAACGCATACAGCGATACCCAACAACACAGTAACAGTGCTCGATATAGATCTTACTTTCCCAACCAATTTTTGTGCGAAATGTTTGTTGCACTCCAGCCTTGTAAATGTTCCTATTAAGTTATTTTAAACTTTAATCTGCGAGTTTCTGACCCACCATTCCGTTGAACTTCAAACACGATGTAGAGGGAAAAAAAGGCAATACCTAGAGGAGAGTTTGAATGAGCTGATGGTTCCAATGTTTGAAAGCGATTCATCTTCAGGCCGTTAATACTTTGTTGGTAAGCTCGGGGCCTTATGGGTTTTAAACCAGTTTTCACGGCGATCGATGTAAACTGTGATCAGCAAGATCGAAGAGATTACCGACTGATCTAAGGGGGCTGTTTGGTCGGGTCACGTGATGGGGCACTTGTACCAAGTGGGGTCTTACGGTAGTTGCATTCACCGGGAATTTTTCAACGTTTGAGATTAGCCTGTGACGCTATTGGTTAGATGGGACACCAAATGAAGTCTTACTGTAGCGGAATTGACCTGGAATTTCCAATATTTGAGATTAGCCTGTATGTCCATTTGATGGGACACCAAATGTTGTCTTACGGTACTGGTAGTGGAATTGACCCGGAATTTCCATTTGAGGTCAACCCATCTGTTTATTTGATGGTACATCGAGTGGAGTCTTTCGGTACTGGAATTGACTGGGAATTTCCGTTTGAGGTTAGTCCATCTGTCCATTTGATGGTACATCGAGTGGGCTATTAAGGTACTGGAAGTGGAGTTGACCTGGAATTCCCGTTTGAGGTTAGTCCATTTGATGAGACACCAAGCGGGCTATTAAGGTACTGGAAGTGGAGTTGACCTGGAATTTCCAACATTTGAGGCCTGGAGTGACAGCATGAGACATATATAAAAACATTTTCTAAATGTTGTTTGATTAAAAAAAAATCAGTTTCCTTTATAAAATATGGCGATACAAAATCTCTACATTCAGTATATTTGCTATACGCAACATTCAATTCAGTAAATTTACTATACGCGATCCATGAATGCTATTTTGGTAACCTTTATCTCAACTGTTGAGTCTGACATGCTGCTGGTCAGTGTACGTTGGTAGGCTTTATAGTGTAGAGAAGGTTTGGTCTGCTGTGTACATAGTCCACTGGCTTTATAACGACTTTTGTAGCAGTGTGTGGGGGCGGGCAGGATATGGCGATACAGAGTGAGGCAAAAATACAGGGCTAGGACATACAATGTTATATATAGATTGATCTGCTGTATAAAGGAGTGGGAGGGTATAGCCATAACACGAGGGTTTGTGTGGTATAATAGCAGTAGGCCCTGGCAGAGTTTTTTTCATACATCCCCGGGATGAAATAGAAAAGTAATTTATGAGCTACCCGCCGCGTAGCATACGTCGCTATTTAGTTGTTTTATTTTCTATTTTTCAGTAATTCATAATTTGTGAATTTGACACCACCAATTCTGCGACTGAAAATATTTTGCTTTAAAACATTATCAGTAGCTTTTTAAGGACGATTACCCCCACCCTCCCTTCTCTTTCTTCTCCTCCCCCCCCCCCCCCCCCCCGTCCACGGAAAGGCAGTTTACAGGTGGCAATGACAAGATCAAGGCAGAACGTGTTACCTCCGCTTAGTTTCAAATAGTTCAAAACAAAATTATCTGCCCTTAAAAGCCGTCACTAATACGACCCGGCTCTAAGATTGTAAACATTCGGCGTAAACCACAGCTCACCTGACTGGTTGTGTTGGGGGGTGATAGCGATATGGTCTGTTGCGCATGCCTGGAGAGCGAGGGAGGGGACTGAAGGAGGGTTAGAGAATCGGCTTGCGTGCGTGGTGGTGTCCACGTAGAGAATTATATATAGATAGATAAAGAAAATTATACTTAAACTTCCGTCCCCCGGAAAGTTTTACGTGTGCCAGTTTGAAGTGAGGAAAAATGTCTGAAAGAAACCCTGACCAGGGGTGGCAGGTATTACAGCAGGGGGTGTCAGGGTTTTAAAGGTTGCGACATGCCCCATCGTGTTAAAGACCAGAGCGTGGGAGGAGAATAAAAGAGTGTCAACATTAGCAATCGTTAGACGGTGCCCATAAACTTGTACACGCCGGAAGTGAAAGACGCGGGCGTTTCGTCACGAGTCTATTTATAGAAATATTGCCGCCCTCCCCTCGTGTTGGAGCAGTTTCTATCCCACTTTTGTAGGTAGCTTTTGTTTGCTTGTCGCAGTTTCTATCCCACTTTTGTAGGTAGCTTTTGTTTGCTTGTCACGTGAAAATATTTCATCATCTTGGCATTTTAATGAGACTCATGTAAAATTACATGATAAAAAGTAATTTTTACCCTGTGAAAGGACTAGACTTTTTAAAACGGATTTATAAAAACAAAAAAAAGGCTTCACGAACTTATAAATCGTGGTTTTAATTACTTCCGGGTTTTAATGATAACTTTGTTGTGAGCCTGGTGATAGAGATTGGTAAGGTAGGGTGTGGGGGAGGGGGGGGATTATCCCAGTCTATATTTTCCCGTGGCCTGGCTAGTTTGAGATTGGTAAGGTAGGGTGTGTGTGGGGGGGGGGGGGAATTATCACAGTCTATATTTTCCCGTGGCCTGGCTAGTTTTGACGTGGCCGGCCAGAGCTGAACATGCTCAGAAATCTGGAAATTGTCGAGGGTGGGCAACATCCGCTAATCTCGCTTGATTACCCCGGCTTTCCGCACTCTTCATCTGCCAACAAAGGCCGGCCGGAAGTAAAAAGCTCTCGATAAGCTCGTCTTAGTTGGGCTAGGACATCCGGCAGGTTGTTGATGACGCGAGAAAAAAATGTACAATTGTTACAAATCCCTGTTCTGTCATTAGCTGTATACAACGGGACGCGGTGATCACGTGGTACAACATACATCACGTGGTATAACATACATCACGCTTGTCAGCCGGCCCATAGACATTGATTGCCCTCATCGAATTTACTTTAATACGGTAAGCCCTTTTAACATCAGGCTCGGGTATTTGAAAACAACTCGAGTTTCTGGAAAACATCGCAATAGCAGTGGCTACATCTGGCCATAATACAGATAGCAAAATGCTTGTACCGTTATATTTTTTTTCGACGGAAATTTCCGTTCTGTGGGAAAGTTTCTGAAAACAATTTTAATTAGTTAAAAAATGCAATGTACTTTTTATTATTTTTTACTTACAGTAATATTTCCTAAAAATGTATAATTTCTCCTGAGAAAACAAAACAAAAACGTTAGATTTCATGTCAGAAACATGGCCAGATATCTTTCCGACATGGAGAGTCATTTTTTGTTTGTTTATCAGTTTAATAATTTAATAATGTTAATTGTTTTGGTATGGTATTACTGCCATATTGTTTCGCGCGATGGTACTACTCTTAAAATGTATGAAAGCTAACCTTGTTTCGGTATATCATCAAGCAACGTGTTTGTCTATTTTTACCCTTACATCTCCACCGCCGTGAGACAGCGATCTGCCTTCTGTAAACACGTGAATGTGGGAGGCTGGCACTGACGCAGATAGTCTGTGACAAGGACGGTTGGTGCCTGCACTCTATAGGCACCAGCTCATCAGGAGACGTCAGCTTGAATCAGGGCAGCAAGGAGAAGCCTGACAACATACTGTAGATACCTGACAACATACCGTAGATACCTGACAACATTCCGTAGATACCTGACAACATACCGTAGATACCGTGCTCACTTCGTGTTAGCTTACTTAAGACATGCTCGCACATCTGGTACACTCACAACATCGGATCTCTAATGTACAAACATTGTGTTCTATATTTTAAACAGTGTTTTTAGCTATACTAAAATCTAAGTTAGTTTGTGGGGAGGGGGGGGGGCATGGACACTGAATGAAATAACTGCACAATAGATTACTCACACTGTATGTTACATGCAACACACATGTTGATTACGTCTATGTTGTTTGTCATGAAATATGTCTCTGTTTTGGTCGAGTTGCTCAACCCTACCCCATATTGGCGAGACTAACGGGGTTTGTTAAAATACATAACCAGACCTCCTGTCGCTTTACTTTCACTAACTTAAAGCATTCGACCAAGTCATGTTTAACATGGCATGTGACTCTACTATAATCTCCTTGAACTTTGAGTCGTCTGCTCCTGCAGGTATGTTCCTGCTGAGCAAGTACATCAAAGAGAAGACGGACACGACCGTCATCTTGTCTGGGGAGGGGTCTGACGAGCTGGCCCAGGGCTACATCTACTTCCATCGTGCCCCCACCCCTGAGGACGGCCACAACGAGAGTTTACGTCTGCTGAAGGATCTCTACATGTACGACGTGCTCAGGGGGGACAGGACAACTGCCGCCTGGGGGTAAGATACACAGGGACTGGGGGTAAGGTCCTGGGGGAGGGGGGGAGGGGGCAGTTAGGACAACAGCCGCCTGGGGGTAAGATACAGGAACTGGGGGTAAGGTCCTGGGGGAGGGGGGCAGTTAGGATAACACAGGCCAGGGGGTAAGATACAGGGACGAGAGGTAAGGTCATGGGGGGGGGGCAGTTAGGATAACAGAGGCCTTGGGGTAAGATACATAGGGACTGGGGGTAAGGTTCTGGGGGAGGGGGCAGTTAGGATAACAGGCCTTGGGGTAAGATACACAGGAACTGGGGGTAAGGTCCTGGGGGAGGGGGGGGGGGCAGTTAGGATAACACAGGCCAGGGGGTAAGATACAGGGACGAGGGGTAAGGTCATGGGGGGGGCAGTTAGGATAACAGAGGCCTTGGGGTAAGATACATAGGGACTGGGGGTAAGGTTCTGGGGGAGGGGGCAGTTAGGATAACAGAGGCCTTGGGGTAAGATACATAGGAACTGGGGGTAAGGTCCTGGGGGAGGGGGCAGTTAGGATAACAGAGGCCTGGGGGTAATACACAGGGACTGGGGGGTAAGGTCATGGGGGAGGGGCAGTTAGGATAACAGAGGCCTGACGGTAAGGTAACGTGAGTGGGGGGGGGGGGGGTAACAGTGGTCAGTGGGTTAGGTACCCATGGGGAACGGGACTACAGTGGACTGGGGTATGGTTCCATGGACGGGGGGGGGGGGGGGGTCGGGGATTGTGGGTAAGTTACCATGTCTGGAATGTGAGGCACAAGACCTCTGTAACCTGTGCAATACTTCCTTTTATATAGAAAGATATTGATATATATTTTAGCTGTTACAAAGCTGTGGCTTATTTCTGATAACTGGTAGTCAAATGTGAGAGTGTGATACCTATAAGTAAAAGTATGATGCCGGTGTTACAGGCTAGAGATCCGTGTGCCATTCCTGGACCATCTGTTTACACACTACTATCTCTCACTGGACCCAGAGCTCAAGCAGCCCAAGAATGGGATAGAGAAACATTTGCTCAGGTAGGACCTGATTCACAGTCTTAGCTCAGTGACTTGGTGGTTTAGCTCAGTGACTTGGTGGTTTAGCTCAGTGACTTGGTGCTTTAGCTCAGTGACTTGGTGGTACTTTTGCTCAGTGACTTGGTGCTTTAGCTCAGTGACTTGGTGGTGCTTCAGCTCAGTATCTTGGTGGTTTAGTTCAGTAACTTTGCTACTTTAGCTGAGTGACTTGGTGTTTAGCTCATCAAATTGATAATTTGGCTTTAATAATTTGATGATTTAGCTAAAAACTTTGTGTGTTTTAGCTTAGTAACTTACTGCTTTAGCTCCCCAACAAAATACTTTAGCTCAGTAATTTGATTCATTAGTTCAATAACTGGATGTAGGAACCAGGCCCACAGCATTCTAGTATGAGGCAAAAAATGTATCATTTGGTAAAAAAAAGCATCCAATTACTCTATAAACCAAGAGTAATGTTTAAAAAAAAATTCCAAAGTATTTATACAAACAACTAGTCCAGTGTTGAGATTAGTTAAGCCTTCTGTATTTACTGGATCACCTTGAATGTAAATATTTGGTTGTAGTTTATCAAGGGCTCGTTAAGTCCAGATTATAGATATTGATGTGTTGAATTAGTCCTCATGTAAAGGGTGGTAAGGGCAATCAAACAAATCAATATCAAATAGGTTAGATGGTAGGGATGATGTTGCATGTAAGATGGTAGGGATGATGTTGCATGTAAGATGGTAGGGATGATGTAAAATCAAGGGGATGATGTTGCATGTTAGATGGTAGGGATGATAAAAATCAAGGGGATGATGTTGCATGTAAGATGGTAGGGATGATGTTGTATGTTTGATGTTAGGGATGATGTTGCATGTTTGATGGTAAGGAGGATGTTGCATGTTTGATGGTAGGGATGATGTTGCATGTTTGATGGTAGGGATGATGTTGCATGTAAGATGGTAGGTAGGGATGATGTTGCATATTTGATGTTATGGATGATGTTGCATGTTTGATAGGGATGATATTGCATGTTTGATGTTAGGGATGATGTTGCATGTTTGATATTAGGGATGATGTTGCATGTTTGATGGTTGGGATGATGTTGCATGTTTGATGGTTGGTATAATGTGTGGTGTCTAATTAGGCTGTTGCATCCACTAGAATGTATTATTGTTTTCTGTGCTTTTATATTGTTATAATGTGACACTGCTAAAATGTCTACAGATCAGCTTTTGCTGATGAAGGCCTTTTGCCTGATGAGATTCTGTGGCGTCCTAAAGAAGCTTTCAGTGATGGGATCTCATGCATGACTAGGTCCTGGTATGAGATTATACAGGACCACTGTAAGGAGCAGGTTAGTTATTCTATTAGGTTCTGGTATGAGATTATACAAGACCACTGTAAGGAGCAGGTTAGTTATTCTATTAGGTTCTGGTATGAGATTATACAAGACCACTGTAAGGAGCAGGTTAGTTATTCTATTAGGTCCTGGTATGATATTATACAAGACCACTGTAAGGAGCAGGTTAGTTATTCTATTAGGTCCTGGTATGAGATTATACAAGACCACTGTAAGGAGCAGGTTAGTTATTCTATTAGGTTCTGGTATAAGATTATACAAGACCACTGTAAGGAGCAGGTTAGTTATTCTATTAGGTCCTGGTATAAGATTATACAAGACCACTGTAAGGAGCAGGTTAGTTATTCTATTGATTGCTGCGTCTGTTGCTAGTTGCCATCTTCCACCTTGTAGGTTGGTACATTTCTTCTGTAACTCTTATGGCGCTGAGGCTACAACTTGTTAACTGTACACATTTGTTATTTATTCATCATGACATGAATTTGTCGTCCCCTGACAGATCAACGAGACGGACCTGGCAAAAGCCGCCAGCCTGTACCCCCACAACCCTCCCAAAACGGAGGAGGCGCTGTACTACCGCAGGATCTTTGAGAAGTACTACCCTCACAAGGCCACCTGGATCCCTTACTTCTGGATGCCCAGATGGTCACAGTCCAGTGACCCGTCGGCCCGAACACTCAAACACTACAAGCAGTGAGTCAGGCTGACATTGGACCCATACAAACAACTTGTTAGGTTGGAATCTCCAGTGTACAACACACTAAATGCTCTAGATATTTTATTTTATTTTGAAAACTTGACTGACTTATTTTCAGTTGTTTTTGACCATTGTGCCATACACATCTAACAAATATTTACTATTTTCAAATTTTATTTGGTTTTAAAATAAAATACTCTATTCTTATTGACTTTGACTGTGTTATATCTGTCTGTATATATATATATATATATATATATATATATATATATATATATATATATATATATATATATATATATATATATATATATATATATATATACAAATAAATGCATCTTATGTGGCACGATGGCATTATTACCTAATGGCTCAAAGTACAGAGGCGAAGCGACCAATTCCAGCGCCCAGGGCAAACTATCATATGGCGAAAAAAGCCCAAACTCCACCCACTCACTTTCAGGAAACCGTTCTGTAAAGGCAAGATGCATTCTTAAAATATGACTGTGCAGAATGAGCTATTTTTTTTCTACCCAGTTTGGCGCCCTTATGGTCGGAGGCAGCACCACCCGCCCTCCCCTAGCGACGCCTGTCTAAATAATACATTTTTATTGTGATGTATACTCGCCAATACATTCCAAGGGAAAAAAGTCTTAATTTAATTGACGGAGTAATAAATTGTTTAAATAATACAAAATTATAATTTTAATAGCAATATCAATTACGTATGAATTACGTCGTTTAACATAGACGTGTGTCAAATCATTAAACAGATGTTTGACTTGACAGGTGGCTAGAGATAATGTCGCCGTGGTTGTCTGCTGATGAAGTCTGTCCTCAGAAAACTTCTCTAACTCTACTCCCTCAAGACCATTTCCGTTAGACCGCCCACTGTTTCCCGTACATCAATGTCGAAGAAATTGTCTGTTACTTTAAACCCAAACTGTAATGAGCAAACTTCCATTCATTAACTTGTATGTGACAATCAAAGACGGAACGTGGCATCACGTTTGTTTACAGGGGTGACAACAAACGATGGATTCTACATTTAATAAACTGGTTTTTTATTATTTTTGGGAATCCCAAGATCTTATACTTCAGGCCTAAGGCAATTCAGTATTAATTTATATTTGAGAGCTAGCCCAGTTAGAATAACATGAAGTAGTTGTCAGCATGTGAAATAAAGCAATATAAATGGCTTCAGCATCAAGTAGGGGGGGGGGGGCGTTAAGACAGCAGTCACGTGACTAATTACGTAACTGAATTATGGTTAGCTTCAGTTATAAACAGGTCCCAAACTCTAGTTAGTTGACTGAATTGTGGTTAGCTGCAGTTATTATAAACAGGTCCCAAACTCTAGTTAGTTGACCGAATTGTGGTTAGCTTCAGTTATAAACAGGTCCCAAACTCCCAAAACTGTTGTGGATTTAGTACACTCTAACATAGAAACGTTTGGCAACATTCAACATGGATTCACTTTAGTGTCGGCCTCAATATTTCGGCCACCAACGACAGTCGGCCACCCAAGATTCAGTCGGCCACCCAAGATTCAGTCGGCCACCCAAGATTCAGTCGGCCACAAAAGATTCAGTTGGCCACCCAAGATTCAGTCGGCCACAAAAGATTCAGTCGGCCACAAAAGATTCAGTCGGCCACAAAAGATTCAGTCGGCCACAAAAGATTCAGTCGGCCACAAAAGATTCAGTCGGCCACCCAAGATTCAGTCGGCCACAAAAGATTCAGTCGGCCACAAAAGATTCAGTCGGCCACAAAAGATTCAGTCGGCCACAAAAGATTCAGTTGGCCACCCAAGATTCAGTCGGCCACCAGCAACAGTTGGCCACCTAAGATTCAGTCGGCCACAAAAGATTCAGTTGGCCACCCAAGATTCAGTCGGCCACCCAAGATTCAGTCGGCCACCAGCAACAGTCGAGTACCTAAGATTCAGTCGGCCACAAAAGATTCAGTCGGCCACAAAAGATTCAGTCGGCCACCCAAGATTCAGTCGGCCACAAATGATTCAGTCGGCCACAAAAGATTCAGTCGGCCACCCAAGATTCAGTCGGCCACCCAAGATTCAGTCGGCCACCCAAGATTCAGTCGGCCACAAAAGATTCAGTCGGCCACCCAAGATTCAGTCGGCCACAAAAGATTCAGTCGGCCACCCATGATTCAGTCGGCCACCTAAGATTCAGTCGGCCACCAGCAACAGTCGGCCACCCAAGATTCAGTCGGCCACAAAAGATTCAGTCGGCCACAAAAGATTCAGTCGGCCACAAAAGATTCAGTCGGCCACCCAAGATTCAGTCGGCCACCCAAGATTCAGTTGGCCACAAAAGATTCAGTCGGCCACAAAAGATTCAGTCGGCCACAAAAGATTCAGTCGGCCACAAAAGATTCAGTCGGCCACAAAAGATTCAGTCGGCCACAAAAGATTCAGTCGGCCACAAAAGATTCAGTCGGCCACCCAAGATTCAGTCGGCCACAAAAGATTCAGTCGGCCACAAAAGATTCAGTCGGCCACAAAAGATTCAGTCGGCCACCCAAGATTCAGTCGGCCACAAAAGATTCAGTCGGCCACCCAAGATTCAGTCGGCCACAAAAGATTCAGTCGGCCACCCAAGATTCAGTCGGCCACAAAAGATTCAGTTGGTCACCCAAGATTCAGTCGGCCACAAAAGATTCAGTTGGCCAAACGATTCGCCTCTATTGGCCACCATACAACCAACATTTGTTTTACGTCACGGGATTATCCTTTCTGACCGACATAGAGCTTAATCCAGACAGCTAAGATAATCCGGCGGTCGATGAGTATCGCCGCCTGCCGTGTTTTTAATCAAGACAACAGTGTGGTCCCCCATCTTGTTTCTACTTTTATTAAATTTAAAAGAATTTAATTGAACCTTTAGCAATGAACTGGCAAGAGTTGAATCAAAATTTGGCAACAATGACTCACCATGAAGTGTTCGCGCGACCGCACTAAGCGCCACTGATTGAGGGGTCAGCAGGTGTTGGTTCAACACCGCGCGACCGTCTGTTGACTGAAGTACTTGGCTGTTAGTCATTGGTCGTATGGGTCCAGCTGGGGGCATTGGAGGGGGCGTTATTCTTTTCGTTATGGACGTTATTCTTTATGTTTTGTGAGTTATTTGTTTGGTTTAGGGTTTTATTATGTTTTCGGCGTTATTCGTTCAATTTTTAGCGTTATTGGTTAAGTTTAGAACGTAATCTGTCAAACTTTGGATAGTGTTCTAAGACTCCCATCTATTCAATTTATCCTTTTGTCGTTGTATAGACCATGTCAGATTTATGGCCATAGTGTCTTTCTAAATATCATTTTATGCTTGATATAATTTTGATTTATATCCATTGTGCGTAGAATTATTATTGAAATATGTTTAGGGATATAGATCTGCATTGATTGTAAAAAAAAAAAATAATAATTTAGAATTTAATAAAAGACGGTAATGAATTAAAAAGGTCTACAAAGTTAAACACCAGACAGAAATTGAGTTCAGTCTTGAAAGCACTGACCCTGTCTATCAAAGTGCGATAAGTTCTCGACATTCGTATATTAAAACCAATTATGACGCCATGCGGGAATTTCCAACCAAAATTCTGAAACAAATGAAGTCAATTATTAAAAATAAAACGGTAGCCAAAGGACGTTATTTATGTGTATGTGTGTGTGCACATGTGGAATGTGGTTTGTGTGTGGGAGTGGTGTCTGGGTTTTTGTGTTTTCCTGCAGATAATATTTAGTCAATGAATTAGAACATTTTTACATTATGGATGTTTGTACGGATCGTGTGCGCGGATAAGGGGGGGGGGGGGGAGGGGATGCTTGAGGGCGATAGCCTGTGTGTGGATGGGGATTGCTGCTGTTAAGTTGGTAGTTGATACGCGAATGTTTCGGTTGTAACCGCCATCCAACGGTTCAAACGTGTCGTCTAGTCTATATACTACTAAAAGTCAAGTTTGTTTACATGTTTGAATATTTATTTGTTTGCCTGATCGAAAATTGTGATATGTTCGACTCTATCTGGAAAGCTGTAAAATGGTATGCAGGTAGAGAATAATTTTTTAATGCAGACAGACTGTTGATCACAAATTTATTTAAAGACGTTAATTAATTAATTGATTTATTCATATGCAGATTAACCCATTTTTTTTAAAAATATTTGAAAAGCCACTAGACTCGGCGGGACCGTGACGTCACAGGTTTTTGTTTACTCTTTAGTACAATAAAATGGCGGCGTCTATCGAAGAAAATTGTGTTCCCATTCACAAGTTTAACGCGTTCTAAATCTAATTTTCTGTCGGTCATAACTTTAACAATACGTCCGTTTTCTGTATTTATTACGTTCCAACACTTATATCAATGTTCAACTGTCTTTTTCATTTAGTTTTACAATAAATTTCTCTAGATCTAAAGATCAGCTATCGAAGGAAATTTATGAATCTAGCCTAGATCTAGATCTAGCCTAGATGTAGGTCACTAGGTTTCTATGTAAATTCTAGATCTAGACTTAATGTAAATTCTACATCTAGAATCTATTTCAGGCCTTAATTATTTTATATAAATCTTTGTTTGGCTTATTTAAGATAAAATTTAATTTGAAAGTTAGTACTACTAGACTTATTTTTAGATCTAGATCTAGAATCTATACGCCGTAAATCAAGTTGCATAAGGAGATACATAGTATAGTATAAAAATTCACTTGTGACGTCACGAGTAAATAGCTAAAATGGTAGCGTAGTCATCTCTCATGCAGGAGGCACGGGTTCTAGACCAATATGTCAATGAAATTTTTTTTTTCAATTTTTTTTTTTTAGATGTGAATGATAACGTTGCCTATCTGAACTTGGCAAGATACAGGGCAGGTGAAGTAGAGTTCATCTGTTTCTTTGTCCTAAGCATATGAAAGGATAGTGTGGTCAGATACATGCTCGGCTGGAATTGTTTTTTAAACGATAAAAACATGTTGTCTGAGACTTGGCAGGACACTGGGCAGGTGAAGTAGAGTTGAGTAGGTCACCTGTGACGTCAGTTTATGAAGGGATAGTCCGAAATCGGTGTTTTCGGTGTTTTTAAAAGATAAAAAACATATATTTGAATGTGGGGTCTGTTTTTTGTGACGATAAGTGACACTGCAGTAGCGTACCGAGGAGGGGGGGGACGGTAGGGGAGGGGAGGCGGGGGGGGGGGAAGGGGAGGCGGGGGGTGGGGAGGTGGAGGGGGGAAGGGGGGGGGCGGGGGGGGGGACATATGTTGGGGCGCCAAAATGGTTTGGAAAAATAAATTGATAGGTTGAGGGGGGTTCAAATCGAAAGTTTGAGTGGGGGGGGGGGTGCACATCAAAAGTTTGAGGGGGGGGGGGGGTTCAAATAGAAAACTTTGTCCCCGGGCGCCGGGAAGGGTCGCTATGCCTCTGAGTGACAGACGTGATGTTTTTTGATGGATGACCCCCGAAACCCACAGTTATCCAACGGATGACGGGTATTCTAGTATATTACAAAACACATCAATTGGACTGAATATTCTGTAGACAATAAAACGAACCATTGTGCCTAACATTCTGTAGACTATAAAGCAAACCATTGTGCCGAAAATGCTATAGTGAATTCTCTACGAGATACATTTCCCCTGCAGCTTGTATTTTAAAACTGGTAGGATAAAAATTGATTAGCTGTACGGGAGCCAGACGTTCTCTGTCGTCTGGTGTCACGTGGTGTCACGTGATGGGGGGTAACGAAGCCACTTACAGCAGGGCCTGACACATATCACATCCATCTGAAGGCCAGCTCGTGCTGGGTACAAGACACGAGCTAGCCATTACCCCGTGCTGGGTACAAGACACGAGCTAGCCATTACCCCGTGCTGGGTACAAGACACGAGCCAGCCATTACCCCGTGCTGGGTACAAGACACGAGCCAGCCAGCTCGTGCTGGGTACAAGACGCGAGCCAGCCATTACCCCGTGCATACACATAGAAGTCATAACTTGATGCAGTCATACAACTAGCACTAAAGTCATAACTTGATGCGCTCATAAACCTAGCACTACCTAGAAGTCATAACTTGATGCGGTCACACATAGCACTACCTAGAAGTCATGATTTGATGCGTTCATACACATAGCACTACCTAGAAGTCATGATTTGATGCGTTCATACACATAGCACTACCTAGAAGTCATGATTTGATGCGTTCATACATATAGCACTACCTAGAAGTCATGACTTGATGCGTTCATACACCTAGCACTAAAGTCAGTCATGACTTGATGCGCTCATACACATAGCACTACCTAGAAGTCATGAATTGAAACGCTCATACACATAGCACTACCTAGAAGTCATGAATTGAAACGCTCATACACATAGCACTACCTAGAAGTCATAACTTGATGCGGTCATACACCTAGCACTAAAGTCAGTCATGACTTGATGCGTTCATACACCTAGCACTAAAGTCAGTCATGACTTGATGCGTTCATACACCTAGCACTAAAGTCAGTCATGACTTGATGCGTTCATACACCTAGCACTAAAGTCAGTCATGACTTGATGCACTCATACACATAGCACTAAAGTCAGTCATGACTTGACGCGGTCATACACCTAGTACTATGTACAAGTCATGACTTATATGTACAAGTCATGAACCAACCATTAACCCGTCCATACAAGATATGAACACGCCATTACCCCCTCCATACAAGTCATGAACCAGCCATTACCCCGTTCATACACAAAGCGTTACCTACATGTTAAAAACTTCAACATATTCTGCTTCTGTTTGTGTCAATCATTATCATAAGTCTAATTATGTATGTAAAACGTACGCGATACAGCCAGAATATGTTGGCCCATTGAAAAATATATTCAAACATTTCAATTCTAAACTACGAACTCCGAAATGTAGAGATCTGTTCTTTACTAGGCCATATTTATTGATTTATTGTCATCGATATGACGTCCTTAAAATATTTTTCTGTCCTTATGTATAGCCCGTTGTGGAATGTTTCGCAAAGTTCAGGACATTTTTTTAAAACCTCACATTTAACAGAAATTTCCGTAACCCAGATTTTATCGGTTTAACATTTTTTTACCTACTATTTAATATCTTTAACAAAATTCAAATCAGCTCCCATATCAAAAGATATCACAAGAAAATAATTATGTCGAGAAACAAAATAATTGCCAACTCCTTGATAATTAGGCTGCACTTTACTAAAGTTCCGAATCATAAGCCCCATACATTAAGAGAGGGAGGAGTGTGTGGGGGAGACAGGTGGGGAGAAGCAACACTTGACTGACATTTCTGTAAAGAGAGTTTCCACATACTGGCTATTTCGGCTAATCCAAGTTGGTGTCCTCAATGATTCCCATTTCGGCTAATCCAAGTTGGTGTCTTCATTGATTGCCATCTCCTCTGTTGCAAGTCTTGTTCGAGTCAGTGGCATAAAAATAATGGACACGTTTTATCCAGTGGTAGATCTAGATCTAGTACTTGCATAAAGTAGTAAAGATTTTAATATAAATTAAAATTCATAATACGAGAATTTTACTTCCGATATTGACGTGTATTTAATTTTAATAACATTTTATTAACGTCCAATTAGTTTAGGTAGCTAGTCTGTTGTAAGGTTTTATTTGGTTTTCTAAAACAACAAAATGTGATTTCTTGGACGACTAGAACAAGAAAAATGTGATTTCTTGGACGACTAGAACAAGAAAAATGTTGGTACTTTGTTTCTCTACGGCCCGGTGCCCCGTCTCCTCCAATTACATGGACATTACACGGTCATTAATTACATGGACATTACATGGTCATTAATTACAATGACATCACATGGTCATTTATTAGGTCCGTGGTCTGGTGTCTGGTTAAGCTACCTCGGTTACAAATGAAAGAATTCATTAAGTCAAAGTGTAGGCCCTAAGCCTCTCTGACCAAAGATGAACGAATTTTCATGAGATCTACTTTAAGATCAGACTTTTTTTTACTGAAGGTGAACCAATTTTCATGACATCAAGTTTAGCCACACTACTCTCTCGCTACATATTTATTCGGACTCATTTTTCGATTAGGACATCTTCAATTATATTTTTATCTTAATGTCTGACATTAAGGTGTGGCTAATAATGACATACGTCATTAGGCTAAACTGTAGCTTGTTGTCTAGTGTCCGGGGTAGGCGTGGTCGGGTCGGTAAAGCTCATGGTTGGTAGATGAGGCTCGATAGCTGGAGACAACAACCCATCGAGGAGATATAACACCAATTTTAAAATCAAACAACTGCTGCATTGTAGTTATTTTCTGGTTGGACAAAGGATATGGAAAAAAAAAACCAAAAAGAAAATCCAAAGAGTTAACGGACTTTATGGCGCTACATTTTGTAAGAAATACCCTTCAATAGTCCATTCAAGAACGAAGAAGAAGAAAGAAGAAGTCCGATACCTTTAGCCTAGCATTTACCTTGATGTCCGCCATTTTGAGCCCACTTGACATCCAATGACCTTCAACCTTAGCCACCCATTCACTGTGATGTTTACTCACACTATTGGATCTAAAAACAAACAGCACCACACATCAACATCTCTTGTTTTCGCGAGTGCACATCAAGCATTGCATTATCTACCAGCTGATCTGTTCCATCTGATAGTACACCACAACAACATACCGGTCTATAGAGCAATCACAGAACTGCCGTGTGGGCTGGTAAAAAATATGTTTGTGACTGTCGCTAATAGCGGAGCGACTCGTTAGGGAGAGCAATGAAATAGAGGTGATTTAGGTGAGGAAATAGTTGAAGCTTGCTCGGCTTTCTGTTGTTGCACTCATGTTATTGCTAACTGCAGCAATACAGCTTATAGCTTGTGCCATGCTAGGCAATAATGGGTAGATGTGACAAGATAAGTAGAACCAGGTATTGAGATATCTGGGCAGTATTGGGTTACTTTTTTATCGTGCTAGTACAACCTCAACATCTACCACACATAAGTCTCCCACATATACCACACACCTCTCTCACACAACTACCACACACCCCTCTACCACATCTACCACACACATCTATCCCACACCTACCACAACACCCCACTCCCACCACAACACCCACTCCCACACCTACCACAACACCCACTCCCACACCTACCACAACACCCCACTCCCACAACTACCACAACACCCCACTCCCACAACTACCACACACCCTCTCACACACCATGCTCAACGCACTTCCAACAGCTCTCCCACACCTACCATAACACCCCACTCCCACCCCCTACCACAACACCCACTCCCACACCTACCACAACACCCCACTCCCACACCTACCACAACACCCCACTCCCACACCTACCACAACACCCCACTCCCACACCTACCACAACACCCCACTCCCACAACTACCACAACACCCCACTCCCACACATACAATATCACCAACTCCCACACCTACCACAACACCCCACTCCCACACATACAATACCACCCTCTCCCACACCTACCATAACACCCCACTCCCACCCCCTACCACAACACCCACTCCCACACCTACCACAACACCCCACTCCCACACCTACCACAACACCCCACTCCCACACCTACCACAACACCCCACTCCCACACCTACCACAACACCCCACTCCCACACCTACCACAACACCCCACTCCCACACCTACCACAACACCCCACTCCCACACCTACCACAACACCCCACTCCCACACCTACCACAACACCCCAC